AAGACATAAGAGCAACCAATTGCACTACTAAGAGTATATCAAAAAGCAAAAACTTTCACTATCTAGCATGTACTCAATCATCCATATATACAAGGGGAGAATGGAGATGATGTGGCTCATAGAATCAAAGCACGATAGGTAAAATGGAGGGTTTTGTTAAGCATATATATAGTGTGATCATCATATTTTGCTAGAATTGAAAGCTAAGTTTATAGAACATCTGTTAGACCAGCCATGCTATATGGGACTGAATACTAGACGGTTAGAAAACAGACATATTCATAGTTTCTGTAGGTACATATTAGCCAACTGTTACAACCAGCACAGTGATATGGACACCTCTATGTCTGTTTCTCTAACGGCATATTATAGCCATTATTAGACACAAATTGTTAAGAGATCAGATTAAAATATTTGTCACCTTTTGAATCCTTCAAAATTGGAGATGTTTGTTGCTGAATAATCTTTGCTATCCTTCAAAAACCTGGTTATTGGCAAGACCATAGAAACTCCATGACAGGATATATTAATATTTAAACAGTTAAAATATCGGAATGTATTTATTTGCATTCAATTATGCATCTAAATTTGGTATGACGTGCATCGATATTGTCGATAATGCATCAGTAACGTGTTTACATTTATAAGATATTCCAATATAAATGGGCAAGATATTTACATAAGAATGGCTTCATCAGAACTAGGTATGGAATCATCTTGCTGTTTAAAACAAAGTTTGAAAGAAAAATAAAAGCCACCAAGGAAAAAGAAGAAAGAAATCTTCCAGCAGTGACATGATTAGAAACAAGATAGAGCCAGAAAACTTTTGACATTATTAGAAAAAATATTTCTTTTGAATTGTCTCAGAAACTAGCATATATTGTTCATTGGATTATAAAAAGTAAAGGTTTTTATTTTTTATTTTCTTGAATTTCTGACTCCTCAATCTTCTGCTTTCAAATACTTCATTCCTAGATCAAGGACACAATACAAAGATCAAAATTACCAGTACTGTGTTGTCTACTGGACCACCAATTTTATTAAACTTAAAAATAACACCTGCATAATCTTTGCTATCCTTCAAAATTGAAGGGTCATTGCCTCAACCTCAAAAACCTGGTTATTGGCAAGACCATAGAAACTCCATGATAGGATAGCTTCATCATTTCCTTCCACTGAAGACAGACACCAAGTCAGCAAATTTTGTGTTGTTTTCTTCTGCGCCATGCCGTCAATGGAAAGAGAGAAGAGAATAAGGCGGAGTTGGCAGAGGGAGGAATTGTCGTAGTTGTCGTTGGTGTGGTGAGGTGAACATGTGGTTTGGGAGAGAGCCTAGAGAGAAGAGAATAAGGCGGGAAACAGGGAGATGAATGGAAATAGATGAATTAAGAGTCTCATGATCTCTTCTTCTATGGACCTGACTTGTGCTTGCTTCGGCTTCCCAATCTCAATCTCAAGCTCAAATTTGCAGCTAAACTTCTTCAATTTCGGGTTTCAGACTTTCAGTCAATCGCAGTGTTCGGAAAATCGGCCTAGGCGGGCGCCTAGGTGGCTAGGCGGGCGCTAGGCGGCTAGGCGGGAGCTAGGCGGCTGGGCGGGCCTCCTAGGCGGGTTGGGTCTTTTTTTGGTGTCGAACCAGGAGGACGAAGCAGTCGAAACTGAAAATCGAAGCCAAATGACTGTGACTGGGTCTGCAACCTCCGCCCTCTGCGAGTGCAAGCTTCGTGTTCGTTTGGATTATATTCAAAGAGTATAGCCGCGCGGCTATAATTTTAAAATATTTGAATATTTTAAAGAGTATAGCCAAACGGCTATACTTTTAAAATATCCGAATATTTTAGAAAGTACAGCCGTGCGGCTATAACATTTTAAATATACAATTTTGTCATATCATTTTAGGGTTTAGGGTGGGCTAGAGTTATTTCTTCAATTATTTTATTTATACAAGCGATATTGGGGAATGAGAATTTAAATTCTTTATGATACCTCCCATTATAATGATTTCCAGCTATTAGCCCTTTGGGCAAGAATAAAAAATGAATTTTATTTCTAACAAATAATACAAGTTAAACTCATAAATACCAAGAATAATAATAATAATAATAATAATAATAAAAGGTATCCGCCAACATTTTGTGGATCAAAGAATTTTGAATTTCATAGTATAAAATTGCTTGTATATCAATTTACTTTCTAAAATGTATCCGTTGTAATTATGAACTAAACCCAATTGCAACATTTTTTTCTCATTGCACTTGACGACCATGCTCTTCTGCTATCAGATATGTCAGTTGAAAAATTGGATATAAAACAATCTAACGAGACAGCGAAGGGAAGTTTGCAGCTCTATTTTGAAATTAATTGAAGGTATCAGAGGTCATATGACATTGATATATGAACTATTCTAAATGAGAATTCAAACAACATGTGTTAGATGAGAAGTAGCATCTCATTCTTAAATATAACATATTATTTCATTTTTTTACTGGTTGTGCCTGTTGTTAAGCTGGTGCAACCAACATTCTTTCACCACGAAATTTTTCCTAAACCTCAAAGAAATTTAGCTAGGAAAACCTTTGGTGGGAAGGGAGAGTTAAGATGGAAATAGAGGCAGAGGCAAGGCTGAAGAACAATCGTGCGCGAACACATGTGATATTACAAAAAATGTTGCGAAGGAATTTAGAATGGCCATTTTCCAAATTAAGCATACATCTTATTATGAAATCAAGATAGGAACTTATAACAAGCCCTCATTAGAGTAACATTGTCCAAAAACACACGATGAACACCACACTCAACACACATAATTGCTCATTAGTGTTGTAAATATAAAAAAGATGAGATATCGCTTAGTACAATCAAATTAATAATTCTTCATTCCTCGTCGCCCAAATCATTGAACGCATTGCGCAAATCATTGAGCATTTCATCCCATGTCTCCTCCACATGCAGATGAAATGAGTATCCATCAACATGAAGAACAAAATTGTCCATACCACAAAGACATTCAGGAAATTCATAACCCTCGCACATAAATTGACTAATATGAGACGCAATCTTTGATATTTCATCGTCGTTCTCATCGAAACCAGAACAATCTCTGGCATCCAACATCACCAAATCTTTGCATCCACGCATCAACGTGACAAGACCATCCCGATTGACTTTTGCACCCTTCAAATTTAAGTACTTGATATTAGGCATCTGATTCTTACATATATGAGATATATTAGTCCGCGTTGTATTCTATGCAGAAATATAAAGTTACCCATAAGTTGAAGCGCTCAGGATCTTGTAGTGAAGGCATCATCGCTTCCACACCGAGAAGTCTCTCAAGTCCTCTTCGATCTGTAAAGAGATACTATCATACATCAAAAGCTCAGCTCGGTCATCGAGAGGCATTTTACCTCACAAATAGAAATCCCCCAAGTCCCCAGACGAGAGTTTTGTGTGGGGAGTTGCATCTCTTGGACAACTCCTTCCTAGGACCTTGGTTCCCTTTATCCCCACTTACATTTTGTGAATTTGGTATGCTAGCTGCATGCCAAAACTTGTATATGTTGCTTGTGTTTGTTATACCAAATACCAATTGGATCATGTTTGTGAAGAAAAAAAAAGGGCATATCAATGTGCACCTAAACTGAGGCAAAAATCCAATATAATTGTATACAATTCCATGTGCTTGCCAATCTGAAACTTGACCCATGCATATGCAATGTCTTTGGGTTTCAAAAATAGAAATCCATGAGATTTTGAAGGTGAATATGAATCTGCCAATACTTCATCAACCAACTCCAAACCCCTTCCTTCATTCCATAAGTGCCATGCCTAACAAAATTTCATGTATGTTGGCCAGTATTGTTAAACTCTGCTGCACTTAGCTTCATATAGTTGCTTAAGCTGTATGAAAGATACGATTTTGCATTAAGATTTAGAGTGTGAGCTTACATAAGCTAGGAAGCCTATATGTTGGTCACTGGAATAGAAGTTGGTATTCTTTTTGCCACTAATAATCTCCAATTGCAAGAACCCGAAGCTGTAGCCATCAGATTTTTCAGAAAACATACCGCCCATGGCATACTCCGGAGACATATAGCCACTGCACAATCAATTGAGAACTGATGAAACTACTTCTTTGTTTATAGTCTTGAGAAAAATTATACCAGAAAAGTTAAATCTAAATGCCATGCAATGCAACTAATTTTTAGTTAATTATGAACACAAACAGAAGGGAATTGGAGTCGGTTAAAATTGCAAGGTTGTAAATTGAAGTGCTGGTACACCTCGATTTACCAACATGTTAATCCCAATGTTCGAAAAATCACTATACAGTAAGGGGGCGGCAGGCAAGGGCCTAGCGCCTAGAGGAGTAATGGGGGTCTATGCGAGTGCCTATGCTTTTTTTAATAAATTATTTAGTATTATAAATTATAAATTTATACCAAAATCATGAAAAATAAAAGGATATATAAATTATATATTAAACAAATAGTATAATATTTCTTTGATTTAAAATATTAAAATATTTATTTGTTATTTGTTACTTATTAGTGGTTACTTTAGTGATTTCATAATGCAAAATCCATTTAATGTTGTATTTTATGAAGCCCAGGCCTTTCTCTCCCGCCAGGCCCCTTTCTAAACCCTAAACGTAACTCGCAACCTCTCTTCTTCTTCAATCCTCATTTCTCTCTCTCTCTCTCTCTCTCTCTCTCTCTCTCTCTCTCTCTCTCTCTCTCGCCTCAGCACCATCGTCATCTCGTCCAAGACCTTGGAGTTCCAAAATGGCCCTTTTTTTTTCTTCTAGGCACCAGCACCCGCCTAGCCCGCCTAGCCCTCGCCTAGCCCCCGCCTGGCCCGCCTAGCCCTCGCCTAGCCCCCGCCTAGCCCGCCTAGCCCTCGTCTAGCCCCCACCTAGCTCTCCTAGGCAATTTATTCAACTCCATTAAATGCTTTTTTAAGGTTTATGGTTGTGGTGCACTGAGTGATTCAACTGAATAATGCCTGGGGCATGGTCAGATAGTCCATTTCCTCTGTCGATTGTAATGACGGTATGCACAACTCTTGGGGCAGTAGCCCTGCCTCCGCTACTAACAAAGATATTGGCAGGGACTTACATCCCTGTGGATGCTGCCAAACTGTCAATCAGCACCATGCAGGTTAAGTTAAATATAATAAATAGTAAATTTGGCTTACACCCTTCAAATTCAATTTGCAGTACCTACAACCCTTCACTTTTTGTTCCTATAAATAATATCCAATTTGTATAAGTAAAAACCCATGACTAGGATCAAACTCAGCAAGTTACCTAATTAAACATAAATTCTGATTTATTGTACTTTTCATATTCCAAAAATACCCCCAACTAAGCCATTATTGCATTTTGTATATTAATGTAGGAATCAATATGGAAACAGTTTTTAATTGGATTGTATATAATGACAGATGTTGAATTTGGAAAGATCTTCAAATGGTTGTAATGGATGTAGGAATTAATTTTGAAACATTTTTTAAAAAAAATTTAACAATAAATTCATATTTAGGTAATCAGTTTGTTTAATAAAATGTTTATGTTATTTTCTTTTTATGAATTATACATGACTAATAATCCACTTTATAATTGCTTATGAATAAAATTGTACATACTAATTATGTTGAAAAAATAATGTACCTATTACTTGTTTGTTTTATGAAAAATATAATTTATCTAGTATGAAAAGTGTACATAATTATCTATTCCAATATACCTACATTATATGACATCCAATATACCTACATTAATTTTAATGTACTTACAATTAGGATTTAGGTATTATATGTCATCCAATATACCAACCATTTGAATAATATACCTACTACCAATAAAGTACCTATTATTTATCTAAATAATGTACCTATTTTTTTCTATAAATAATATAGCCTTTTTTCTCTGAATAAAGTACCTATTATTTGTTTTATTAAAAGTAATTTTTTTAAATGAACCTATTTTCTCTCTCCAAATAACTTACCTATTTTTTTCCTCTAATAATGTACCTATTTTTCCTCTCCAAATAATGTACCTATACACATTTATAGGTAGTTTGTAAAATAATTTACCTATGGGTAAATAATGTACCAATATTTTATATAAATTATTGTGTACCTATTTTTAATTATGAAAAATATACGCAATTACAAAGTAACTGACTTTGTTTTTTTTTTTTTTTTTTTTTTTTTTTTTTTTATATAACTATATTTTATATGTATATGTATATATATATTATATTTTTCATAGGTACATTATTGGATATGTAATTTACAGATTTTTTTTTTTGTTTGCAATTTTAGGGGGCGAGATGTGAGAGGGAATGACAACTAAAAGAAATGGGGTGATTGATATGCTATTAATAGGGAGTATATTAATTACAATTATGGCACTTAATGAAATGCTTGAAATAAATTATAAATAAAATATGAAGTTTAGTGGCAACGATGTAAAAACATAAAAATACTACGACCTCTTCTATCCTACTGGTCATTTAAATTTGAAATTGGGTTTTACACATAGATTTATAGAGTGATAGGTATATCTCTAGAAAATAGAAAATGTAGGGATCTATATTGGACAAGCTCTAAATTCTTTGGCTGAGTTTATAGCGTACAGTTAGTTACCAATTTGATCCATCATAATTTTTTAGATGTTCCTAATTGTTGTGAACTTATTAAGGCTCATTGAGGAAGTGCAATGAAAGATTTTGTGTAGATTGTGACCCAAAAGAATCATTATTGAAGACATGATTGAGTTCAGAATGCAATCAAGGAGATGCAATCATGCAAAGGGAACAATAATTCATAGATAAGAAAAAAAGGGACTTTATTTCTCTATGATCTTGGAATCAGTCATCTCAGTCAGTACAGGGACATGATGCACGCACGCATGGCTGCCGGAGGACTTCCTCTATCCAATCAGTCCTTGTCTTGCAATTAAAGAGAGATTTTTTCGGATATGCCTCAGAAGTTCCTCGTCACTAGGGGATCATAGTCATATTCTTCACCAGCTTTTACAAATCTCCCCTTGACGCGTTTTCTAGTATCAGCTCTGGCCTTCCTAGAGGCATATCTTATTTGTTTACCAAATCTGCACATCAGAAATACAAAATCTCTGCAAGTAAATATAAGCAGATGTTGAAAGATTATGAAGAAATATATGTTTACATACTTCGTTGGCAGAGGGAGAGCTTAGACACATACGTGCGAGTTTTCTTTTTTTCCTTGTATCTCATCTTTGCCTTGTCCCTTGCTTGTGGACTGCTAGCCTCCATGGCTGAGTCCCAAGGCTCTCCGGTTAGAAATATGGGCGACAGACCACAATCTTGAAAATCAGGATTGCTTTCCCTGCTCATGCTGGACAGCGAAAGCGACATGCTCGAATGAACTTGCCCTGTAGGAAATCCCAGATTGATGTTTCTGCTGCAAGTAGGATTCATGAGTAAGCAGTTTGCACTACCGTTCATGGCAGGCATCACATTATCTGATCCACAAGAGGATTGAAAAGCCACGCAGTCTTGTGGTCCTGAAGATGATGCCTAAGGAAAAAGGGTCATGCGCATTGTAAATAAATCTGGTAACGTCAGAAAGTAAGCGAAGCACAGCGAAAGAAGAAGAAGAAAGAATCTTGCTTCCAGTCATTTTGATCATATTTTGCATCTCATTCCTTGAACTTTGAAGAAAGAAAAATAATATGGTAGCTATATTGGTTCCTAGTAGTCCCATTTTTGAACCTACCAAATCAAAGTCTGCACAAGTAATGTGTAACAATGGATTGATAATAGCAGGAATTTGAATGTCACAGAGACCATGAAAATACTATATATATCCTGTAGCAACGGAATCATCATTTCATATCTAAGATGGCATGCAATTCCTTGCTAGATGAGTGAACGCAGGAGAAAAATTAGAGGTGTCATGTAATAAAAGATATGATTTCAAGAGAGAATAAGTATGCGAGGACCTGTACAGCATTGTCATTAGGACCATTAGACTCTGTAACTGATAAGTTTTTCTCCATCAATAGGCAATCCATTTCTCCATCCTCAAACTGGTATCTGGAAGGACCTTGTGGACAGCTAAATATGCCTTCAGCATTTTCAAAGTTCAACGGAACATCATCAATGTTGAGGCCATCACATAGATCATTGCTATCCTGAATTGCAAGATGTTTAAAATTTGTACAACCCTGTAGTATATATGATATAATAGCAATGCATCAATCAAGCTTAAGCAAAAAGTTCATTTTTACGGGTAGGAAATAGCATATGAACCAAGTTAGTTTAAAACTACATCTATGACTTTTTGCAACTTTATAAGTCATTTTTACGCCCTCCTTTAAAGTTCATTAGCCTAATTTTACACTACTTGCAATGTTGTTCACCACCCAAACCCTTACTCTCTGAAAGGTGTATATATCTAATCCCTTCATAATTGGGATCCTTTTTTATAAAAACCAAAAGGAATCGCATTGTCGGGGTCACGTGGAAATGTGCTCCAATAATCTGAACAGTCTAAATTGGAGATCCTCATATAAGAATCATCCCTGCAAAAGATCAACAAAAATTGAAAAATCCTTTGATCATTTGATTATATATGATGATCATTTCAGTGTTTATCAAAAACACTATATATGTTCGTCTTTGTATTTGGTCATACTTAAATATATGATGAAATGGTTTCCAATTTAATTGATTTCTTGTAAGGATGATCCTTAAAAGAGGATCTAATATAAAGAAAGTTTGGATTACTGCACCGCATTTAGGGTTGGATGATACCGCAAGTTGATCCAATAATCCGAATCGTCTTGAGAATGATATATGCTACATTAAAATCAAGTATAGTTGCATTAAAATTTTGTCAAAATACTAGAACGAAATGTTACCTTTGACAGGCTAGATTCCTGTGGCAAGAAAGGTGCTTGATCTTTATTACCTTGAGGGATGCCATTCGGATTCGCTGAAATTAAAGTAGATCTGGCCATCCAAGGCTCAAACTTGGCACAAGAAGACTGATCTAGTGATCCACTCAACTTGCTAGTCACAACCCCAAATGATCTCTCGCTATTATCTCTACGTTCCAAAGCATTACCAATGCAATTAGTCTGATCATTTATTGGCACTTGAGCTGATCCAAGTGACTGATCCCAATTATTATTTCCGCCGCCACCACCACCACAACCATTAGTCTCAAAACCACTTGAAGAAGATCCATCAAGAACCGAAGACCAAATTCTCGAAAACTCAGACAAAGAAGGGCAACCCGTGTAACAAGTTAATGCATGTGTCCTATGCCCTCCCATCCCTGTTGTTGTATCTCCATTGTTATGATTCCATTGATCACAGCTTTGACATAAGGACAACTTCTCATCCATGCATCGGACCATTGCAGGCTGAGCATTACACTTGTCACATAGAAGTGAGCGAGGATGCCTGCGTGACAAAATGTTCGCTGAGTGCACACAACCATCACAGTGCAAGCAAAGGCGAGCCAGGTCCGATTTACAGTAGACAACTGCCCTTACCACCCCACAAAACTCACATAGAGGCTCCATTTTTGTTTTTCTGTAAATATAAACACCTCTATCTCCTCTAATTAAACCTAGTAATCAATAACCTACTTATTATTACTATCACTGCTTATTCCTCCTAACTAAACTATAAATGAAAAGATAGTTCATGGCGGGTTTCCGGCTTTATGATTTTAGGCTCCAACCACAAAGGTTCTATCTGATCCTACAAAATTTTGAAACAAGGAAAACAAAATATCATCTTTATTACGGATCAACGAATACAATTATAAAATAATTTAAACATGAACTTAAGTAAGTATAAAAACTAAGACTGAGAATAGCATGTCCTTACTACAGTTCCACACAAAATTATATCATACATATATATGAACATAATTGGAACCAATTAATTAGAGTAATGGCAAGCGCTCACCGACCGGAATGGAGCGGAACCCCGCCGAAAACATTGAACAATATCAGCCAGGATCAACAAACATGAATTCCATCGGAGAGTGGAAGAAAATGGAGGCTGGTTAATTCCTGTAAAAGGAAGTATTTTGATCGGAAAGAAGAAGTGTAGAGGGAGAGAGAGGGAGGCACTAAGAACTCAATACCTTGGCATGCACGCAGCTGACTTAGGTTTGTTATATATTCACGTAGGTTTTCTGGGTTTTTGACACGTGGCAAGATGTGAGCCTCGAAACATATATTTTTGTGTGAGGCAGGTCCGTTTCACTCGCAAGGTGGGGCTTGGAGAGATGGCAAAGGAGGTAAACAAGTGGAAGAATGAGGTGGGTCTTGTTGGAGAATTTAGTCCCAAGCTGCTTGCCAAGTCAGCGTTAGCTCCGAAAAGAAAGATCACAGTTGTGCTGCGCACGAAGACTTTTGATTTTTGTGGTCAACTGGTTTGCTGAGTTGGCATCCAATCTACTTATTTGAATTTTTTAGTGCCAGATTATCCCTCTTTAACTCAGAAAAACTTATATAAAACGGAGATAATACTATTTTGCTATTCCTGGCTAATCAGGCTATATCAAGTAATAAGGTAAAAATAGTGTTATCACACTTGACATAGTGTGATTGACCAGAAAAAGCAAAATAGTGTTATCCCCATTCCGTTGCACACAAGTGTTTCTCTTCACTTTACAACAATTAACTAACAAATAATAAGGTAAAAATGATTCATAAAACTAAAAATAATTTTAATAATCAAACAGAGGCTTGAAAGTATCTTCAATATAGAAAAATCAAATGCATCATATCAAATTAAGTTTTGTTTGACGTCAAATATTTCACTTTTTTCAGTCAGATCAATATATACTTGTTACTCTAGACCTCAAAAGTACAACGTTTATCTTTAAAGAAAAAGAACAAAAGCGAGAAACAATTTTGACTGTATCAAATAACAATAGAGATAATGAACCCACCCCTTTACTTGGTTTATGCCAGTCTCATCAATTGGCCTTTGGACCCAAGATTTCTGTCTTAGTCCACGTTGGGTTATATGGGAACCTCTTTGGGATTCTCCTGTTGAACTTAATGTTGATAGCTTGGGCAAGGCTTGGATCAGTGCTGCTTTCGACTTCGCAGTTCATAACTTGCTGGTCTTCGGTTGCCTCCAGCGCTGCTCTTCCTTTAGGGATCGGTTTTCGGATGTGAAAGTTGAAGCCAAGACCTTGAGGGAAGGTCTTTTCTGAGTTGCTGAGAGCAGTGCTTTGCTTTGTTTGTATTTAGGGTTGAGGAGTAGGGTGACTCTAAATTCTAATTAAGGCTAGTAATTAATCAATTGTGTTGAGCGAGTGGTTGTGAGGTTGAGCGGAGACTGAGTTTTCTATTTTAAGGATTCAGACTTGTGTTTTACGAATGCTAATCTCATGACTAGTGAGATTGTGGATGTAACAGGGACATGTGTTGGACGCTCCTCGACTTCAGAACTTTAATGGTGAAACTATATGTTAATTTCGAAATTTATAGAGATTTTAGGGCCAAATCGATCCTGTTTATTAAAAGGGAAAAAGAAAAAAAAAGCGTAAGTAAATTTATCGTTCTTCATAGTTGAACGCCCAAATTGCGGTGCTGTAACAAATGTATAACAAATGCCAGAACTGGTTGATGTATTGAGCATTTTATTTGGTGTTTTATAGATAGACTCTAACAAAATAATTGACCCACTTGCCCTAACCATTTTTGAACTATTTACGTGGCCTTCCAGCTTGTGATTTTTTTGACCTGCCTAGCTAGACCAGAAAACAAGAAGGAACTTCTAGAATATGGCTGTCAAAAACTGAAGGAGCGAGAGATTCAGGTCCCTTGCAACATTGTGAAGATTTTGAAGCGAGTTTCCAGTTTGCATGCGTGATCTTAATCAAGATCTTAATCTAGAATATGGCTGTCAAAAAGGCATTCTTGCGCATTTGTCACTAAATGTCACCAAATAATGGTGACTGCTTTTTTTTTTTTTTTTTTTTTTTTTTTTTTTTTTTTTTTATTTAAGGAAAAAACATATGTGTGTCATGCCAAGAAAAATTCAAGTATCATTGATTACTATTTACATTTTCGATCTTCGGGAAGGTAAAAATATAACTTGGGACCTCTTCAATATTGTGAAATAGAAATACGATCAAATTAATAGGTAATTTGTCTTATTGAGTTAGTTGTTTACTTGTTCTCACGAACGATAGAGAATGAAACAGGTAAGATCTCTAGAAGGATCATCATCAACTAAACTTAATTAGGTGAGGAAAAATGGTAGATAATGTTGTCAAAAAAACATTATTAGCTTTTTCGGAAAATGAAATCAACCAACAGAAAGTGCAACCAAAAGTTTCATTATTAATTACCATATTGTTTTTTTAGTACAAGTGATAACCTAGACAGGAGGGGGGTTTCTCACACATACACAACTAATATGTCATGGGGGTTCGAACCTGAGACCTCTTGTCTGCAGGTCAATACCATTTTTCTCTATACTAGACCCCGTTGACAATTGTTACATTATATTAGATGTACATATCAATTTTTTTCATGAGTATATGATGATATATACACGATAATGTGTATGAATAACATTTATATAAAATTAAACATAACGTATCACAAATAAAACCTTTACTAGCTACTAAGCACACTAAAATTGTCAGCAACTTCCACATTAACAAGTCATCTGTTTACTTCTACTTTCCACATACGTAAGTTGTAAATGAATGAAACAAACGAATATATATTCAATGAATTCTCACATTATGAAATTAATTTAAGAAGTGTTGTTTGCAATTTGCTACACTAATTAATTAATTTAATAAACTAATACATGCCATTTGCTACACTACTAATTAATAAACTGATTAATCAGAGTTAAGAGATCAAGTATGTGAACACAGCAACTATAGAGATTAATATATAAGAGTATCATACTTGTGTTCATGGATTTAAAGAATTTTAGCTATTGGACCAACTAGCACAATATTTTTTGTAGGTACTGGATAGCTAAAAGCCGGGAAAAACTATGAAAATTGGAAAGAAAAAAAAACTATGTAAAATTAGATAGCACAACTCGATATAGCACAAGTCCTAAAGACGGAGAAGAACTAGAAATCATATGAGCTTAATCATGGTTAATTTTTACAGGATAGTTCTAAGCTATATTGATGAGACTCACCTTGAAAAAATGGTTATTTGCGAGGTATGTTAGCTTGCTTGAGAACTTACTACTAGAAAACATCTACGTATTCGTCATCGGTGCGCACCTGTAGTCAATAATGAGATAAGTCGTATGTTTTCTGTGGCCAAAGTGTGTTGGCCACAGACAACGTGATTGTGTTCTCAACATACTGTTGCCATTCATTTTCTCCAATAGCAAAGAGTGTATGTGGCCACTAAACTGAGACATTTTGAAGTTTGGAAGGCCAATGTTGGCTTACATGGGGCAAATTCTGGGTACAAATTTGAAATTTACTCTAGAGATTTAAAGAACTTTAAAAAGTTGGAAGAACACAATATTTTTGGTGGGTATTGGGTAACTAAAATTGGGCGACTGACATTTAAAAAATAAGAACAATGGGGATGGAATTTATATTCGGATTATTGAAGCCATGGTCTTGAAGGAAAGGCCTACCATGGGCATGCAGTGGAGAAGCCATAAAATGTTTCCGAGTTATTCAATCAAGTTCAGAGTAACTCTAAGTTCTCTTGTGGGGAGGTTCCATATAAATGATAGCAAAATTCTTCATCCTTATCAACAATATGTAAGGTTCTAACATATGCTTAGAAAAAGCTAATTTTGTGGTTGATGCGACAGTTATGAGATATGTGTTGGATTCTCCTTGACTTCGGAAATTTGACTTCCCTATGTGGTGAAATCTTTTATAAACGTTGAGATTTGCAGTCTTGGTGCAATAGAGATTTTAGGCCTAACTTTAGGTGACATTTATCTTTAACAATATAAAAAAAAAATCACATTTGAAAATTAGGATACGAGCCTCTATATTTAATATCAGCATATTACCAAGTTCACATAGAAACTAAGCCAATAGTTAATTTGTCACCACACTTTCACATAATTGATGTCATAACTCTACTTGATCTCACATATTCATATAATTTACTGATCACAAGACATCACAAATAAAACCTTTCTACCATAGGCACCCAATCACTCACCATACATATGGAACATTAACAATTTCTTCTTCATCTTTTTTCTTGTACCCTTGTAATTTACACACTCACACAACCCTAGTTAATAAGATAATTTTATTCAGGACCTGTACCCGAGAGAAAAGAAAGAAAATAAAAATATATTTTATTTATAAACTGGGTACATTAGTGTGGAGGTTGTTGATCATAGGCCTACGTGGGATGATGGTTCTATTTCTGGAATATCATGAACGTACTCCGCGGAATCAAGAGTAGGAGTTAGCTGATCAGGGCTGGGTGCTGCTGGAGGATTATTCAAATTGTTCCAGCCTCCTGGCCTCCGCCATTGTCTTTCGTTGCACGACGAGTCCCGGCCAATGATACAAGGCCCATAGTCAGCCGTTTCGGCTCGAGTTGCAGCCACAACCACCGCAACCACCGCAACATCAACCAGAATTGTCGCCAACAACTTCCGCATTGTTGCTCTTGGTCGTGGGTGTGTTATGAAGTGACACTAACTTTCTAATAATAAAAAAAAAAAAAAAAAAAAAAAATATTAAATAAAACTGATGAAAATTCATTCAATTAATCTCACATTACGTGATGAGGTTTAAAAGATGTAAGTTACTACTTTTATTATTTGTTAAATACTCTGCAATTTGTTGTAATTGACACAATATTTTCTTGGTGGTGGGTATGTTTGGTAAGTAAAGTTAGACTCAACAAATTTATTTATATATAAGAATAAGGTGGAAGATAAAATGTGAAGGATATAAAATCAATACGAAATTAACATGACGTTTATAAATTTTCGACATAACATTGTGTCGTGTCGTGTGGTTTTTGTTTCACAAGTTTGGCACGAGATTGAAACATTACACCAAATTAACATGTCTTGACACAAATTGGCATCAATATATAATTAAAAATGATAAAATAATTTTCTTTTAAAGTCGCTTAATTAATAGGTCGTGTTGTGTTGTGTGTTGTTAAACCAAAATAATAAGATACTTTTGTGTTTTAAGAAGGTGACGAGGAAAGGCATCTCTTTCCAATTTGACGCTTCTCATTTTCATCGTCTCTAAATAGTAATACGAAAATGGTCCAAAAACACGTTTTTGAAGGCGAAACGAAACCTGCCTTAAGTTTCAATTTAAATTCCCAAAAATCCCCCTCCCTAAAGTTTTAATTTTCAAAATAGGTCTCTTTCTAATTTCTAATTGCCATTCTACGTCTTCCCTCTGCTTAGTCCACACTCAAACCCCATCAACCTTTTGCACCAGAGATCAGGTTGGAGATCCAGCGAACCCGTAAAAAGGTTCGCATTGCAAGGTACTTTTGTTTAATCAAAACCCTTCAATTTTTTTTCTTTTTAAAAAGTCTGTTGGATCTGCAAATTAAGCTAGACTTTTTTCACGCCAATTAAAGTTCTCATCTTGATGAGCAGGTCCTTCTTCAACGGTTTGTTGAACAAATCTGCCAGTTGGTCTTGGACTTGTAATACAAAACCTCAACTTCTTTGTCTTTGGAAGACCATGATACAGCACTTGAGCCAACGCTAAAGACCTAACCAAAATTGCTTTTGAAAGTGTCAACAAATCTGTCATTAAATAATGTAATGACTTGGTCAAGGTTATCGTCTTCATATCATATCTATTTCTGAGATCTACCCAAGTTTAAATATATTTAGTTCGTGTTTATGAGCTGAAAAGTCTTGAGCCAGAGTTTATAAGCCATGGTCCACAGAGAGAGACATTCTTGTCAAGGTAACCATTAATCAAAAGTCTTTCAAAGCTAACAACACACAGACAGAGAAGAACCTCAATAACAGAGTTTGCAATTTAATTACTAGAATTTGATATTAGCAATAAAATTTCGGGTACGTAGCTAGTTGAGAAGTTACTCTAAAAACATATTACAACAAACAAATTACACCGCCACGCTTACAAGAATTCAAAACAAAAACACAAATACTTGTCTAATTTCTGTGTCCCCCCCTCGCCCTTGTGCCTCTTGGCTTCTTACTCCTGCTAATCTTCTCTACAAACCATTCATGATTCTTGCTTGTCCAAAAGTCCCCAGCAACCACTCCAACTATTAGACCACTAATAGCTCCTGGCAGAACCACATACCAATCTAGTTCAATTTGAAATCCAGAGTCTTCATCTTCTTCGAAGATTGATGGCAGTAGCGATATTGAGCTCTCACATTTCTTTGACAAAGGCTTTCCACACAGACCTGAGTTTCCTTGGTATGAATCTTCTAGGAATGTATCAAATTGTTGGCCAAGTGGTATAGACCCCAAAAGATAGTTATGGGCGACATTAAAATATGCAAGGAAATTGAGTTGTGCCAAATTACCGGGGATCCTTCCTGAGAGCTGGTTTTGGGAGAGATCCAACGATTCAAGAGCAGTCAAGTTCCCTAAAGATGAGGGGATGTGACCAGTGAGAGCATTGTTGGAAAGGTTAAGCGAAATAAGGGCTCTTAGATTCCCAATGATACCTGCTGGAATCTCTCCTTCAAATTTATTACTTGAAAAATCTATCAACCTAAGCAGATAAGGGGTTTGAAAATAATCCAACTCAACACCTTTTTCAAAAGTCGTGATCGAGTATGAAAAAGCATAGCCGCCTGAGCTGTCTGACATCGAAGAGGCTACAAAATAAGCTTGCTCACTCTTGTCAACAAATTTCATGGAATTCCAGTTCTCTAAGTAGTTAGAGGGCAACATACCTGAAAAATCATTGTTAGATAAATCAATGATGCACAACTTTGGGAAGTCATGGTTAGTTGCAGACTTCCCAATCATGCCATGAAATCCATTAGACCTCAAAATGAGAATCGACAATGCTGGAAGTGTCCCTAACCAAGAAGGGAAGATGTCACTCATCTGATTGTTTCCAAGGTTAAAAAACTCTAATAGAGTGCAATTTGCTATTGATCTTGGTACCTTCCCCTGTAACTGATTGTAACTCAAGTCAACCATTTTCAAACTACTTTCGGCTGTTGGACATAATTGAGGAATACTGCCATGAAAAGAATTGCTGTTCAGCATAAACATTTCCAAATCACTGGAGTTACCCAAACACTGTGGAAGCATGCCACTGAAGTTGTTGTTGGACAAATCAAGAACGTGCAAATGATTCAAGTTGCAGAACGAGGGCGGAATTTCTCCACTATAATGATTTTCTGCGACCATATAATTTCTGATTGATTGTGGTGGAATTGGCAGTGAACCTTGTATCAGATTAAACATGAGATTTAAAGTAATTAGATTTTTCCATGGAAGAATGATTGGATCTTGCTCAAATCCTGTTAAGAAGTTTTGAGAGAGGTCAAGAGTCAACAAAGTTTCTCTAGTTGCGTTCCACAACCATTTTGGTATTCGCCCACGAATATTGTTTTTACCAAGGTATAGGTCGCTTAATTCGTATTGACTTCTTAAAAACTCTGGGAGCTCTGTTAAGTTGCAGGAACCCAACCTTAGAACTTGAAGCTGTGGAAGAGTAAAACTCAAATTGGTTTTGATATGCAGTGATAACTTGTTGTATGATAATCGAAGTACCTTTAACTTTTTGAGCTGGATAAACTGATCAAACTCAACTAATCCACTCAAGTTATTATAGGCAAGGCCAAGAGATTCAAGATTTTTGAGCTGAAAGAGAGACCTAGGAATTTCTCCTTGCAAATTGTTTTGCCCGAGCAATAGAGTAGTTAATTTGGCCAACTTCATAAACCAAGATGGGATTTGACCAGAGATTTCATTAGTGGCCAAGTTTAGATGTTCAAGTTGTGTCAGGTTAGCCAAAAAACATAAGAATTTTCCAGTTATGTTAGCTTCCGTAAGGAGCAAAGTGTGGAGCTTGGTTAGCTTTCCAACCCATGACCAAGAATCAATAACTTGGCCTGTGGAAAAATTATTTGAAACGTCATGATATGAAGACATGTCAAGGTAACGGAGCTGGGTAAGGTTTCCGAGTGAAGACGGAACATGGGGATAAAATTCACAGTTGGAGATGTCCAAGAAATTTAAGGAAAGAAGATACCCCAGAGAAGTAGGCAGTTGGCCAGAAAACCCGGATAAGGAAAGGTTGAGATATGTCAGGTTGGTGAGATCGAGACCCAATCTTGATGGTATTTCAGAGAAATGGAAATCATTATCTGAAAGGTCAAGCCTCTGCAAGTGAACAAGTTGGAAGAGGCTGCTGTTGGAGTTGAGAGAACCATAGAGACAGCTGCTGCTGAGGTCAAGGCCAACAACATGGCCAGACTCCTCATCGCACTCAACACCCTTCCATGAGCAGCAATTGCTCCGATTCTGATCTCCTTCTCGCTTCCAAGATGCAACCTTCGGAAAAGCAAAAGGATGTACAGAAGCAGACTTGTTAACCGTGAAGCTTTCCTTGAATTTAAACAAGGCAGAGCACTCATCAACATGGCCACTTCTCTCTACTGTCTGCACAAATGAAAAACAGTGAGTAACATTGAGTAACAGCAAAACTATACAATGTGGAGAAAAAAGGTTGCGCCATGAAGATCCCATTCCCGTGGAAAGTTTCGTTTGTGATTATCTGTGTTTGTGGCTCCAGGAGAAATGAACCTCCTTTTATAGACACAAGTCAACAACTCATGCAAAATAATCAAAAAACAGGAGATTAGGAATTGAAAAGAAAAATGAGCCGATCAATCTCCATCACTCGAAGACTTGGAGTAAAGTCGTCTGCGTGTAGGTGAAGTGATTAAGGCCTAAAAGTCTTTAAAATCTTAACTAATGGTTGAAATTTATTATTTTGTGTTTATCATGCTGAAGTAAGGCATAAAAATCCTTGAACCAGTTTATACGGCACGGATCACCACCACAGACGTTATTGTCAAGCGCATCAAAGTCTTAACGTCCTTCCTAAACCTTTTCAGTATTTTCACTCCATTCTCAAAAGTTAATTTTGGGGCACAAAAAAATATTAGATCTAAACACCTAGGCCCGTTTGGTTCACGGATTGAACTTCTTAGGAATAAACTTCCTATGTCTAATCCCATGAGGTAGGAATGAAGGATGTTCATTCCCATATTTGGAAACGCTAGGAAATTAAGACAAGAAAAAGTAATTTTATCTCATTCCCATGTTTGATTTGTGCAGTATTAGGAATGAAACATCGTTTAGTTTTTCAACAATACCCTTACCTTTTTTTTAAAAAAAATATTAGAAGTTATTAATATTTTAACAATCTTTTTCTACTTGCAATACCTGCAAAAACATAAACAAAATAACAAAAACAAAAGTCTGATCGTGGGGCCAAATGGATCACGAGGACTATGAAATAACCATGTTCTTATTAAATCAAACCCATATTCTATATCATATATTATAAAAATATAATACGGAATTTTATTGATCCAAACCATCTATTTTGTATATGTTCATTCATATAATATAATACGGAATTTTATTGATCCAAACCATCTATTTTGTATATGTTCATTCATATAATATAATGTTAGTATGAAAATTGTATAGTCATTTCCTAGACTCTAGCATAAGTTGGGAATTAGTGTGTGAATATTGTTTACTGGAAGTTTTGGCGCAACACATTCAATCACAGATTTTTGTAGTGTGACTTGATCGATATGAGGAAGCTAATTTCAGGTAAATCATGACATAATCATGCATTCATTATAGGATTCCTAGTTAGAGTTATTTTCAATAAAGTATTTTTATGTTAATCCTATTTTAAATATGATTAGATTTTATCTCTTAAGATTACTTTCCTAGTTGGACTCTATTTTGATTTAAGTTAAAATATTAGCATTCTGGTATCATCCCTTTGAGTCCATATTGAATCAGAATTCATATTCATAATTGTATTCGTCATCGGTGCGCACCTATAGTCAATAATGAGATAAGTCATGTTTTATGTGGCCAAAGTGTGTTGGCCATAGACAACGTGATTGTGTTCTCAGCATACTGTTGCCATTCATTTTCTCCAACAGCAAAGAGTGTATGTGGCCACTAAACTGAGACATTTTGAAGTTTGGAAAGCCAATGTTGGCTTACAAGGGGCAAATTCAGGGTACAAATTTGAAATTTACTCTAGAGATTTAAAGAACTTTAACAGTTGGAAGAACACAATATTTTTGGTGGGTATTAGGTAACTAAAATTGGGCGACTGACATTTAGAAAATAAGAACAATGGGGATGGATTGTATATTCGGATTATTGAAGCCAAGGTCTTGAAGGAAAGGCCTACCATGGGCACGCAGTGGAGAAGCCATAAAAGGTTTCTGAGTTATTCAATCAAGTTCAGATTAACTCTAACTTCTGTTGTGGGGAGGTTCCATGGAGATTGTTTATAAAGGATAGCAAAATTCTTCATCCTTATAATATCAACAATATGTAAGGTTGTGACATGTGCTTAGAAAAAGCTAATTTTGTGGTTGATGCGACAGTTATGAGATATGTGCTTGATTCTCCTTGACTTCGAAAATTTGACTTCCCTATGTGGTGAAATCTTTTATAAACGTTGAGATTTGCAGTCTTGGTGCAATAGAGATTTTAGGCCTAACTTTAGGTGACATTTATCTTTAACAATAAAAAAAAACCACATTTGAAAATTAGGATACGAACTTCTATATTTAATATCAGCATACTACCGAGTTCACATAGAAACTAAACCAATAGTTAATTTGTCACCACACTTTCACATAATTGATGTCATAACTCTACTTGATCTCACATATTCATATAATTTACTGATCATAAGACATCATAAATAAAACCTTTCTACCATAGGCACCCAATCACTCACCATACATATGGAACATTAACAATTTCTTCTTCATCTTTTTTCTTGTACCCTTTAATTTGCACACTCACGCAACCCTAGTTAATAAGATAATATTATTCAGGACCTGTACCCAAGAGAAAAGAAAGAAAATAAAAATATATTTTATTTATAAATTGGGTACATTAGTGTGGAGGTTGTTGATCATAGGCCTACGTAGGATGATGGTTCTATTTCTGGAATATCATGAACATACTCCGCGGAATCAAGAGTAGGAGTTAGCTGATCAGGGCTGGGTGCTGCTGGAGGATTATTCAAATTGTTCCAGCCTCCTGGCCTCCGCCATTGTCTTTCGTTGCACGACGAGTCCCGGCCAATGATACAAGGCCCATAGTCAGTCGTCTCGGCTTGAGCCGCAGCCGCAACCATCACAACCACAACCAGTATTGTCGCCAACAACTTCCACATTGTTGCTTTTGGTCGTGGGTATGTTACGAGGCAAGTGACACTAACTTTCTAAAAAAGAAAAGTAATTCTATTAAATGAAACTGATGAACATTCATTCAATTAATCTCACGTTACGTGATGAGGTTTAAAAGATGTAAGTTACTATTTTTATTATTTGTTAAATACTCTGCAATTTGTTGTAATTGACACAATATTTTTTTGGTGGGTATGTATGGTAAGTAAAGTTAGACTCAACAAATTTATTTATATATAAGAATAAGGTGGAAGATAAAATGTGAAGGATATAAAATCAATACGAAATTAACATGACGTTTATAAATTTTTGACACAACATTGTGTCATGTCGTGTTGTTTTTGTTTCAAAACTTTAGCACGAGATTGAAACATTACACCAAATTAACATGTCTTGACGCGAATTGGCATCAATATATAATTAAAAATGATAAAATAATTTTCTTTTAAAGTCGCTTAATTAATAGGTCGTGTTGTGTTGTGTGTTGTTAAACCAAAATAATAAGATGCCTTGCTGTTTTGGCGTGTAGACTGGATCTTTTCAGCTGTTAAGGCTTTAGGGTTTTGTTGGGCCTGTCTTGTTGTTGAACTTCTTGTACTTGTTTTGGGCTTTTGGCTTTTACTGCCTTTTCGTCTGGTCATATGGTTTATTTACCCAGAATGGAAACGACACCGTATACATTTTCCGATACTTTTGTGTTTTAAGAAGGTGACGAGGAAAGGCATCTCTTTCCAATTTGACGCTTCTCATTTTCATCGTCTCTAAATAGTATATACGAAAATGGTCCAAAAACACGTTTTTGAAGGCGAAACCAAACATGCCTTAAATTTCAATTTAAATTCCCAAAAATCCCCCTCCCTAAAGTTTTAATTTTCAAAATAGGTCTCTTTCTAATTTCTAATTGCCATTCTACGTCTTCCCTCTGCTTAGTCCACACTCAAACCCCATCAACCTTTTGCACCAGATCAGTTTGGAGATCCAGCGAACCCGTAAAAAGGTTCGCATTACAAGGTACTTTTGTTTAATCAAAACCCTTCTTATTTTTTTTCTTTTTAAAAAGCCTGTTGGATCTGATCCATGCTCAACTTTTCCAATTATACCTCTCTGCATTTGCTCTGGTGTTTTCTTACTTTTTGCTGAATTTTGGGGAACTGGGTATCCATTGGTGTTTCTGGGATTTTAGGATTTTTGGTGGGAATTTGGATTTGGGTTTTGAGAAGCTATGTTCATGAAGTGCTTTGGCGAATTTGGCAGACAATTTTGATAAGGTGGTTTGCTTAATTCGCATTGTTATAGTTTTTTGATGCCATGGGATTGGTCGGGTTTTGTTGATACATCTAATCATATGTTGAATTAGGTGATGGTTTTTCATAAAGACAAGAGTCTTTAGTTAGCCCTTCAATGCTGGATGTTGGAGGGATCCTAATTTTAATAAAGTGTTTTTTTTTCGGACGAATTTTTTTTAATTAAGTGTTAAGCTCTTAATGTTGTGGTTAGTTCTTCTGTTGTGGTTCAGATGCATCGCTCTGATTTTTTTTTTCTTAAGCAGCATTAGTTATTGTATCACATCCGAGATATGGAATAATGAACTTGGTTATAGATGGCGTACAGGATTTCAAAACATTTAGCTCCATTTATGTTTTCCTTCTAGTAACTTTTGTATCTGTAAATCACTATTTTGTTATACTTCTATTTGACATCCCAACCTCGCAAACTTTAAGGCAATTGCTTCCAAATTCTTTTGGTAGCTTTGGAAGCATATTTTATATTTCCCTGTGATTTCATTTTCTGCAGGTTCTTGGCTGGCTACGCGGCGGAAAAATTTCCCAATTGCTAGTTTTATCTATGTTTGGAGGTCTTGCGACAGTTCCTTCCAATAGTCCACATTTAAGAAAGTCGGGTAGCAGACCTGTTGTCTCTGATCTGGGTACAATTAGTGTTTGGGTTATGACTTATGAGTTCTGTGGTTACTGTTTAGATATATCTACCTTGGGGTTTTGTTTGTCCTTCACTGTCTTAATAGTTAAAGTAAAAATTCTTTCAGGTGTAAGTGATAACGAAAATGGTGCTGAGGAGGGTTTCTTGAATCTGACAGAAGCAAACGATATGAAGGGTGGAAGCATGCCAATTAGTACAGCGGCAATAATGCCATCTCCAGCTTTGTTATGGAGATTCAAGGTTTCGTTATTTATAATATTTTTGTGTATTTCTAATATACATTTTTCCAGTTATTTCCTGCTTTTTGCTAGATAATTGTAAATTTCTCAACCTGGTAGAAGAAGGAAATTTAAAATTCTGAAATAGATTGCATGGATCACCAAAGTTTGATTGAATACAAGTGGTCATTTCTTCTCTGCTTCATTGAGAGTATTTTGATAATTAGGATGGGTTTTTACTTGATAGCAAGCCAGATATATGTTTTCTCATATTCCATTTGTTTGCTTTCGTTTTCTAGTTTCTAAGTTGATCTGGTATGCAGGTCCTACTGTTCTTTGTCTGGGGTTTCATTTGTTGCAAGGTCAGTTCTATATAATCCTGTTTTTACTACTGATTGTAGGATCTGAATTTAATGCCATAAGAAGTGACAAGAACCAAAAAATACATTAATATTGATCATGCTGCAAGGATGTTGTTACCAAACTACCCTCTAAATTTGCAGATTGGATGGGATTCTGTCATGAGGATGAGTGTGGATCTGCGAGATTTATTTCTATATGAGGCTTTTTTGTATTATAATCCTCTACTTCTTGTGGTTAGTTATGGTTTCTTATTCAGAATTGACTATCCTATCATACTTTTGCATTCTATATCCTTATATTGAAATCTTTTCCTCTGTTTTTTATATGTGCAGACTATGATGGTTTGGTTTTGGGGAATTAATCTATGGGTGTTTGCTCAGGCCAATGTCAATTATGCAAAAATTTTTGATCTCGATCAAAATCATCTGACCCACAGAGAAATATGGAAGGTACCAGTGCGTTAAGTCAGTCATCTTGAGTCATTAGCCTAAGAGTTATTTTCTGGTGCTGTTGTCATCCAGGACTTTAATGGTTATGCTATACAAACATAAGGCTTGTAATGCATAGTTTGTATTTTCATGTTTCTTATGGAATTATATTTTTCATCTGTTTTGACTGTGTATAGTGGCATTTTTTTTAACTATTCTTTAATTTAAAGGTCAGAAGTCATAACATGTAGCTTTCAATGCCTTTTTTTTAAAATATATTAAAAAACCTATCTTCAATTGTGCTGTTGGAAGAAAAATAATTGTGAGGAGCATACTGCATTTTAGTTATTTCTGTTAATAGGAGGTTGCATGTTTTCTTTATGGAATTCTGTTGGTCAACTACTTTTGGCATATCTGCCATTGATTTTTTTCTCCTTCTTTTTACCTCCTGTTTCATTGATTCACTCTTACCATTCAATATGCTATTTGCAGTGTGCCACATGGATGACAATCGTTGTGCCAACAAGCATGACAGCATATCTTTATCTTTATTCACATGGAGAAGTGTCACTTGCTGCATCGCAACCAGTGTAATAGATGCATCCAGTCTCATTGTTGTAGACATGACTATTATATTATGTATTCAATACTAATTTCATACATATATATATACACATGACTATTATAAATAAAAGGGAAGGGTACTACAGGAGACTTGGCAGTACATTGCCACCCCAAAACTGCTATTGCAAAGCGTGCTTAACTTTGTGACTGGAAAAAGTGGTTCCAATTGTTTTTGTTAATATCAAGTGAAATTATTTATTGAGCACTTCTGTAGGCATAATTGTAAATGGAAACTAGTGGCGGGCAATGAAGTTTATGCATGTTGAAGACTTTGTTTTTCCTGTAATGACTAAGTTTTATGCTTAAATCTTTTTTATTTTCAATATTCTGTTTATATATGTGTTTACCTAAAATTCACAAGATTTATGAAATACTTATATAAGTCCGCTTTCATCTTTGATTGAAAAAACGAAAGTTTAATTGTTTGAATAACCAGGCTTTTCAAAAGAAATTGTTTGAATGACCAAAGTTTCCAAGCTAAATGATGTATTCCAGTGCATAGAATAAATGTTGCAGTTATATTTTTATGATTGTTTATATTATCTGCCTAACATTATTTATCATACTGACAATGTCAATGCCCATGTTTTGCCTTCCTTCAATTAGTATCTTGTAATTATGCTAAGTTTTACATACATTCTTCTGCAGGTACTCTTATATGCTGCTGTTGCAATGATTTTGATATTCCCTTTTGATATTTTCTATTTGTCATCTCGCTTTTACTTGTTAAGGACTCTTTGGCGCATAGTTCTCCCATTACAGGCAAGTTTGTTTCTTTCAGGACAAATCTTTGCTCCTTTTCCTGTCTGTTGTTTTTGTTTCCTACTTACTGGCAAAATACTTCTCACAATGCTTGTTTATCTTTTGGAATTTGAGCTAGAAAACTGTGAAGGAGAAAAAAAAAAGTTTGTTAAGTGGTCATATGATTTCCCTTGTCATGCAAAACCTCTAAGAAGCTTAGAGTTTTATTTTCCTAATGTCTATTTATGTTGTTAAGAGGGTTCAGTTTCTACAAGGCCAAAGTTATCATTTTGCCTCATGATTATTCCCTGTACTAGAGATGGTTCCCTACTTTGTCTGGATATATGTTCAGCACTGTGAACAGGATGTGACTAATTGATTAGGGTTTTCTCAGAACTTGAATGTATGAAATACGGATTTTATCATGCTAACTTTCGCTATGATTGCTAATGTGGGTCCCATTGCATGCGTAGCCGCTGTACGTATTAGAAACTATGTTTCACTAATCAATCATCAATGAGAGTGAAAAGTGAAAGTTGAACTTTATCCTCTTATAAATTTCCCAGAATGGCAGCACTGCAGAGCCAAACCAATTACTTACTTCCAGTTGCTTAGGAATGGAGTTTATATTCTGGTCTCAACTAGTGCTTTGAGTTTTTTGTTGTTTGTGTGTAGGATGTTTAATTAATGTTTGTTACTTATTTGCCTAATACAGGCAATATCATTTTCTGACTTTTTCCTGGCCGATATTTTGACCTCCATGTCCAAGGTATGCATCCTATGTTTAATTTTATCATTATCCAAGTCATTTCACATGAGTGTAATCTTTGTGATATATTAAACATGTTGATAATTGTGTAGTGTGTATCTATGTACATTCTTGTGTTTCTTTTCTTTTAAAATAATTATTTATAGAAGTAGAATATAGTTATTGATTAAGGAATTATAGTATATATGGTTAACCTAATAGGAGTGCAGAATCAAGAAATGCTTTGGCATTTGTGATGAGATCTCTAATTTCCCCTATGCTTTTCTATTCTGATTATGATTGTCATTTCTATGCAGGTGCTTTCAGATTTGGAGCGATCAGTATGTCGAATGGTCCATCGACAGGTTAGGGTTTCACTTTTGAGTTGGGATTCTTCGTCTATGCCTTTTGCTTTAATTTTTCTCTTTTCTGCTGATGAAAAATAAAACTTTATTCTTTCATATCTACTTATAATAATCTTTTGTCGATTCTCATATTTTTTTTTTAAATTTGCTATTGTATTATTGAGATCACGTGACAGTCCTGCTGCAATCCTTTCGGTTCTTGTTTGACTTTTGTTTGTTAAAGAGATATTGGTGATACTTCACTTTTTTTTTTCTCTAAGACGTTTTCTTTGAAAACAGGTTGCCACTATTGCATGGTTTGAAGCTGACTCAGTTTGTGGCAGTCACTCTGTTGCAATCCCCTTGGTTCTTGTTTTGCCTTACCTTTTTCGTTTGTTCCAATGCCTTCGACAATATAAGGATACTGGCGAGAAAACAACCCTTCTAAATGGTATGCTCACTTGGCCACTTTTCTTAAATGTTTCTTTTTCAATGTTTTTCTCTGGCCTCAAATTTTTTCCTCAATTCATTTGGACATGTTTCTTCTCCTCCTTAGAGCCTCAGTGGCACTCATCCATGTTTTTGAGACACTTGGAGAATTTTGGTTTTGCACTGCTATGTAAAGTAAAATATTACAAAAACCATTAAACACATCCTATTATCTAGACAGTTGGTATATATGAATTTAGTTTTTGATCTTGCAATAGGTATTCTGTTCCCCTTCTCTTAATTAAAGTTAAATTTGCAAGTACTTTTAATGGTCTCTGTAATTTCTGTTTTACTTCTGTCAATTCTCAACGTTTCACTTTTGCATAACTTTTATGCATGTTACATTTTCATTTGCAACTGTGATAACCGCAACCGTGCCAACTGTATTATTTGCATTGTATGCTATTGAAGTATTGATTGATTTGTTGCCTTCATTGCAGTACTAAATTTATCTGCTCCTGATTTCAGCTTTGAAGTATTCAACTGCAGTACCTGTGATTTATCTTTCAGCCCTTAAATATCATGTCTTTCCTGAGAAGTGGACAAACTTTTATCGGCCCCTCTGGCTTCTGTCAGGTGTTTTGAACTCTTTGTACTCTTTCTACTGGGACGTGACTAGAGATTGGGACTTGAGGTAGGTGAAATGCTTTTTATTTCACACAATATTAATAGTAGATAAATGCTGAACTTGTGACCTTTAATATTTCACATTTGTTCCTATGTCACCTTAATCAGCACGTTAACAAACTGCTGGGATGAAATATCCATCAGATACAATTACCACGCAATCACTGCTATATGCAACCAGATTTAGAATGAACTCATGTGATCATACAATGAGGGAACTTAATTTTTTATGTCATTTGATGATGGTTTGCTTCTTTGTAAATCAGTGATAAATGTTCCAGGACATATTGGAACACAGATTATTCATGCTTTCAACTTGTTGCATCATTAATATCATTTTGCCATGCCCTCTAAATATCTGATTTCCTTTTGTCAGTGGTTTCACTCGGATTTTCAAGTTCGGCAAAGCACATCTCTTGTCAAACCTCATACACGGACGGAAATGGGTAAGTATATACCATTCTTCTGGTGTCAGTAGTAGTATTACACAAACTAATTATTTGACACATTGCCTGGTTGGTTTTGGCTCCTTAATCCCATGCAAGGTGGCCTTGACACTCCTATGCAAACCAAATGACTCAACTTGTGACTTGCCTTGAAATTATTTTATGTGAAATGTGTTGCAGGTTTACTTCTGGGTGATAAGTAGCAACTTGATTCTGCGTTGTACCTGGACATACAAGCTGTCTTCCCATCTTCGCCACAATTACCTTACCGTGTTCGCAATCACGGCCTTGGAGATTTTCCGCCGCTTTCAATGGGTTTTCTTCCGTGTAGAAAACGAGTGGAACAAGATGAACTCTAAGTCAAACATTCAGCTTTCCATGAGCGACACCGCAAATGAGGAAGAAAGATTACTTGTTTCTAATGGCCACAATGTATAGGCCGTTAAGAAGTTATTCTCTTCCTCGAATCATCATTCCTAGCTTTGTATAATTTTTTTCCCTAGTGGGATTGCTCATCGCCTTTTTCAATTTCAATTTACATGAACAAATGAAAAACGTTTCTTGTTTATAAAATGAATAGGTTCATCATTTCAACAGTGAGGAGATAATGTATACGTCACTTCATTTTGTGAAACAACATTTGTATAATGATGCCTTTGTCTTTGCTTAGAACGTCTAAAATTTTGGGATCTGCCCCTTCGCAATTCAATTCTAGGAAGTTTCCCTTCAAACCAAATCAATTGGCAACCACTTATTTCATGGGTTTGGTGCTGGCCAATTAAAATCCTATCTCCAAATCGCATGCGTTTGTGGGATTCCCTTCAAGCCAAATCAATTGGCTCAAGGTCACTCCCACGCTACTTATCAAACCACCACCTTTCGATAGCTCCAGCCTCCAGCCACCGGATGGTATGCACACGTGTCAAACACCCAGTTCGTCAGTCGTTGCCACCCAACCCAACCCAGATAATATGCACGGCAAGGCCAACCCTCTCTAGTCTTAAACCACCCAAAACTCTTCCTCGCACTTCCACCTGAAAACCAGCAACCACAACCATAATGAGCTAAATGTTAGCCGCCGACGAGTTCACCAATCACCATGGCCGGCCGGAGCCGAGTATCCCGAGAGTGTTAACCATACTCTCTTTCGTGCTGGAGAAGTTGGTTGCTCGAAATAACACGCTTGCAGATGGCCTGAGCCAGCAACTTGATGGACAGAGTTGTGGCTCGGCTGGGATTGGGAAGAGCTTGAATGTGTTTCATGGCGTGAGGGCACCAAGCATAAGCATACCCAAGTACTTGGAGAGGCTCTACAAGTACACGGATTGTAGCCCTTCATGTTTTGTGGTTGGGTATGTGTACATTGATAGGCTGCTTCATAAGCACCCCGACTCTCTTGTGCTGTCCTTGAATGTCCATAGATTGCTGGTCACAAGCGTTATGATTGCTTCTAAGATGCTAGATGATGTGTAAGTTTATTTATATATATCTACCTCTCCTTGTTTTCATGAATTGGGATTTTGATTTCTCTCAATGATATGCTGGAAAGTTTCCAAATTTTGTTTCATTGTGTAATTCATTTGATTCAGATTGCCCTAAATTCTGTATGGCTTTAGCTGCAACAGAGTATCTGAATGATATAAAATCAATTACTATGGAAAACTGCATTTGATTTAGCACTAGAATATTTTTCCTGAATTGGAATTAGTCAGCCCTTGTTTACACCAGCACATACAAGTCTGCCATGTTCATGTTGCTGTAAATTTTGACTGTGTTTGTTCTTCTGTTTACATTACAACATGCATGCTGCAGGCATTATAACAATGCATTTTATGCCCGGGTTGGCGGAGTAAGCAACGCTGAATTGAACAGACTAGAAGTGGAGTTGCTTTTCCTGCTGGATTTTGGTGTCATGGTGAGCTCTAGAGTTTTTGAGAGTTATTGCTTCCATTTAGAAAAAGAAATGATGCTCAATGGGGCATGCCAAAGGATTGAAAGGCCATTGTTAGTCCTCAGTGATGTGGCCGAAATACGGGAAAATTCTCAGAATTCCTTGCCACCTCAGATATCAGAAAACACACAGAGTTCCTCACCACCTAAGATTGTGGACTGACCTGATGAACTGTTTTTCAAATTTTTTTTTCTGTAGCTTAATTCTCTCTGGCAAACAAGGTTCATAATGTTGGTTAGAGAGGCTCATGGTTAACCTTTTCCTTTCTTTCCCATTTTTTTTCTTCTGTTAAAATCACTTATCATTCATGTAAAAGAAGAAGCTTCAGCTTTTGTGACTGTCTTTTTCCAAAATTGAGTATTATACAAAAGGAATTAATTCTTGACTTGCATTTGAAATTATTGGAGTTTATAACTAGAATCTAGACTATGAATGCAGTTTGGTGGGCTTAGAGATAGACACATAAGTTCTGCTGAATTCTGAGGATCATACGGATTCTTGGATTGCTTTTGAAATTCTGCTAGCTATACCCTTTCATGCCTTATATTGTGCAAATATGATGAATTCCAAGGCATTTTACATCCATTCATGGCCCCTTCTAATTAAGGCTCTTAATTAATCCTCTAACCATACCAACCCTTAATCAAAATTCCAAATTTGAAACATGTAGCTAATAACACTATATATGAAGTTCCAACTTCAGTTTCCTTGAGTACAAGGCAACACTTATTCTCTGTCTGGCCTATTTGATATTCTATGCTTCCTGTGATTGTGCTTCTACTGTTTTTTTTCCCCACTTTAACTTCATCTAAATTCACCTGGATTAAGCAACAAAACTAGAAAGCAAAAGAATATCAAGAACAAACAGGAACACCACAAATACTAATTCTTGCTATTGGAAAAATAAGGTTGAAAGCTAAACCAGGAACTTCTTTCTGGTATTAGTTTCACCTATAAGCCCAATTCTTTTCAGGTTTCACAACAAATTCCTCAAGTGGTAACTCAAATAAACAAGTGGCTAGTAGTAGTACCATGTTACACCATATAAATTTGGTAACAACAAGAATCTAATAGTTGTTACATCATATAAAGTTAGTAAACAATAACAATATGATTTGTCAAATAATCTGTTTTAGTAAGTACAAAACATCCTTGTATGGGAAATATAGGAAAATTATGAATTAGTTGAGCTATTCCACCTCTGTCCATGCAGGTAAAGGTTCGAAACCCCAAGCACCCAATGAATATTTATATAAACACCCCTCCCCCAACCACTCGTTAAAAAACATGTAGAAAACAAAATCAGAATGTTCATATATGATAAAAATAGACTATATGGTAAAGCATTGAACTATATAATATAATATAATATTTGCTTTTAATTTAGTAGCAAAAAGAAAAAGAAAAAAACACTATTGAAAGAAAAACACACACAGAAAAAAGAAAATAAAAAAATCGCAATTTCGCATCAAAGACTCTTTTCTCTCTCTCTAATCGTTGACAAAAAGGCACAAGTTTTCGCTCTCTGTAAATTCCAGAGATAAAAGCGAGGGGAAGGAGCCGAGGTCCTGCGCTGAGTATTAATCAGAAGCTTTGGCTTCGTCGACGCCTAAGCTTTTCAAAACGACGACTTGTCGTCGGTTTAAGCCATGACCGAGTCTTCGAAAGAAGAGCTGCTTCAGCTCATCAAGCGCTTCGGGGCTTATCTCACTGTGAAGATGTCTAGTATCTTCCCGATCTCCCTCCACAACCTGGTTCTTACCTTTTTTTCATGCTTTTTTCCTTATCTTGTCAAATTTTCTGACGGATCTGAATGGCATCCCCGTCTAAAATTGTTCATATCTGTCAATTATCTTGAATTGCTTAATGGGTTTATCATTTTATGTTCCAATTTTGTTTGTTCATTTGATTTGTGTGCAACTTGGTTCTTATCTCAACGTGAATTTATTTAGGATGTTGGTGTTTTTGAGAAAATTTGATGCGTAAATGATCCATAACTGGCAATTAGAGAAATTTGGGATGACCATATTTGATACTTTGTAGCGTAGGAAAAAAAGAGACATACTTGCAAACATTGGCCCTTTCCGTTCAATATAACTTAGTGAAGCCTAATTTCCATTACTTTATCTCCAATTTGTGAATTGCGATGGGTGCTGCGAATCTGCTGCATGTTTTTAGTTAGTACCCAGAAACCCTGTGTCATGCATTTCCTGCATTAGTGTACTTTTTGTACAATGACTGGCTCTGACCTGATACTCAAAGCTATAAGTAAAATTGACTCAGGGTCAAGAGATACTCAAGAGGTAAGTGAATCTAATGCGAACTGTGTCAAGTGGTATATTTTACCTTTTTTCTTCTGTTTCAAGATCAAATGCACGGACTAAAATGTATGTTACAAGAAAAATAGAATTCTGTAAGCCTGATGGGTTTAGTGGATTTCATAGGTATTATTTTTTTTTTTTTTTTTTTTTTTTTTTTTTTTTTTTTTTTTTGATTATATTATGTTTCATCTTTGTTTTCCTCTTTATAAGTATCATAAGTAAATGATCAAATAGAGATGTCAAAGAGATTGAGTTGTCTCAAGATTTTTCAATGTTACCAGAATGCACGTTCTATTGGGGCTATCGCGGGCTTTGCCGTTGCAATAGTTTTCACCTGGAGGCTGCTGAGATCACCCAGTGGGCCTCAAAGAAGGCAACCAAAGAGACAGGCACCTGCATCCAGTAGTTCTGGCATCAGTTCACAGTCAAATGCAACATTGACAACTTCAGGAGTTTCATCTTCAGAGGACACAAGAGCACAAAATGTTGTTGATGAGTTCTTTCAGCCAGTAAAGGTAAATGTCTGCCAGATGGGTTTGCATGCCACTTTGTATTGACATTGTTTATTTATGCTGAATCCTTTTTTTTCTTTTTCCTTTTCTAATTCCAGCCAACTTTGGGGCAAATAGTTCGGCAGAAACTGAGTGAAGGAAGAAAGGTAAGTGTCATTGAGAATTCGTGTTTTGTCTTCTCGATATAGTGAAGCTACATGACCTTTGGGTTTTGCTTTTATATTTAGTGGCACTTCGTAATTAAAACTATTAAGCTTCAAATGTGCCATATTGGTTATGTAGCTGGTATTTACTATGTGATACCCTAGGAAGTCATGTAATGTATTGAAAATTTGATCAATTTGTATAAGCATGAAAAAAATTTCTTTTTAATTTTGCATCAACAAATTCATGTTTTAAAGTTTATCTGCAGGTAACTTGTCGTTTACTTGGAGTAGTCCTGGAGGAAAGTACCCCAGAAGAACTTCAGGTGTTTGATTGTCTTTCCAGTAGCATTCTTTCTGTAAATTTAGTGGTGGAAGTTGTAATAACTGGAAAAGGATTAACATTACCTTTTTCACCTTGTGCCTGGCAGAAACAAGTGACTGTGAGGTACTCAGTGCTGGAAGTACTCTTGGAGATCACAAAATTTTGTGATTTGTATCTCATGGAAAGAGTTCTCGACGATGAAACTGAAGTGCGTGCAAGCCTCTTTATATCAATCATTTTGCTTGGGTTCTGTAATTTTTTATGAGATTAATAGGTTTTCATGCATGTTGTTTGATTTCATTTCTTATTCATGATGTTTAACTTCTACTGTTCTATCTATGCCTATTGCTGTTTTGTAAATATTAGTTTTTATCATTTGTGAAATGATATTGCTTCTTGCTTTCAGAAAAAGGTTCTACTGGCTTTGGAAGATGCTGGGGTTTTCACATCTGGGGGTTTGGTGAAAGAAAAGGTATGTATATGGGTTGATAGTGTTATATAACTTTTGAGAATCCCAACTTTTATTTTTATTTTTTTAGTAATCCTGCTTGCTTGTTATTAGCTTTATGTGCAGGCAGTTGTGTTTGGCTTTCTGGTTACTTTTTCATTCTACACCTTATGCAGATTCTTTTTCTTTTTCTTTTTCTTTGTTTTTGAAAGAAATCATTTTTGTACTTTCATTTTTAATGAATCTAACATGGAATTGGAGCTAATCAATATAAACCATCAACAAACAAATTTTATTTTGAACTCATGAGGCTTACACTACAGCTTTTGGAATGAGCCATGATCTTGGAAACTAACCAGTACTTGTATTCTTGGATCCCTATATTTCCATTTCGGCTGAAAGAAATTAAGAGTAATTTCAGAAACTTAGGGGCCGGCCCTGAGCAAGATGGGTGAGATAATTGAGGGAAGGCCCAATAGGTCCTCAAATAAAAAATGACTGGTGTTTGATTGTTGCTTAGGAAAAACTACAGCATGTGAGAAAGTGGTCACACATAATGAAAACGTAATGAATTTGATTGAAATTTGTCCCACACATGACTTAATAGAGCCAGAGAAGTTGAAGTGGAACATCACCATTTCCAATAGGCATTTGAAGGATGTTTTTTGAGTATGTTGTGCTTTTCTGATTGGCTTAGTATTTTCTTACTCATTTTTGGAAGTTTGTCTGTTATATCTGAAAAACCAACTTACAATTACAAGTCTTAAAGACTAGTTGATGAAATGATATTTCAGTTATTTATTACATTCAACTTGCTGGGATGCTGTTATTTTTTCCTTCTTCAATTTCTTGTATTGTCTACATAATCCTTGTAATTTGTTTGCAGGTTCTCTTCTGTAGCACAGAGAATGGACGAACATCTTTTGTTCGCCAATTGGAGCCAGATTGGCATATCGACACAAATCCTGACATCATCTTTCAATTATCTGTATATTCTTATTGCTTACCTTGTTTTTCTACTCGTCATTCTTCAATCTCATGCCCCATGTTCTGATGTATATGCTCATTTCCATGGTTGTCATCTGAATTATTCATTTATTTACTGGTTGCAGAGGTTTATCAAGTATCAGCTTCACATCTCTCCTACCAGAACTGAACGGGCTGCTTCTAATGTGTTCAACTCCCCATCCTTGGAACAGTTCTTTGGATGTGTTTGATGATCCAACAAATAAAAGATACAAATATAATATTTAGGTTTCTACTAGGTTCTTCTTTTTCCCGCATTTGGGTTTTGTGTTAATTCTAAGTTCCAGCTCCAGCTTATTAATGCTAAATGTTTTTCGTGTCTCGGTGTACTTATGCTGTTGTTAACTTGTTATTAGTCACTAGTCAGATAGACTTGCTCTGTATCACCCCACCGTTTCAAGGGATATCTCATTGTTTGAAATTTGTGTAATATATTGGATCAAATCCAAACTCCAAACTAGAAGTTTTGTGAAATTGTTAATGCTTGTAATTTACTCAGTTAAAGGATTCTATATGCCAACATTGACAATAATTTTGGTGTTCCATGTTATAAAGTTTTGAAATTTCATGGTGAATGGTTTGTCAAGTTTTCTTGTTGCACTTAGAAGATGGAAGATGGATGTTACTGCTGTTGAGTTGTACAAAATTTCTAGCGGTGTGTAATGTTTCTCGGTGAGCGAGGACACATTCTGTCACATGAGAAACAGTCTTTTGGAAGACACTATAAGAACCAGTAATTTGCAGACGTGAGTTCTGCCAGTGAGTCCCTCCACATTGCACTCAAGTTCGAAATTATTCCTCTTGAATATCGCTTTTAATATCCCTTATAATAGAATAATTTAGAGTATAACTTGTATTAAAAGAAAAAAAAATGTACTTATATTAAAGTGAAAAAGAAGGTTACTGTAAAATCATATCTTGGTAGGTGCGGCTTCTTCTTCTTTACGCAGACGAAACTAAAGCTTCATGGGCTTCTTTTATGGAGACGAGGGATGACAAAAAATTCTCGTCAAGTCGGGTCCCCGGTCCTAATGAGGGCAGATTTCATGGGAGAACTGGGGGTAAAACAGTCATCTTTGAGCTTTGCATTTTGAGGCTTCTTTCACGATTCCTCTCTGAGGATGGGAGGCTGATTCATACCAATGGAACTCTCAAAACAGTAAGTCCTTAATGTCTAGAACCAAAACTAGGGTAGGAAACATATAGGTAGTACTAGTGCAATATTTGTACGCAACCTTAGGGCCCGTTCGGTAATGTTTTTAGAGCCTGTTTTCTGTTTTTGTTTCCTGTTTTTCACAAAAACACGTTCGGTGCATCGTTTTCGTTTTCCCTCACAAAACGTTTTCTGAAAACAAATCTGACTTTGTGAACAAAAGTTGAAAATGAAAAAAAGTTGTTTTCAGTGATTTCATTTTCAGTGTTTTCCGAAGACACAAGAATGCATCCCATCAACAACTCTAGCTCTCTCTTTTGACAACCGATAAACCCACCAACAGGAACAACACCCATCTTCTCTGACCCAAAATAAACAGATCTGCAAATTAAGAAAAAAAAATACAGAGGAAGAAGAAGAAAAAAAAAACAGAGACAAGAAGAAGAACCACCACATACCCAACTCAACCACCATCATCACCCAATCAAACCATCACAACCATTAATTAGTGGATCAAGAGAGAGAGAGAGAGAGAGAGAGAGAGAGAGAGAGATGGGTGGGTGTATGGGATTCATGCCATGGAAGGAAGGAGGAGTGGGTGTAGCCTGGGAAGGAAAGGAAGAAGAAAAGAGGAAGAAAATGAGAAAAAAGAAACGGCCTGGGGAAGGAAAGGAAGAAGAAAAGGGGAAGAAAGTAGGAAAGAGGAAGAAAAAGAGAAAAAAGAAGCAGCCATGTGAAGGAAAAGAAGAAGAAAAGAGGAGGAAAGAGAGAAAAGGAGAAAAAGAAGAAAAAGGAAAAAAAGAAAAAAAGGAGATAAGATAGTTTTTTAGCTTAAATTTTTTTCATTGTTTACAATAATTTTAGCCTCTAAAAATATCAGAATTAAAAAAAATTAGAACTGAAATTAGCAAAAATACACCTGAAAAACAATTGTTCTACCAGACACGTTTTCATTGTTTTTGTTTTCTAAAGATGTTTTCTAATTAATCTACCAGACGCATTTTCATTTCCTGAAAATGCAAATTTGTTTTCTTGTTTTCATTCTCTGAAAATATTCTCAGAAAACATTCTCCGAAAACGTTACCAGACGGGCCCTTAATTTTCTTGTTTTGGCCTTTTAAAGAGCCACAGACACTTTCAATGATTTTCTTTTAAGGTTTTTTAGGTTTTAAACATAAAAAAAATTTCACTTTTGGAAAAAGCCAAAGCTTTTTCAAAAAAGACAAAAAAACCGCTCAACTTTCAAATCAAAGACATGTAAATGTATTGGATTCCTTAGGAAATCTAAAAATAAATAAGGGCATTTTTGTCCATTTTTGCTTCTTTTAAAATTTTTCTCTCTCCTTTTGCTTTTTCCAAAATATCCCTTTGTTTTATTTTATATTTCCTTCTATGATTAATTCCATCTTCTCAGTTTCTTTTGTAAATTTTTCCCAGAGGACAAACCATGCCCTTGCATTGTCGGACATTTTTTTTTTGTTTTGGACGAAGCATTCTCGCACACGGTGCACTATTTTAGGCTAGAAGCTTCTGTACTGTTTATTTTTTTTTAAGTAATGAAAGTTTATGCATAGTCTCTCACTACACTGCAATTGATTATTCGTTCTGTGTACCATATTTCCACGTCGCATGAAGATCTATATAGCCCCATCAAAGGATTTGGTCCAGGAGAAGGTTCGTGATTGGAACCAGAGGTTCGGGTCTTGGGGGATAAATTCCTTGGAGCTTACTGGAGAAAATGAATCTTACCACGTCAAGAATATACAGGAAGCAGACATTATTTTAGCCACTCCTGAGGTGAGCATGAAGATGTATGCTACACAAATATACATGTTTAAAACTTAAAGGTAGCTATGGAATAACTAACACAATCACCTTAATGAAAAACAATCAGACTGTTGTCTCAAAATAAGATTATAATTTACAAATAAATAAATTCAATGATGTTGGGTCAAGTAGGCAGTACCTTCAGGTCCCTGGCTTTTCTAACCTGTGTCAACCTGCGTTCCTCTCCTTTCTAATCACCTTAATTCCAATCCCTCCTTGAGGATCCTGGTTTCTATAGTCTATGGTCTTTATTATGGGCATCGATTTCTACAGACTTTAGAGACTTATCTTTTAGGATTATTTGTTTAGATTGGAAAGCAGCCATCCACTAATTTCCTAGGCCAAGTTAGTATTTCTTCAGGTTTTTCTGTATGCTAGAAGTTCAGGGATCTGGTTCTCGTCTAGTTGCTATATTTATGTTTTAACCTTCTTTTATATATGATTCTACGTACTTCGACATATATAATTCCTTTAGAAAACGGTTTCATTCTCAGTTCACCTAACTTTTAAAACTGGCTTTATTCTGGATGATACCATAATGGATTATTTATTTATTTTTTCTTCAATTAGATGTTTGATGCAGTAACCAGGTATCATGTAAAGGATAGTGGAGTGGACTGAGCATTTTCAGCAAAATAGCACTTCCTACTTATTGATGAAGTTCATCTGTTGAATGATCCTCGTGGAGCGGTTTTAGAGGCAATAGTTAGAAGAATAAAAATGCTCTCTCACAACCCTAAATTGAAATCAAGGTCTCCGGATCATGTTCGTTTTGTAGCTGTGTCTGCCACCATTCCAAATATTGAGGACCTTGGTGAGATTTGCATTCATTGGTTAGTTCTGATTGTTAAAAGAAATAGCATGATTAGAGTTTTTAGAAGATTACAAGCAATAATGATTGACTAATTGTGCAATGTGCGTAAACCACTGTAGCGAAATGGCTCAAGGTTCCTGTCCCAGGAATTAAAAGGTATCTCAACCTTTTACGCTATTGCTTTAGGATATAACTTATCTTCATTAATTTGACCATCCAGTTATTTTTAATATTTCTGCTGTCCATACAGGTTTGGAGAGGAAGTGAGGCCTGTAAAGTTGAGAACAAAAGTTTTTGGTATGATCACTGATTCAGCTTGGACATTATAGGGTTTCTTGGATCGTATTTGGTTCCCAGTTGTTCATTCATATTAAAAACTACCTCTTTTTCAGGCAACAGCCCCAAAAAGAAATGAATTTCTATTTGAAAAGGTGATTGTTTAGACTACTGTTCTGGATAATCTCAAACCATATGCTTCTATTTCCCAAGAAATTCCTTTTTTAGGAAAGCGAATAAAACTAATATTCACTTTTCTGATGGTTTGCGTTGTTCCCTTTTCCAGCGCCTTCAAAACTGCATTTTTGGGTAAAGATAACGTTTCCATAGATGCCTGCCTTTAAATCTGTATCAGTTTTTCTTGTGATTTTATAACTCAATGGTCAAAGATCATCAATAACTTATATGCATAAAATTGATTCACAGATATCCTCATGAAATATTCAAGAGGGAAATCTGCTCTGATTTTCTGTTCAACTAGAAAAAGTGCACAAGAAGCAGCATAGAGACTCTCGCAGACAGTCATGTCCTTTGGCCATTCAAATCCTTTTATTAAAAACAGAGAACAGCAAAAGAGGCTAAGGGAAGCTTCATTATCATGCAGTGACAACCAAATGCAATCGTATATTCCTTATGGTGGTATAACAGCTACTTGTTTTGCTGTTCAGTTTGCTGTAAACTTATTTACTGCAAGGCCCACAATGAGTTTTGATAATATAAATTGCTTGGTTGCAGTTGGTTATCAGGATCGTGGCCTTTCCATTAAGGATCGTAATCTCATTGAAAGTCTCTTTCTCAAGGGTGATATTCAAATTTTGTGCAGAACAAATACTCTTGCCATGGAGTCAACCTACCAGCACATACAGTAGTCATAAAATCAACACAACACTTGAACGTCGAAATTCCGTTTCTTCAAATAGATGTAATGAAACTTGAGAGGACCTCCTCTGTGTTTATTCATCAAACTGTGCTTTCTGTCCAGCAACGGAGAAAAAGGTCTCCAGACAGAATATGACCAATCTACAATACTACAGGTTTGTCAATTCAGACACTATTTAAGAGGAGTGTTTCCAATTAGATAAGATTGGGATATTATTTTTTAGAACTGCTATGTTTTTGTAATACTTGTCTTGTTTCTTCGTCAAGGTTCTATTTGAAAGAAATGGCTCCAGGAAAAGTTTTAAAAACTAAAACAAAATCTTGTCCTATCAACTGTAATTTGAGTTTAACATTATCTTAGTTGTATCACCCTGTAGATGTGTGGGAAGGCAGGCCGGACCCCATTTGATGATACAGGAATGATTGTAATCATGACAAGAAGAGATACGGTAGTTTGATGTCTTTCTTCCTTCAATTCATTCATGAGTGCATTGGTGTTGTTTTCTAACTATTGTCCACGTAATCACCTTAAGCAATTGAACTCGTCTTGTTTGGTCTCAGAAGTTCTTTTCCTTTAGGAATACATTAATTATGTTCTTACTTGTCTCTTTATTGTTTTAGCAATTGACCTAGTCCTGTTTGATCTCAGAAGTTCTTTTCCTATAGGAATACATTAATTATGTTTTTACTTGATCTTAAAGTAAGACTACTTGATGAAATGATATTTCAGTTATTTCATACATTCAACTTGCTGGGATGCTGTTTGACGCAAAAAAAAAAAAAAAAAAAAAAAAAAAAAACTTGCTGGATGCTGTTATTTTTTTCTTCTTCAATTTCATGTGTTGTCTACATAATCCTTGTGATTTGTTTGCAGGTTCTCTTCTGTAGCACAGAGAATGGACGACATCTTTTGTTCGCCAATTGGAACCAGATTGGCATGTCGACACAAATCCTGACATCATCTTTCAATTATCTGTATATTCTTATTGCTTACCTTGTTTTGCTACTCGTCATTCTTCAATCTCATGCCCCATGTTCTGATGTATATGCTCGTTTCCATGGCTGTCATCTGAATTATTCATTTATTTACTGGTTGCAGAGGTTTATCAAGTATCAGCTTCACATCTCTCCTACCAGAACTGAACGGGCTGCTTCTAATGTGTTCAACTCCCCATCCTTGGAACAGTTCTTTGGATGTGTTTGATGATCCAACAAATAAAAGATACAAATATAATCTTTAGGTTTCTACTAGGGTTCTTCTTTTTCCAGCTTATTTATGCTAACTGTTTTTCGTGTCTTGGTGTACTTATGCTGTTGTTAACTTGTTATTAGTGACTAGTCAGATAGACTTGCTCTGTATCACCCCACCATTTCAAGGGATATCGCATTGTTTGAAATTTGTGTAATATATTGGATCAAATCCAAACTCCAACTAGAAGTTTTGTGAAATTGTTAATGCTTGTAATTTACTCAGTTAAAGGATTCTGTTGCCAATAATTATGGTGTTACATGTTATAAAGTTGAAAGTTTTGAAATTTAATGGTGAATGGTTTGTCAAGTTTTCTTGTTGCACTTAGAAAATGGAAGATGGATGGTACTGCTGTTGAGATTATTTGTACAAAATTTCTGGCGGGGTGTAATGTTTCCCAGTGAGCGTGGGCACATTCTCCCACATGAGAAACAAAGTCTTTCGGAAGACACCATAAGAACTAGTAATTTGCAGACGTGGGTCTGCTAGTGAGTCCATCTTCTTGCTTTTAATATCTCGTATAATAAAATAATTTAGAGTATAGGTTATATTAAAATAAATAAATAAATAATTATATTAAAGTGAAAAAGAAGGATACTGTAAAATCATATCTTGAAGGGAAAAAAAATGAAAATATTACTTGAATTTCTCAAAAGTTTTTATTTTTTTCGATAAAATTAGCTTGGGTAATCTGGTGGGTTCGACTGTATTTACCGAAAAACAAAGAAAACAAATTTGGGTTTAACTCGTTATAAGTTATAACACGAAAAGGAAACGCAATTCCACCGCTTGGCCGCCGTTTGCATTCAGCAACTTGCGTGTTTCTCTTTCTACTCTTTGTGTTTCGATGGATTGCGATTGTCCAATCGATGCAGAGCTGCGCAGTGAAATCTCTGCTCTTCTTACACCTCCTTCGCCTGCCCAAGTTGACAAGTACTGGATGAACAAATTAAATCCAGCAACAGGCATTGCTATGGCATCAAAATCAAACAAAATGGAGAGCTTGGCAAGGGTAAAGCCAACACACACGTCACACCCCCTTTTTGCAAATTTCCATCAGTCGTTTCTGCTTTGGCTAATGCAATTTATAATCTGCTCTTTGATCTTCAGGTGTCTACGCTGAGTTGGGCTTCAAAGAAGGAGAACTTATTCTCAAGGACCAAATGCTTGTGGGTCTTCAACATTCTTCCAACAAGGTCTCGTATACTACCTTTGTTTGATGAAAAATATTATCTTTTGCTTTTGGGTCTTTTCAGTTATCAGTTTTCATTGTACTACTTCATTGGGTTGCAGATTGATTGTCTAGTGTGTAGCTTCTGTTTCCGTTTCATTGGCTCTGTTGAGCTTCAAATTGGAAGGAGACTTTATTTGCAAGAGTTGGGAGTTTCTGCCAGCCAAGGTTGCTGTCAAACTGACTACTCATCTGAAGATGATGACTTGGGAGACTCTGGGCCTAGCAGTTCCAGTTGCAAAGAGAAAGTTCCTCTTCCTAAAGGGTTTGCTGATCTTTAATGAATGGTGCACTCAAATTGCCGTACTCTGATAAATTCCCGTTACCTCCGGCTGTTCCATGTCATGGTGGCTGTGGAGAAGCTTACTACTGCAGGTGGGTAACCCAACTTTTTTTTTTTTTTTTTTTTTTTTTTTCCTCCTTTTTTTTTTGCATGTTTGGAAGCTGTTTGGACAATGGCATTGTAAAAGTGAGCTTAACCTTCCTTCCATTGCACTTTGGTTTATGTCTTTGGGCATGAAGGACCAAATAAATAACTTGTCATAGTGTTGCCAATATCTTGTAGCAAGCTATGTGCAGAGTCGGATTGGGGTTTATCTCATTCCTTACTTTGCACTGGGGAGAAGTCAGAAGCAGTCTCTAGGGGGGCACTTGTAAAATTTATACAGCATGCCAATGGTAAGATGAGTTTGTAGGTTATATCTTCTCTACAATCTTATAGTCATACCTCTATCCTCTTCTAATTTTTTCCCCTTTTTTTCTTGGTTCTTTTGCTTTTACCAGACACAAATGATATATTCCTCCTTGCTGCAAAGGTACCATTCTATTGTAAACTTCTGTTTTAACTTCAGTCTTCTACTTGTAAGGTCTGAACTTCTAGCAGGACTATGTGATCTAGTACTTGCAGACTAGTTGGTCTCATTTTGTCATGATATGACTTTGGCATGGTTCAGTCAAGAATGGATAGGATATGGGTAGTGAGCATCGCTTTGCTGTCATACTATTTGAATACTACATGGTACCTTATGTGTTTACATGTCTTTCTTGTCATCCCCAATAGGTCTCCTATCATGTGATATAAAGTAAATCCAATGTTGAACATCAAGTTCCTTGGTTTCTTTTTCAGGCAGTGTCTTCCTCCATATTAAAGTATAGGAAGTTGAAAGTGGCTCATTCTGAAGAACAAGAGAATAAGCCTAATGTTTCAGGCATCCCTTATCCATCTTTACTGTTAGAAGCATGGAAACCAATGTCAGTGGGACACAAGAGAAGGTAGTTATATTTTATATATTGAAGGCCTTGCTGTATCATGTCTGAGAAAATCTTAAGTTGTTCCTTTGTGAGCATTTTAATAATAGAATTGAAAAGAAAATGAGTTTCCAATAGCAGAGTGCACATGTAATAAATATTGGCAGCGGTGGTACTACTTCACTCTTATGAGGCTTTCTGCTTTGGGTGACAACAGTTGTATAATAAACGTATGCAGTAGTTTTGAAAATTTTGACAAGAAGGTTCTTTTCTCTTCTCTTTTGACATTTTATTTGTTCTTAGGTGGTGGGACTGCATCGCGTTGCCATTTGACGTTGAATCTTCTGATGAAGTTGCTTTTAGGATGCAAATAAGAGAGCTGGCATTCATGGTATACTTTCTTGACTGGGTCATTTTAGAAATTCTATTTTGAGCACTATATTCTGTTACAATCTCCTGATTTTGTTTTTTTTTTTTTTTTTTTTTTTTTTTTTTTCCGGAGAATTTCAGGACTTCAAATTAACTTATTTTTTGTGATCCAATTTTTGTTGCACACACACTGATCTTGTAAGATCTATATTGAGTTGCAACTACTATGTTTGACTTATCCTAACTATATCTTATGGGCGACTCTTTGGCTTTTTGTTTCCTTAGCAACTTGTTCTCCTGTCATGTGGGTACATTCAAAAGTTCATTTTGAAATTTGTTTGAATTCCGAGTGAAACTGTGCGTGTATGCATTTTGCTGATCAAATTCTTATTTATGAAAATGCAATTGGTGCCATAAGTTCCCTTGTTCAGAGTGGGTGCTTAATCGTCATGATCCACTGTAGTACTAGCCAGATTCTTTGATGGCCTATAACATTCTGCTACTATAAGTTCTAACTGCACTATTTGAATCTTTCAGTCACTTCAGCTCCTAAAGGCAGCCATCTTTGATGAGGAATGTAAATCACGTATCCTTCCCAATTTAGAACTTGATGTATGTTTCTTATTAGAATCATGCTTAATATTTCTCAGAGTTTATAAATTTGAACTCCTTGACTCTTCCCAGTATTCTCCCTTGATATCTATGGGCATATAATTGGCATGTTTGAGTTGAATAATCTGTAAGTCTTACTTTTTCAAGGATTCCTCCCTTTTCTCTCATCCATTTAATATGTAAAGTGTGCATGGATAAAAAATGGTGCTGGCAGTGGCAGTTAAAGCAATTCATGTGCATTTTCAAACAGCATATTATTTGCTTGGGGCTTACTTTTATTTCACTTTGTTTCAGTGATTTGGTTGTAGCATCTCCAGTGGAAGATTATTTTTTATACATTGACGATCTTCCATATCCTGAAAAGGTTAGAATTCATATTTTTCTCCTAACATTTTGCCAAGTTGAATGTTCCAATGTCATTTTCCCCTGTTATTCATGGCAGAAAGAAGCTGAGGAGATTACACGACCATTTTTGGATGCTCTTGGCGACGACTATTCAGTTTGTTGCCAAGGTATGATGTTCTTCTCAAGTTTCTTTGTATTATGTGTTGAAAGTTTAGTCTTTCAATTGTCCTTTTCTGCCTTGTCCTTCTTGGTGCTGGACTACCTCTTTGGGGTTGTCTAGGTATTCAGTATGTGTGCACTGTGGCTTTATGTATCTTTCAATGAGAACAGAAGATAGTAAGATTATCAAGAGATCATGGTGGAATTAAGTTTTCATTATTACCATTATTAAGAGATATTTGGTGTTTCTAGAACATAAATCCTTTTTTGGCAGGTTATATAAATTGTTTTGAAAAATATAATAGTCGACAGATGTTTAATTGTCTCTCTCATTGTGGCCAGGAAAAGAAAAATTAACTTCCCATATTTTCCAATTTTGTATTAGGCACAGCTTTCTATCCTCTGCAAAGTTGTATGAATCATTCTTGTAGTCCGAATGCGAAAGCCTTCAAAAGAGAGGAGGTATGTTAACTTCGAGTCCTATTTATAGCTAACTCCCATTTGGAACTTTCTAAAGCATTCCTTTATCAATTTTGTGCATCTGCATTCATGCTTGTTATTCATTATCAGGATAGAGATGGCCAAGCGACGATAATTGCACTTAAACCTATTTCCAAGGGAGAAGAGGTGCCAAATTCGAAGTCCAACTTTAGTCTTGTGTGTTTTACAAGGTTTCAATATCCTTTCATAGAACTTTGATCAAATACTCTCTTAATTCCTTTCCAGGTTACCATTTCTTATGTGGATGAAGACCTTCCTTTTGAAGAGAGACAAGCATTACTTGCAGATTATGGTTTTACATGCAGGTGCCCAAAATGCTTAGAGGAAGAGCCATAACCAATGAGGCGGCCATGAACACGATAAACTTGGAAGAAGTCATGCTTGCAAAAGAATACTCACATTGCTAGATAGTCCCCCAAGAGTCTCCTTGATTTGTATGCGTTTCAACTTCTCACCTTTTTCCATCACAGTATTTTGTCTTCTCACAATCCTGAGAATCACAATCCCGAGGATTCAAAAGGAAGATTGTTTTGTATTTATATATACATAAAGGCTTTCTACAGTGTTCAGGTTCTTTTTCAACTTCCGATCGTTGAAATACGTTGTTCAGTATCCCTAAGAAGGATATGTACACTTTTCATACAATAAGGATGTGTGCTTTTACATATTTATATATAACAGATTGAACAATTGAACAAAGTAGCTCTTTCTCAAGCGAGTAGGCCAAAATATGAATTAATATGTAACTATCATGTAATAATCCAAGGGTAAAAGTAACAAGATCTAGTTATTTTATGAAATGTATGCTACAACTACTTCTACGCAAATCGTATTATACGCATAAATAGAAGTGGCAATCAAACTGAGTCGAAGTTCAATTCTAGTTGGTGTGTTTTACTCAAAACCACTAATCCTTTTGAGTCTTTTGCATCTCTTCTTTTTTTCCGTGAGACTTTTGGATTGAGTGTTGGTGTTTTGGGGCATAATTGTTTCAATCAGCGAAAATTTTCCATCATGAATATTATGAGAATAACGTGAGTATGTTACCAACACAAGTATCATCCAAAGAAAGTCTTGGAGGATATCGAAGTGGAGTCAAAGGAGAGAAGACTACTTTATACGGGCTAGCCCAATGTCGGAATTCTATTTCGTGTGCAAGAAACTACGCACCATGCACAAGCTGTGTTAGTATAGCATCCCAACGATGTCCTCTCAGTCAAGGAGCCATAATTTGGAATGTAAGTTGTCTCTTGAAATACTCATATGAAAACTTCTTTGATGTAAGTGACACGGATAATGTGATTTATTTGACAAATAAAAAATTATATGATAATCCCTTGTTGATTAAATATAAACTTCATAAGTTGTTTACATTCTGAAGATGTTCATTGACTGTTGTATGCGAATGGGAGACTGAAAATATCAAACAATAATTCACTTTATGTTACGGTAGAATGTACTAGAGACTTTTCTAGTATAAATTGCACGAAGTGTCTTGATGTTGATAGAAGTTGTTATATCCGATATGAATTTTACCGCTTTTACTAGGTAGCCTTTGTATCACAAAATGGATTCTTTGACGACGTGTCATTTCTAAGTTTATTCCAAAGAATGTTTGCAAATGATTGTCACTACAATAGTTGGAAATGTTGGTTATCATAATCAGAAACTCATGTTTGGTTTGTGCAATAATAGACGTGAATATGTTAATTTTCGATAATACTTTATTTTTTAATTTTTTTTATTTAAACCTCATATTTTTCTTTGTTCACTCCAATACTTAAATCATTAAGCTCTTAAGTTTTATTATTGAGTTAAAAGACAAAAAAGGTCATCCACTTATTATTGTGTTTAAATCTCATACTTTTCTTTGGTTGCTGATTGCTCAAATTAAGAACATAATTCACTGCTATCAACAACAAAAAAACAAAAACCACTGCTTGCAAAGTCCAGGCAATCATCGAGCTCTCGCATGACTGCTCTTCATTTGTCATTCATGAAGACATAAAGATAACCACTTGTAATTCTATCGCCATTATTTTCTTGACACTGAGTGATCTTTTTATTTGTCTTTTCTGAATTTATAATTGTTTCCCTGACGTTGATGTTATCTGGGTTATTTATAATTCTTTTTTGGTATTTATTTGAAAGGATCCTCAGTAGTTGGTTCAGTATTTCTTCAAGTTTTGGTTACATTTTCCTTTTCTTTGGGGTTCTTATCATCTGGGTTCTTGGTGATTGTTAATTGTTAATTGTATTTGTGCAAATGGGTTTTTACATTAAGTTTTTTTTTCTTGTTGCATTAGTATTTATTTTATTTATGTTCTTAAGGATTCTAGTAATTACTAACTTAGGTGATTAAATTCATAGTGTTAATTATGCAATTTGTTTTCATTTGGTTCTGGACAACTGAGATAAAACTTTGGCGGCTTGAGCCTAGTGTGGCTGTGGAAATTGATGGAACCCCAAGAAAAAAATGAGGAGAGCTGTTTCAGAAGAGATGGACCAAGAAAAGACTGAGGTGCCTAGAACTCCTGCCACACCAAACACCCGGAGAAGGGCTCCGACTACTTCCGCTCGACATAACACCACACAGAAGGAGAAAGTGGGGTGTGAGGTTAATGAGTTTTTTAAAATTTTTTTTTTTCATGGGTGTGTATTTATGGGTAGTTTGGGAAGACAATGAGGTTTACTTTGAAATTATGAAAATTTGAATTAGAAGTTAGAGTGAACAAAGAGAAGTGCGAGATTTAAATATAAAAAATTTTTTTCTTTTTTTTTCAATAATACCATATTATTCGCTATTATAAACATATTTACAAATAATACACATTTGTCCGAATATTTTGCACATACTATCCAATAAAACTATAAAGAACATAACTCTTAATTGTTTTATATAATGGCTACATTATTCACCATATGTTTTTTAGAAGTTTAAGTACGTATTTTATATGTATTACACTTGTTTCGTGTTTTACTAACCATGATTTCGAGGTTTCAAAACGAAGATTGTTTTGTACTTTTCTTCATCCCCTTGTAATAAAACAATAAAAGGAAAAAAAACAATAATAATTCTGCGATTAACTATGGACTTCCATCAAGTTTTTAATCCACCAGGGAATTAAGGGGAACAGAGAAACCGAAGCACTCCAATTTTTGCTAGGGCTGGAACTGGAAGAATAACCCAGTTCACACTGTATTCCATTTTTTTACCCAACAAATAATTTTCATATCTGTACCCTCAGTTAAAATCCATCTTTCATATTTCTTTAATTATTTTCTGTAACATATCATTTTAATTTTAATCTTGGTTGTTTGGAAAAAGACGAAAGAAATTTACACGTGTCAGCACGAGAAGAGCCATACCTGTATTTGATGATAATTGCTTAAAGAGCCAAAATTTTCCTTTCTTTAAATCTATAGCAAGACAACATATTTCAGTATATGGACTAGCCAATGTTGGAATTTTATTCCGAACTGTGCAAAATGCATAAACTGTATCCGTACAGCAGGTCAAAAGCTTCGCCAACGATCCGCTCAGTCGAGGACCTATAATTTGGAACACAAGTTGTCCCTCAAGGTACTCAAATGCAAAATTCTTCGGCATAATTGACACAAACAACACGATTTACTTGGTGGCTCCAGAATCCAATGGTAATCCGCTGTTGATTCGAAATGGGGTTCATAAGTTGTTAACTCGATTATGTTCTAGAGTTGTTCGTAAACCGGCGTATGCTCATGGGTATATAGGAATATCAAACGCTACTTCCCTTTATGGTGCAACGGAATGTACTTTGGATCTTTCTAGCATAGATTGTATGAAGTATCTTGATGTTGGCGAAAAAGAGCTTATAGATCATACTTATGGAAAGATAGGTGGATGTGCTATCTATAGAAGTTGTTATACAAGATTTGAATTTTACCGCTTTTACTGGTAAAGTTAGTTTTATAGAATCAATTTGTGTTTTAGAGTGCCATTTTCTAAGCTCATTCATAGGGATGAGAGTAAATAACTCTCATTATGTTTATTTGGAAATATTGTTATGGTAATTAAAAATAGGGAGTTTTACTAAAACACCCAAAATGGAGGTTGAAATTATAAAAAAACCCAACACCCAAAACACTTTATAAACACACCCAAAACCCATCATTACACACACTCAAAACCCATTTATAAACACACCCAAAAAGTTGACTTTGTGATTGATTTTGGGTGTGTTTCTATGTTTAAATAGTACTTGGGTTTTTTTATAAATACATGTCTAGAATTGGGTTTATTTATAAATTTGTATTAAAAATAATAATTTATATTCTTATTTTTTATGTTTGGTTTGTACAAGTCACGGCCTTTTTCATTGGACTAGACCTCACTGGCCATGCTTGTAATTTATAACTATTTTAAATTTAGTTAACAAGTTATTTGGTCATAAAAGACCAAAACAAATGAAAAAATATCATCAATATAGAGTGAAATATTTTCTAGGTTGGGTTGGGTCGTTGAAAAAGTTCAATCATTTAATACACTAGAGTTTCTCTCGCTGAATTTGACCTTTGCTCAACTGTTAAAGGCCAAAGCCAAAAGACTCGAGCACAAATTGTAAGACGTGCTGCTGATGCAAGCAAAGAGATTGATCAGTACTGCCCTTATTTGGGCAAAGTGGGTGATAACAAAAACAAGTTCTATTTATGGAACGGCCAAGTAGATGAACCCACACCATACAAATAAATGAAGGTTAAGAAATTACTTGAGTTATCAATTAACGAAAACAAAGGAAAACTGTAAGTCGACCAACTTTTGTGTACATTCTGCATGCTCATTCACTAATCACTCCAACTATTTGCAAACAGAGAGATTAATCATCTGACCCTGCCAAATACTTAATCAAAAATTATCTTCTCACTGTTAAACATGACTAAACGGTTAAACGACATCAGCTTGCACCATCTCCTAGTCAGCTCCCTGCACATCTATAATCTCATCATCCCCCTCATACTGCATGCAAAATGGGACTCTATCAGAAACCAAAATAAATTGACAAAAGAGAGAAATACAAGCTGCACGGCACTGACTGCATATTCTCAGACCGTGCAGTATGTTCTTATTCAAAGAGAAGTGCATAAGTAAGAACTTCGCAACCAGAAACAATAATGACCTGTGAGTAGTTATTTTTAGGGATTGGAGGTGGTGGAGGAAGTGGTAATGAAAAGCTCACATTCTCATATGCAGCTCCTTCCTCAATTTTACCAGAAGCTTTCCCAACCATCTCAATTTTATCCTCTGGTTCAATTTCAACTTCTGTGTCAACTGGGTGAGCCGCCATGCTGGTTGAGGGTACAACAGGGGCTGACTCCGAAATCTTCAACTGCACATTTGTTGTCCAAAAGATTTCAATGCAAGGATAAACATGAGCAGTGCGTTTATTTATTGCATACATGCATATAGCTTTTGTGCAAGAATAGAACGCCTTGTGCTGAAAAAGACAACCAAGTTTGGATGCCATTCGAGAAAAAACATTTTTAACATACAACAGGCAAGATTAACAAGGTAATGTAAGATCTAAGATCAATGAAGTCCAACTTTTTTGAGAGCATGCACCAATGTCAGTGGAGTTAGACTCAACTGTGAATTTCAAATTGCATGTATAGCTTGTGGCTTCGGCAAAGATTATGTCATCTACAACTACATGCTAATTAAACAAAATTCCTCTAGAAAGTTAAAAAGATGCACCATATCTGCAGAGAGGATGCTAGAGGAAGCAGTCTTTCTCCTATCATGCTTGCCTTCGTTTGCTAATTGCTTTGGACTGCCAATTGCATTGCTCACTGCCTCATTTTTTTTGTCAAAATTTGATTGAGCAGGGTGTATGTTCCACCGAGAGAGCTTCTTTGGTCTGCTTGATGTGGTCAGATGTCCTCTTGTTGAATGAGCTGGCATATATCACAAGAGTGTAAGCGCCAACAATAAAAACCATAACTATGGAATCCATTATGCAAACAACTTCAACAACAGAGTCAAACCATCAAAGAGGTAAAGAAGTCTAAATATATTCATATTTGTTTAGTAAAATATGAATAAATTAGTAATGCATCCATGATAAGCTATAATATCAATAAATTAGTAAAATCCACATTTGTTTAAAAAATGAGCTAAAGAAGTCTAAATATATTCAAGAAAGAAAATTAATAAAACTATCCACAAAAAATGAGACTGTAAAGGGTTTTTATGATACTAAATCAGCTCTCAATAAACAAAAAGGAGGTTCAAATCTAAGAGAGAGAGAGAGAGAGAGAGAGAGAGAGAGAGAGGAGAGAGAGCAAAAACTCAATCCCTACATATTTCATAAAGTCTACAAAATCCTTTACATGGAATGTCAATACCTACCACTTTGTTTTGATTCCTTGGCATAATCCCTAATAGCTTCCAGCCTTATCTTGCTTGGAGAAGCATCATTCAGCCGCTCATTATGTGGGGTTACTGGAAAACCAGTAGTCTCACCATCACCATCACTAACAATATTAATGCTCGAATCCTCTTCATTGACATCAATTCCATAAATATCTAAGGCAAGCTGATCTCCCAACTTATTAAGTCGGACCTGTGATCTACAGATTTTTCATACAATTAATCAAATTGCAAGAGCTCCACAAACTCCAATAATGATTGAATGCAAAAGCAACCAGAGGAATTTAAAACTATATTAAAAAACGTGCCTCTTTAGTTGATCTTGTATCCTTGAATTACGAGAATGTGCTTTTACAAACTTCTTCACTTTGGAGGAGATCCTGAATATTTTGAAATCCCAAAGAAGAGGAAGAAAGAACCGCTCATCAGTTAGTAAGATTTCAGTAAACATACTACTCTGTAGCAGACGATACAAATTCCTTATAGGACCTTTAGTACCTCTTACAGTCCTCTTTTTCTTTGTATAATTGAGCCTCAAGCTCCTTAATTTTAGAAGTAAGACTATCCACTTCTTGAGACTTCTCTTCCAGGTAGACCTGAAATAACAAATGCATTGAGCGCAAAAAATATAACCAATAATCATTAAAGTAATCACAGCAGAAAATTGGTTTGGTGAGTGGATCAAGGAAGAACTGAAAATAGGAAATAAAACAGATAACCAAATCATCCCAAAGTAAGCAGACAGTACAATACAAATGAGAGACAGAACGAAAGAAAAGACTGAGATAGACAGAGTATTCCAAAAAGAGTACTCTATAACTGATCTGGAATGCTTTAATACACATTCTACTCCCACTATATTAATGAAAGTAAAGTCGTGTGTATGAAAAAGATATAACTAAAATAACTTGCAATAGATAACAGCAAGAGATTAAATACCTTTTTGCTGACTACAGTATGATGTATCATTTTCACTAACTTTTTTTTTTTGGTCAAGTATTTTCACTAACAATGTACAAAATAAGTTGCGCAAAAGACCTTGTAATTTTGGGATGTAGACATTTACATAAATTAAAACCAATAATAAACATAAGTTTGAATAATTGGAACTGACCCCTAATTGAGATCTGCGGTGATCAAGCATGTTGATCTCTGACTGCAATTGCTTTAACTGCACCGAGTTCCAAGGAAGAATATCAAAATAGAATTTCAACCAAGATTAGGAAAGCATTTTAAATGAACTCATGATGATAACCTTTGACCAGAATTTCAGACCTGCTCCTCAAGAACGCCTCTGGAATTTGCTTCTTTAGCTTCATGTTCAGTCTCATTTGAAATTCTCAAACTTCCAGAAATATCACTTTGGCCATCCAAGTGTTGTTTCTTCCTTCGTTTGCTGTTACCGAAGGAATATTCAAAACTAAAAACAAGTGCTAAAGTGTCAGAAAAAATTAAAGTGAAAGAAAATCTTTGGTACTGTTTATAAGAGATTAGAAGGATAAATGCTCAATATGCGGCACCCACAAAGCAAATATATATGGAAACAAATTCCCTGCAGTAATCAAAGAGGTAGAGGGTGAGACAATAATAGAGGAGAAAGTTGCAAGGGGATCCATTAACTTACTTTTCTCTCTCAAGGGACCTGGATGGACTATATTCTGCTGTTTAATTTCCACCAAGAAAGTTGTAGAAAAAAAAAGAGAGGAAAAGATCAGCCAGAATTTAGCAACAGAAGTAAAAATATTGCTAAATGAAAGTCAAAAGTTCTGTTCGCCTTTGAATGGTGGTCAACCACAACGGTCAAACTTTACCAACTGTTAAAAAAAAGGGGACTATAAACCAAAATAAGTTCTATAACTAAAGAAAGGAAAATGCGGAGAACAATACAACAGAATAATTATATAAGAATGCTTCCTGACCACGAAGTACATGTCGGCCTCTTCCATCTCTCTCTGGTGAATACCTTCTCCGTGGAGAATACCTTCTCTCAAGCTTATCCCTCAAATCATCACCTCCAGAGTCCCGGCTACCTACAAATAGTAGATTTTCTGTCAAACAGATCTAAAAACTATTAATTAGTCTATCAGAAGAAACAAGGAGACCGCCCATTATATGATAATGAAGCTAAGCTTACCATTACATGGAATAACATGAGTAACATAATAATGAACAGTTATGTTGAATCCTTGCCAGTTTCAAAGGGGCCATAGAAACTACTGCTCTCATATAAGAAATAGATAATGTAAACCCATGTGTGAGCTTACAGATAACCTTCATATATCAGAGAAGCATTGGATAGAGGAGAATTGGCATTCCCATCATCTTGTTGAGCAATAAGGATGAGGTGCAATCAGAAAGGTCAAGAGATTCGCCAAGGTTCCATGTAAGGATAAAAGATATAAATTATCTGAAGCACCCGTAATAATTTAGTTTCTTCTGCAACAACTCCCATAAAAGATTCTTCTCCATCCATGAAGTCTCTTGACAATATAATTCAAGAAGACAAATAAAAATGCCATGATCTCCGTGAAATTCACAAACTGCAGAATTCAAGTGGCAAATAGAAAGTATAGATATTCACCAAAACCATCTTGGGTCTCAACGCTATAGAAGAAGATATATTCCAGAACTACCTAATCCATCATAACATATCGAAGATGAATTATAATGACGAGGTTCCCCACAGGAATACCACAATCGGAATTTGGCTATAAGTTAAAACATAAACCACCTAGAACAATCCATCCTGAAGAATCAATACAGTGACCTTGTTAATCAATATGAACTTGGAATTTTGGAGACACCAACACAGCTGACAATGCAGCATCTCTCAAGAGGAGATTTTGATGGCAGCACTAACCGCTGAATGATTAAATCTGCAATTTTTCTGGAATAATACTTAACTCCCGAGTCCTTAAACATATGTGGTCCCATTTGCTCCATCAGACGAAAATAATATCCAAATTGCAGACACATCATAGTTTCAAACAAGGGAAGGATTACATTAGATGATCATAAATTGCAAGACAACTTGAACAGACAGAAAGAGAGCATTGAATCACTTGAATTCATTCATGTAAGCAGAATTCAAAGTAAATAAAGTAATTTGAAATGAAGCAATTGTTTCAAGTAACAATCAAAATCGTGAAAAAGAAGTTAAATGGTAGACCTTTTCCACTCACGAAAAACATGCCAACATGACTTGAAAGCAGTAAAAACTTGCTATAAATTACAAAACTTGACAGTTAATTACAATCAAAGAAAGGGTTTGTAATTGTTGAGCAAACCAGAAAAAAAAACCAAAAAAATTAAAAATGGACAAAAACCCAACTGGCAAAAGATTAGCAAAGCTTGTGACTAAATCATTGAAGACTGAAACAAAAGAGGAAAAGAGGCAAGAGTAGCAAATATACCGTCAAAGGAGCCCGAGAAACGACGGAGCTCCGCTTGTCCGTGAGCAAAGGAGCAACTTTCGCGCGCACATCGCCCTCTCTGATACAAAACGCACAGCTTCGTCTTGAAAAGCTTCCTCTCTACCATCGCAACCAAAATAAACTATCCGAAGTCGGAGAGAGAATCACAGATTAAGCTTAAGAGCTAAGTTGCAGAGCAAAGTGAAGCCCTTTATATATAAAGATACCCGTTTCATTTCTCACCGTACACGTGTCGCAATCAGACTATATATAGCAGTACTATTAACCAGTGAGGTACGGTCAGTCCCCAGTTTGATGAGACCGCGTTGGCATAAAGTTTTATGAATCGGTCGACTCGCCTGGTCACCCGACTCTACTCGCCCGAGTCACCCCGCTTCTTCCTCTCCCTGCGTCGTTCTCCGAACACCCTCGCTCCATTCTCGACCCTAAGGAAAGCCAGATTTACGGCCTCTGCCACCGCCAACGGTCCACTTCAGCCCCACCCGAAACGGCCCGCTATGGACCCTCAATCCTCCGTGCCCGACCCGCCGGCCGCCGATAATTTCGTCCACGTCGAGAACCCTACAATTGAAGACCTGTCGGATAGCATCGTCGGTGTCGATGCGCCGAGGGACGAGTACGACGACGACGTCGTTTCGACGAGCGCTGCGGCCGAGAGTTCAGACCAGAGGAAGGTCCTTCCGGAGGAGCTGTCGAGGAGCGTGGTGGTGCTCACGTGCGAGTCTACGGCTGAGGGTGGCGTTTGCGACGTGCACTTGGTTGGAACGGCTCACGTTTCGGTGGTAAGACAATTTCGTGTTTGGTTGGTGAGAAAATTCGAATCTTGCAGTATACGTTTCGTTTGGAAATGAAAAGCTGTGGTCTTGGGTTTGTGTGTGGTTGTAGGAGTCATGCAGAGAAGTTGAAGCAGTGATTAGCTATTTGAAACCAGAGGTGCTTATCCATTTCGAAACTTGCTTACTAAGGTTCTGTTAAATTAATTCTGGCAATTATGTCATGAAATTGTGTTAAATTATAAAGTTAATGGAATTTGTGTGATGAATGTAGGTTGTCTTCTTGGAGTTATGCTCCAGTCGGGTGGCTGCACTTACTCCTCAGAATTTGAAGGTCTGAATCTGCGTTAAGGTTGCTCTGCTTTTCCAATAAGTAAAAATGATTACCAATACATTTAGTTCATCAGGTACCGACAATGGGCGAAATGATTGAAATGTGGAAGAAAAAACATAATGCCTTTGGAATTGTTTACAGCTGGTTCCTTGCCAAGGTATGAAAATTTATCTATGATTTCAGAAAAGTTTTCATCTTTGATCCAACTGTACTAAGCATTATTTCCATATGTTGTCAGTATATTCAGGCGGTGTAATTTTTGCATGAATTTTCTGTTAGGTTTCAAGTAAGCTTGAGGTTTTTCCTGGTGCTGAGTTTCGTGTAGCATATGAAGAAGCAATGAAGTATGGTGGTAGGGTGATACTTGGCGATCGCCCAGTGCAGGTATAATACATCATACCTTATCCTTTTGGTGCCCTGATATCTATCAATTGCAGCCTGCCCTATGTGGCCACTGCCACCGGTTGGCTGAAGAAATGCGTATTACCTACACAAGTAATTTTCATGTGTAATGAAATTTAACTGTATGCTTTTTGCATCTCGAAGGCTGGTTATGATGAGACGTCTCCCTATGAAATGCTGTAGCTTTATTTGTTTTGTTCTCAATATTATTTCTAGAGGATGAATTAACCAGACTTGCTGAATGTTTTATGCCCGAAATTCTCTTTCATGTCAATTCTTTCCAAAGGTTGTGGCTATTCAAAATTCTAATAACAATACATCATTATTCTGTCTCTCTTCTTTGTTTCTTTGCTTCGCTTTTACACCGACCCTGCTATGCTAACTTAGCGTTCTGTAGGTTGTCTTCCCATAATCTTATCTGCTTTGCTTCAGACCTTGTATTATTTTCCTAGTCAAGAACTACTTTAATATGACTTGCGATCGGCTGAAACAGATTACATTGCGAAGGACGTGGGCAAAAATGCCACTTTGGCATAAGATAAAACTACTATATTCATTCCTTTTTCAAGCAGTCTTTCTACCAAGTCCTGATGATCTGAATAAAATGGTAAGCATCTAAGGAAGTATGCTCTTGATTCAGTGAAAAGAAACCACTTTTTTATGCTTCTAATGTTTAGTTGCTTGTTATTACTGATTTGGTCTTGCTTATCTTCAGCTAAAGGAAATGGATGATGTTGACATGCTGACTCTTGTGATTCAAGAGATGAGCAAGGAGTACCCAACTCTAATGGAAACACTCGTACATGAGCGAGACCAGTAAGTATTCATCCGAGTTATTCATTCTATCAAACTAATACTAAGATCGAAAGATGATGCCACATCTATTACCTATCATCGTATCAAAATATTCTCTTCTTTTCTGTCCTTGTATCTTCAATTTCTTTCTGCTAGAATTTGTACCGAAAAGTCAAAGAAACAGTGAGTCTGTTTGTCAGTTCCCCCTGCATGGAAGACATGTAACAACTTGGTCACAGAGGTTTAGGTAATAAATAAGCCTCTTATGTTAAGTATTTGAAATTATCCAAGTACAAGCTCCATGTATGCTTGTGGAGGTTGGAGAGTGTAAATAAACAAAGGTTTCATTTTGCTTTGTGGATTTTATCCGGATTCACCAATCCAACTGCAATGTTAGAGTTGATTAATGAGGGCACCTACTTAGTAAAAACAGTTGTATAGAAGCCTTACTAAGAATCGCATACATCGGTACAGAGCATCTTTGGGAAACCTGTTATTCAACTGCAATTTTGGACTTTTAGTTCTTTTGCATAAATTCTTATCGCTTTGTTGATCTGATTCTAATAGGTACATGTCATCTACACTCCTTAGAATTGCCACCGAGCATAGTTCAGTGGTTGCAGTGGTGGGCAAGGGGCACCTCCAAGGAATCAAGAAGCACTGGAAGCAGCCTGTTGTGGTTGGTTGATCATTCCTCTTTCCTAAATTCTTCCTGTAGAACAAGTCCATGTGCACCACCAAGTTCGCATTGGAAGTGGTTGCTCACACAATTCAGCACCTTTACCTATCATGGCTCCTTAGATTTGCTTTCTAATTTCTCATTGATTGTTTCTTGTTGATTTGCTTTCTAATTTCTCATTGATTGTTTCTTGTTGTGTTTCATCAAAGCTGGATGGCAAGTGTATGTTTCCTATTACTTATCTCCAGATTTTCATGCTCTGTGTTTGACCATGTATGGCAGGTCAAGGATCTTATGGAAATTCCTTCACAGCAGTCGGCATTTTCCACCGCAAAAGTCCTTAAATCTTTCGGTGTAGCGGTTGCAGGGGTGGCCATAATATCAGGCATCTATCTTGCATCCAAGAAGTAAAGCTCAGAAATGAATGAATGTTGGGGATCTAAATGAGACATTGGAGGCCACCCAATGTACGATATGTGACTCTTTATTGTTCAGCAATAACTGAGCACATCCGGATTACCCAGGGAAAACGTACTAAATGTTGGAGCTTTTGCCCTCCCTCTTTCGGAATATGAGAATCCATTTTACTGCCAAACAAATAAGAAAATATGCATTGAGTTGCCATCCCAGAATTTGAGAATACATGTATTAATCAGAATAACATTGCCTTGTCTTTTTTCTTTTTCTTTTGTATACTCGGTTTGTGTTGATTTACCTCTACTTTTTAAGTCGTTTATGCCCTTTTATAATCTCATGAATGTTTAGTGATTTTGTAAGTAAAAGATCAGGTAAGGACACTCTGTGACCAGCTCTTAAAATTTTAGACCAAAATTTTCAATGGTCTCTGCGGCACCCTTCCATCTTTATTATTAAAATCCTTCTAATGTTGTCGGAAGGTTATTAAAAAAACATTGTGACATTTCATTTCTTACATAATTTTCAAATTGATTGTTTTTTATACACCGCAATGGACGATTCCATCGTTTTATACACCGCAACGGACAATTCCATCGTTCATATCGATTGTTTTTTATACACCGCAACGGACAATTCCATCGTTCATATCGATTGTTTAGTCGAAAAGAATAGTCACAGTACGATTTTCAAACCAGAAGAGATTCCTTCTTAAAAATATTTCCCACTCTGAATTCCTCTTCTAGTTTTTCCATGAAGATCCCTTCTCTTGTAAAACGAGGTCCTTCCAAATTTCCAACAATAGCTTAAACCTCAGGTCCTTCCCAATTGTACATTGAATAATACGCCTTAGCTTTGCCCATACAGATTCCACAAAACGTGTCTTTCATATCTTTCATTCATATACAGATTCCAAAATCAAAAACTGTCACGTTATAGGTACCAGGAAAGTTATCTTTCATATACACTGCTTATTATTTCTTGACATTTGGGTTTTTATTAACAAGTATACAGCGAAGAAATTCATCTTGAGCTTCTTTTTTTTTCTTGTATCAGTAGGTTTTGCAATAATCTAATCTGATATTAAGCACATCAGTTCGAGGGACGAGAAATCTGATGTTGATTTAAACTTTCAATTTGCTATTTACCAATTTTGAAACTCAAATTTAATCTACACTTTGGCTCCAACTAATATGTCAAATTTATATATCATTTCACCTAGATCGGAGTATATGAATTGGGCTTTTTTTGAGCAAATGAATTTGATTCAACACAAATCCACCAACAAATTTGAGTTTATGAAACTTTAAATGAATTTGAGTCAAATCCAAATCCATCTTCAAAAACTGAACCAGACAAGATGATTTGGATTTACACTCTACAAATTCGACCACCTAAATTCTTATGTCAAAAGCCGATTTAACAATTCCGATGGGACTTGACCAATGTTTCAAGGTCGTAGAAATATGGGAGTTTATCTTTTGCTAAACCCTAAACCCTAAACCCTTGTCTTTTACAAAATTCCAATTTAAACAAATAAAAAACCAGAACCATGATTTACATAATGGTGTTCAAGCAGGTTTGACTAATTATTATTATGAGGGTGAATGATCTAAATTAAAGTAAATGTATGGGGTGTTTCCGGGATCCAATGGCATTGAGTATCCGTTGATCAGGATGGCCACATAGGTCAATGTAGCGTCCGAGCCATTACATCAGGAGGAACCAGTAAATCCTCTAGAATTGGTAATGGACGCATTTTTACAATTTGGTTTTCAATTTTACTATAAAAAATTTAAAACTAGATTATGTGGGAGTGGAGCTCAGTGGAAGGAGAAGTCGTTTTGTAGGAATGAGCTCACGGCAAGACCCCCCAATAGAGGTCATGTCCACTGCCCAAAACACGTCCAGTGTTTCACCTCATCATCGCAAACCACAACCCAACAAATCAAAATTTGCAAACTTTAAACCAAACGAAAACTACTGTCAAAAAGTTTAGGAAAAATAATTAAAATTTGAGCCTCAGTGTATGTAACAATCAGATCATTCACCCTAATTAAGGGCTCACTGAAATCCGCTAAGATAATTAAAAATTATCATCATAAGCTCGATGTGGAGCCATACAAACCCTATCAAACAAAATCAATTTTACAGCATAAAAAAGCCAATAAATTTGAGAAAGAATTTATGGGTTCTGCCAGAAAGTCAAAAAGGTAAGATGGGTTACTTTGGAAAAGAGCACTTTTCAAAACCACAGATCGGAAGATTAGAGAACAGATGAAGAGTGCTCAGACAGCCAAGGGTTTGTAATCAAACTTTTGGGAGAAGAACCCAGATCATAAACTCTAGTCCACAAATAGCCTCATCACCGCACACTTCTGATTTAACAGAAAACACAAATGAGCTGCAAAAACACTTGAATTTGATTGAAAAACCCTAGATTTGGGATCTTAGAAAACTTCTGCGAGAAAGGATTAGGGTTTGGGAGGCGTAGAGAAAATGGGATGAGAAGCGTGTGAGAGTTGGGTGGTATATAGGCACCTTTTAGGGTGGGAATGGGAAAGTTTATTATATATGGAAATTAGGGAGCAAAATGGGTTTCGGCATTTTGGGTTTTTTGTTGGGATTGGGCCCAAGAGAAGAGCCTCATTGGAGGTGAATGTTTTGGATCTGACTCCTTATTAAATCGAAGAGTTAATGGACCAAATGAATCCCATTTGTAGTTAACAAGAAACCTCAAAACCCATTGTCAGTTCTAGTGTTTTTTGTATTATATTCTTGATTTTTCCCAACCAAATAAAAATTTGATATGCATTTGGATCTGACTCCTTATTATATTCTAATTATGTCCTATAAAATCAATAAAAATGGCACTTGAAGAAAGTACTAAAATTTCAATAGTTAATTGAGTAGTCCAATGATATCGAATTCAAATGATTTTTTGCAGAGATGATCTTCAAATAAATATCCATAAAGTAAACAGTTTGGATTAATGAAATACAATGTATGGTGAGTTCTACAAGAGTGTCTCTCAAATACTTATTTGAGAAATCCCTCAAACCGAAGCTCATTGTGTATATATATAGCTCAACTAATTTGAAATTGTTTCGGATCCACATTTTATTGGACCGTAATATACATTTATATTGGACCACAAAAGCAACGAAAACACATGTTGATTAAAGTTTAGCTTGGTAGCGGAGTTTTTGGTGGGTGGCGGATTTTCTGGTGAAAGCAATGTGTTGTAACCCACCTTTACTCACCCTCGTTGTTAAGCAATCCACAAAATATTTAACACAAGAGTTCAATATAATTGTTCCAACCACGTTACTGCCCTAACTAGGTTCAGCAGGGGCATTTGTTCAGTCAAGTCAATGTAAGACTGAGGGCAATGTGGGACTTTCGGGGTCTGTTTACAAAATTCCAATTTAAACAAATAGAAAACCAGAACCATGATTTACATAATATTATGAATTAACCTAAATTAAAGTTTATGTTTATTTAAAGTAAATGTATGGGGTGTTTCCAGGATCCAATGGCATCGAGTATCCATTGATCAGGATGGCCGCATAGGTCAATGTAGCGTCCGAGCCATTACATCAGGAGGAACCAATAATCCTCTAGAATTGGTAATGGACGCATTTTTACAAGTTGGTTTTCATTTTTACTAAATTAAATTTATAATTTGATTATGCGGGAATGGAGCTCAGTGGAAGGAGAAGTCGTTTTGTAAGAATGAGCTCACGGCGAGACCCCCTCAAAAGAGGGCTCGTCCACTGCCCAAAACACGTCCAGTGTTTTCATCTCATCATCGCAAACCACAACCCAACAAATCAAGATTTGCACGCTTTAAACCAAACCGAAACTACTGTGAAAATTTGAAGGAAAAATAATTAAAATTTGAGCCTCAGTGTGTGTAACAATCAGATCATTCACCCTAAGGCTTCACTGAAATCCGCTAAGATATTTAAAAATTATCATCATAAGCTCCATACTGCCATATAAACCCTAACAAACAAGAACAAATTTTACAGCATAAAACAGCCAATAAATTTGAGAAAATTTTTATGGGTTTTGCCAGAAAGTCAAAAAGATGATATGGGTGACTTTGGAAAAAAGCACTTTTCAAAACTAGAGATTGGAAGATGAGAGAAAACAGATTAAGAGTGCTCAGACAGCCAAGGGTTTGTAATCAAACTTTTGGGAGAAGAACCCAGATCATAAACTCTAGTCCACAAATAGCCTCATCACCGCACACTTCTGATTTAACAGAAAACACAAATGAGCTGCAAACGCACTTGAATTTGATTGAAAAACCCTAGATTTGGGATCTAAGAAAACTTCAGCGATGAAGGACTAGGGTTTGGGAGGCGTAGAGAGAATGGGATGAGAAGCGTTTGAGAGTTGGGTGGTATATATAGGCACCTGTTAGGGTAGGAATGGGGAAGTATGTGATATATCATATATGGGAAATTAGGGAGCAAAATGGCACAAAGAAATGGGCCCAAGAGGAGAGCCTCATTGGAGGTGAATGTTTTTAATCTGACTCCTTAGTAAATCGAAGGAGTTAATGGGCCAAATGAACTCCATTTGCAGTTAACAAGAACCTCAAAACCCATTGACAGTTCTAGTGTTCTTTGTATTATATTCTCGAATTTTCCCAACCAAATAAAAATTTGATATGCATTTTTTTATCTACGCAATGGTAGTATGGATGGCGAACATCGTAGTTTAGGTCAATTGGGCGAGATAATGTGCCTGCCACCTTGTATAATGTAGAATATTGCTACATTGTTAATGGATTGAAGAGTTCATATTAGTATGTACCAAAAGCTAATCTATATGTGTATGCCTCCAATCAAGCGAAAAAACAAGAAGATCAATACCTCAACTAATTTGAAAATCTTTTGGATCCACATTTTTATTGGACCGTAAATACATGTTGATCAAAGCTTAAGACAAACATGACTCTTTACAGAAATGACCAAAGTAGCCAAACCATGACTCGTAGTATATATAAAGCGAACATGACTCAGTAGGACAAAATAGCCAAATCAAACATTAGTATATCTTGGATGTAATAATTATATAGAGTGAAATGGAAAAAATAATAGATTACAAATAGAATTAGAAAGAGATTCTAAGAGCATTATCAATGGGGGTTTGTATAAGTAGGTGTATATCATATTTATTTACATCCCTTTTGGCTGGAAACACCTCCAATGGGAGTGTGTATATGGGTGTAAGAGCAATTCCAACAGCAAGGCTGGGGCGCGGGCTGTGGGGTTTTGGGCCAAAAAAGCGATTCCAGCAACAGAGGCTGGCCCGGGCAACAAGTGGACCCCAACAGACCGGGCTGGCCCTCGGGGGAGGCTGGCCCAACTTGGAGCCCAAGTTTTGGATGACGTCAGCACTATAGTGCCGCCCATAGCCAGCAGCCACGTGGCGTCGTTTGGGCTCTCCAATCAGATTTTTTCCTCCAATCCAACGACAGCAAATTTTCGTGCAATAAAATAATGAAAATTTTTTGAATTTTTTTTTATAAAAAATACCCAAAAATTAATGAATTTTTTTTATAAATACCAACCAATACTCTTCACTTTTAACACCAAATCCTCGTACATTTTCGTCTCATTCAACTATTATTCACTTTCTATTTAATATTTTTTTCACTTTCAAGTTTTATTTTTCAGAAATCTTATCCGAAATTTTTTCCCGATTATGAGATATAAATTTTATAATAAAGATTGACATGCATGAACCCAATATTATCCAAATTAATTGTTTAGGTAAAAAAAATATATGAAAAAACAAAAAAATGAATAGTATTTATCATTTTTCATGACAACTGGTGAAAACACACATTATTTTTTGTAAAGGCAGCCACTATTCATATAAATAGTGGCTACCCTAACTCCTTCCTTGTCGACAAACAGTTAGAAGTGCTCTAAAGATAGAGGACGTGGCTGAGATATAAAAAAAGATGGAGCTTTACATCTGTTTTTACATCTTGAAAATGGGTCCCACAAAACAGAAAGTAGGAGTGAGGAGAGAGAAGAGCAGGTAGATTCCAAAACCACTTGCTTGAGACGCGCGAATCCCAGCTTTTCTTGTTGGTGGGCCCCTTTACACGTGGGAGTGTTGTGCTTGTAGCCGTTGGAGTTGCCAAATATAAAAAACAAAAAAATCAAAGCGTAGTGTCAAAACTCAAAAGCAAACGGCTACAAATTGGATGGCTTTTGAAACGAAAGGCCACCATTTGGATGGCTGTGATTTTTTAAAGGCCACCAACGGCTACAAATTGGATGGCTGTGATTTTTTAAAGAAATTTTGTCCGAAAATTGATACAAAAAAATCTGATTCTCTATATATAGCTACAACCTTTGTTCATAAAAATCACCATTCTTCATCACTCTCAATACTCCCTCAAAGATTGCTTATTTCCAATTTCTTAGTTTTGTTTGCTCTCTTTTGTGAACATCAAATGAGTGGACCGGAGAAGGTTCGAAAAGAGCCAAATTGCCAAACTTCTCCATTGATGAAGATATAGTTCTATGTAATGCCTATTTAGCTATTAGTGAAGATCCCATTATTAGAAACTCTTAATAAGCTAATGTATTTTGGGGAAAAGAAAGATATTCATATGAGATGGATGATTTTGATGAAATAATGCTAGAGATAGCTTTGATATTTATAGAAAATCAACGATATTTGAAATGAGAATCAAGGGATTGAGATGAGGATAAGAGAAACTCATCCAACGGTTGAAGATGAGATAAAATTCTATCATGTCGGATTTTGAATTGTATGTATGTAGAAACAATAATGGATGTTGAATTGTGTGCAAAAACGTGATAAGATACTAATGGTTTAGATTAAATGTACTTTATGATCCAACGGTTTAGATTAAACATTTTTAGGTATATTTGTTTTAAAAATTTAACCGTTATGGTTTATTTATTTATTTATTTTGGCTGTTTTATTTTATTTATTGTGGGGTTATACATATTTAATTTTTAGGTATTATTTCTATATTGAATGCCTTAATTTTTTGGTTTAATGATATGAAGGTTACATGTTCTTAGAGGCCTATAAAAGACTACTCCTCCTTCACATTTGAGATACCATCAAAATATCACATACCACAATCACCACCACGATCTGATTCTCTCTTTTTCTACTTTTATATATGTTCTCTACTTTCTATTAGTATTTTGGGCAATGGTTATGTGACTTGGAAACATATCCGTCTATGAAAGTGCCCATAGCGGATCTTGAGCTTGTTTCTTAGGGTCGTATATTGAAGTCTTGTAGACCGTTAATACCTGCACGTAGGGAGGCTACAAAAGCTTTAGGACAATGTTTTTGACGTACTTCTCCATACCAATCTCACCTTCTTACTTATAATTTATTTTGATTTTACTTACCTATAAATTTGTTTTTCTTCAATTTTATTGTACCTTAAAAACTTTCCAATTTGTTTATATGTTATTTATAATATAAAGTTTTTGTATTTGGCTTTATAGAAAAAGAAAACCATAATTTTTATAACACTTATATCATATATGTAAAAGCGTTTTTCATTGAAGAATTAAATTGAACCCAATTCCAACTCAATTGAATACGTTTTATTCAAAATCGTTTACTTTTATGATTTTCTTCCCTTTCTGATTATTTTTGCATACTGCTTTTGGAACTGTCATTATGGGGCATAAGTGCATTGTTTCATTAGAATTTCCAATCAAGGCTCCTTTTGAGGTGAACTTGAATCGGTCCTGATAAGATTATCTAACTCAATTTCGTGTAGTAGATATCAAAGTATAAATGTCATGGACAGATCTAGACAATTTGGTGTTTATGGGTTAGCACAATGTTGGAGTAGAATCTCCCTCTCACTTTGTACAGATTGTATCCATCTAGCAAGCCAAAAGCTTCGGGAGTGCTGCCCTAAAAACAAGGAAGGTATAATTTGGCATGACCATTGCCTCTTAAAATACTCATTTGAATTTTTTTTGGGAATAAGTGACACAGATAACGGGGAGTATGTAGAGGGTAAAGCATTCGTTGAGGTTCCATTCTTGTTCGACAAAAAAGTTTATGAATTGTTGGCTCGATTATGTGCTAAGGCTTATGTTAGTCCACAATTCTATGCTCATGGGACTTGAAAGGTTGAGGTATGTTTAGTTTTTGGTGCGATTTAATGTACTGGGACCTTTCTAGCGAAAACTGTAAGAACTGTTTTGAAGTAGCAATGAGAGAACTTCTAGAAAAACAAAGGATTGAGAACCGTACAGATTTTAGGATTAGACTTAAAAAAACAAAGGGTTGTTAGGTGTTGGTGTTTGTAATTGAAAAATATCAAATATGCTATACTTATAATCAAGAAGAGTTATTGTGCACCAAATAATGTCATGTCATTATGATGTTTTCTTTTTGTCATTTCAAAATTCTAAACTTTCAAATATTGGTTGTGGGTATAGTTTAGGGATGGCGGTGAAGCATGGACTCACAGCGGAGCAGATATGCTCTTGGAGAAAAAATATATAAATCTAAAAAGCATGGACTCATAGTGGAGTAGATATGTCCAGAGCACTACTACTTAAGCTACTATATGATGTGGTAAACTAATGTGGTCAATTAAGTGTGTTTAAATAGCATTACTAACCACATTATGTGGTCAATTAAGGATGTTCTTTTTTTTTCTTTTTCCATATTAAACCTAAAACTATGGATGAGTTGGGAGGCGAAAGAGGGAGGCAGAGGTCGGGAAAGATGATGAAAGAGAAGGTGAAAGTTTTAAAGAATATTGATTAATTAAATAAAGCAATATAAAACAGTGGATTATTTTAAATAAAGTGACATGTACGCATCTATTGACACATAGTATGGTTGTTAAATATGGTCAATTTATTGTATTCAAATAACATTACTTTTTTAGAATTTTATTATAAAGTTTGAAAAATCACGTCGTTAAAGTGGTGATTAGTCATGCTCATGACAAAAATCAATATACAATATAATGATTTAGAATCACATAAAACAAACATGATGTTGACTGAGAAAGAAAGCAACACTCCGATCGAAGGACCTCATTTATTCATAATTTCATACAACCCCAATCAACCTATATTCTTTAAATAAATAAAAAAGCATAAATAAACATTGCCACACCAAAAACGAAAAAAAAAATACTAATAAGAAAAGACTGAGAAATTTTTTAACCAAAGATTATTCCTAGCTATTCACAAATGCACATTGCTTCCTAATCTCACCAGCTGATCCAGTCTTAACATTAACCCGACCCATTTTCTCCATGGACTTGGCAAATTCGTCATAGAAATTCTGAAGTGGACCTTTGAGGAGCTGGTTGATATAATTAAGGGTGGTTGAGCTTGTGGTTAAAGCGGCATCAGATTGAAAGAGGCCTCGTCTTTTGAGCAAAAGTGTGTAGTAGCTGAGGTCAAATGTCCTGTGGCTTCCAGGGTCCATTTCAACTATTGTAGTATTATCAGTTGAACTTTTGCACTTGTTTGCCTTGAGATTCGCTGCGTATTGCTTGTCCAAAGCTGGGTCCTGGTCACCCACGCCGGTGAAATTGTAAAGGCGGTTTGAAAATGATGAGCAATGAGAGATACCAATTGTGTGAGCCCCTGCATTCACGATTTTGCAACAACATAAGTCTCGTAAGAGAATATTATTCACTAGCCGTTAATATTATATCAAATTAATTCTATATGTTTATATATATGAGTTTACTCAATTAGTAATTCAAATTAACAGTTTGTCAACATTGAAACAACATAAGTCTCTTAAGAGAATATTACAAAGTAGTAGGCCGTCATATTAGCAATTTGGCTCTATATATTTATATATACGATATATGCAAGGGCACTTAATCAATAGTTCAAATTGACAATTTTCCAACATAACATGTAGGTTATTTGGAAAGGCAACAGTTCCTGTTCAACGTTTAGATTTACCTGAGAGCAAGACCAAGTCCTTCAAATCAAGACCTAGATTACCAAACCTTGTTTGGAGAGTGGTGAAGTTGCTAGTTGGGGCTGGGATGTTGGCTAAGGCTTCTGCACTCCTTGAGATGACCCCATCTCTTCTACCTGTTGGAACCTTCCAAAATGGACCTCCCTAACCAAACCAAGGAACAAGATTTAAAGAAAAAAAAACATAATAAGTTCACTCAGTTTTAATAAAATTTACTTTTAAAACTTGGATGATTGGTTGGAGATCTTACCGTTGCTACAATAGAGTCTCTTGCTGCCAAAGCAATAGTATCTGCACAAGAAACTACTCCAGGGCATTCAGCTTCAAGTAGGGTCTTGATTCTGTCAATGAAGTTAAAGCCTCTGAGTGTTAGATTTGGAGGGGAAACTTTTTCAGCTTGGTTACTAGAAGTTGAGTTCAGAAGAACAGATGCATCACAACCCTGTCAAGCAAAAACATTATAAAAAAAATTAATTAGTTTCAAAAAATTTAATTCTGAACAGTAACAAAGTAGACTGCAGAATCTTGGGCAAGGGAAGAAGATGATGAACACAAACCCTGACAAAGCAGTCATGGAAGTGCATTCTTATGAGGGCTGCTGCAACTGAAGGTGCATTGTGTATGTGTTCATCTACAAAATCCTTCACAATCTTCTCTGCTTTTGGGCAGTTCTTGGCATAAAAACCCAACTGCAACTGAGCTTCACTGAGGCCTAAAATCACCAAAAAGCATGAAGCTAATAAAATCCCGGAAAAACGAACCGATCCCATTTTCGTTTGCAGACAAGCTTCAGCTGTAAACTTGAATGTAGTTGCAGTTCCAAATTTAGAACTGGAAATTTATAGACCCTAGCCTCAACTTGAGCTGTGAAAGATAAGAAAATTGCAGGGTGACGAAAATAATCCAGCTAGCCAACTAACATGTGCTTGGAGTGCTTGGAGGCAAAGCTTTTATCATATTTTAATAAAAATTATTACTTAATATGAGCAGTTAGGCTTGTCCCTCATAAGATAACAAGCAAAGTAAATTCAAAATTAGCAAGTGCTTTTTCACTTTGATGATGGATTATGTCTGAAGCTAGCGTCTGTCTGACAAACACCCATCTTTTATGGTCTCATTGCCATCATAATTTATGTCTTTTTTTCATAATTAATTGGAGATTATATAAATTTATGTTCCTTAATTAAGGTGACTTGAATATAACTGGTTAACAGTTTTAAGTTTAGCAGTCAAAGGTGGCGGCTTTTTATATATATATATATATATATATATATATATATATGTGCGCGCGCATTTATGTAACGTGGATTTGGTGGATGTTGTTGATCTGAAGTTTGCATAATAAAGCAGAAAACTCAACTGCTCCGGTACAGGAAATTTTAATTTTTATAATTTATTCTCACCTATCCAATTTTCTTATCGATAATTGGCTATATGCTGCCACCTGCGTGGCTGGTCTTAAATTTTTATAAAATTGAAAAAACACAATATTATGCAATGAAAGACAAAATGGGAAAAAAAACAAAATTAATAGAAACGACCTGTCTTATCTTCTGTTGTGCGTTTTGGTTCAGAATTTTGTGTTTAAGGCATAAACGAAATAAAATGATGAACATAGGATGTGAATGATTCTGTTAATGATGTATTTAAGGTCATAATTAATTGAAGGAAAATATTTTCTTCGTTACCATGTAAGTAGGAGCTCATATATTGCTGCCGAATACAGTGTTGATATGTGTATATAAGTTTTTATATATATATATATTTTTTATTAATTATTTTTGCATATGTATGATTTTATATATATATATATATATATATTTAAACGAGACAAACATTATCCTTAATTGAATATTTGGGAGCGTCCAAGTTTTTGAAGAACGAGACCAAGTTGACTTTCTCCTTTGTGTTAGGCCAATGGGGTTTTTCGACATCTTTTTCCTACTGATCTTTTGGTAACATAGCCTAAAGCCAAAACCCTAATAATTTTGGCTTTATCCCTGCAAAATAATTATGCTATGCTATGAGCCTATGAAGTTTGAGACTATGTGTAACATCATCGATTACTTATATAGCTCTTTATCTCATGTCATTCAAAAACATATTTAAGAGAATCCACTTTAAGTTTCCATTAGAGTGAATAATTAAAATTAAAGTTAAAGAAAATGCTTAAAGTGATCATACATCAGATGATAAATATCTTTTGTTAGCCTTAATCTAATTTTTAATCAAACTTTTAAGCATGCAGAGAGTTGGCTATAACTACTTTGGAAGGAAAAATATTGCTTTTATTGATTCTTTGCTCTCTCTCTTTTTGCCATGCACTTATATAATTCAGGGCATCCAATCATGAACTGCTTACTTTTTTTATTTTTTTATTGCTTCAAACAACTTAAATATCGTTGATAAAAATAGAAAGACTCAATTACAACAGTCACACAAGCAATCAATCATTTGAACCTATACTTAGATCCGAACAAGTATCCAATACAAATTTTCATCGAGTACAAAAAATAATGATGACTACAGTACACCTCCTATTAATAGGGTACAAAAAATAATCCTGGCTATGCTGCATGTTCAACAGAGCCAAAATACAGCAAAGTTCCATTATCCTTTTTTATCTTTTTGAATTTTACCAATGTGGAAATATTTTATTGTGATATTTTGCCAATATCTAACTGGTGGACCATGTCGGCTTAGATTAAAATAATCAACAGTCAGAATTCAGATCGCGTTAAAGAAAGTTGGCGAACAATTGTTTCTGGCCCTTTATTAGCATGCAAGCAAGCTGTACACAAACAAATATTTCTGTCTCAAACGAATATTTAAGCTTTATTATAAGATTAAAATGCCCCACAATACTTTATTTGCCCGGAAATAATTGAGAAGTTGCATGATATATATGGTGAAGGCTCCACCACCATAACACTGCAAAATCACATGACCTGGTTACCAACTATTGGCTGCAACCTTTTGGAACAGCCAACTTATATTACACTTGAAAATTCAAATAATGATCACCAGCTGAAACAAAAATATACAGAAAATATATGAACTTGCTTGCTTGCATGCATTTGCCCTCAATTAACAAAAGCGCATTGCTTCCTTATTTCACCTGAGTTGCCTGTGAGGACCCCAATGTTTCCCATATTTACCATTGAGGCACCAAAGTCTTTTAGGAAGGTGGCTCCATGAGAGGTAGCTTGCTGTATCACATAGGCTCTTGTCTCAGGGTCATCAAGAAGAGCTGAATCAGATTGGAAAAGTCCTCTTCTTTTGGTGACAAGAGTGTAGTAATCTTCATCAAATGATTTGAAGCTTCCAGGGTCCATTTCAACCAGGGTTTTGGTGTCCCCCGGCTTACATTTTATCTTCAGCTGAGCTATGTAGTTTTTGTCCAATTTCGGGTCTGTGTCTCCTTTACCTGTGAAATTGTACAAGCGACTCGAAAAGGGGCCGCAGTGAGATGTTCCGATGGTGTGTCCTCCTGAGACAAGAAAAAAAAAAGGAGCTTATAAGTTAGTTAGAGTTTCATGAAACAAAAACAACCAGACAAACAAAAAATTATTTATCAAACTTAAGATTCGTCACCTGATAGAACCACTAGGTCTTTAACACTCAGACCCTTTGAAGCAAATGTTGCTTTGAGCTGTGTTATGTTTGCAGAAGGAGCTGGTAACCCTCTTAAGGCCTGTGAGTTTACTGACACTCTTCCATCTCTACGTCCTGTGGGAACCTCCCAAAATGATCCATGAAGCTGAAATTAAAATATCGATTCAGTAAAGCTACCCGATTATTTAACAACATATGCAGTAAAATTATAGAATTATGTGGATACAAGATTAGTTTCTTTTTACCATTCTTACTGCGTCGCGAGCTACCAATGCCAAGATATCAGCACAAGAAACAACACCAGGACACTTCTTTTCTACTGCAGATTTCACAGCATCTATGACATGGAACCCTCTTAAGCTTTGGTTGGGGAATGCATCTTTCTCAGCGCTATTGCTCGAGGTGGAATTCAACAGCACAGAGCCATCACATCCCTGGAAATCAAAATTTAATGGAGTTAGCTAGGAACAAAATTCAGTCCTTAGCAATTGTTCTGCAACTTCTTTAACAAAACAGTAGAGGAAATATATATTGTACAAGTATATTGCCTGACCAAGATTTGATGGATTACGTAGGAGGCAAGTATTTAATGCAACCAAACAACATACCCTAACAAAACAATCATGAAAATGCATCCTTAACAAAGGAGCAGCAAGAGTTGGTGCCCGAGATATGTATTGCTGAGTAGTTTTTGCCACAATAGCCTCTATGTTTGGGCATGTTTTGTGGTAAAACCCAACTTTCAACTTCTGCCCATTGCTGAAGTCTGAGGCCAACAGAACAAGCAGGAGTTGAAGAAACAAAACTGAGATAAGCTTTTGAGTAGCCATTGCCTTTAGATAGACTTATCGTCGATACGAATTACCAGTGTGATATGGTACGAGACGTGTCATGGGTTTTATAGTTATGTTTTAAGCCTTTGAATTTGTCAGAACATATTGTCCTTAAGAGTTGTTTATAGACTTTATATTATCTGAAACGTTAAACGCCGCCTAACAAACTATTTGACAACTTCCTCTCCAAAAAATAAATAATGAAAACTCAAGTTGACAACTCACAGAAAAAAAAACAATAATAATACTCATAATAATAAGAAAAAAAAACATAAGACAAACTCTGAGTTATAAGATAAAGAAGAAAAGAAAAAAGGATAAAGCTTCAGACATAAATTAGAGTTAAGAAATATCAAATAAATTGTAATTTATCTAACGGTAAGGCCTAGGAGTAGACGTGAGGTTTTATCACAAAAGAACCTCGGCATTATTAGGAGTGGAATCACTTATTATAAGTTGTAATTTATTTAGTCAAGTTTCTGATGTGGAACTTTATATTCTTCAACACTAGTAATGCTGAGACCAATAGGGGAAGTATGAAATTAACGTCATAGGAGTGGGATTGAGGAAACGATTGAAAGAAATAATTAAGAATTCATTTTGAAAACTGGAACATGTTTGATTGCAGAGTATTAACAAAAAAACAAAAATTATAATATAATCAGTTTGAGAGATGTTGACCTTATCAATAGCATGCTAATTCATGCAGAGAATTTGGCCTATTACAGATAAGCACAGAATTTATAACACAATTTGCATTGTACATTGTTTCTCAAGAAGTCAATGAAATTTCCATGGCAATCATCAATCAGATAACATAGTTATGTATTAAACATTGATTACATCTGTATTAACTATTACTTGGCAAATTATTAAAATTGAGAACGTAAACTATGTACGTAGAGTATACTATACGTACAAGAACTGACAACGATGCTTCCTGAAGTATAAAATGCCTTCTACAAAGAGATTGTGTCTAAAATTTCCATTACTGATGGTTGGTCATGATTTAACTAAATTGCTGACATAATTAGCATGCACAATATATGACTTTGCAGATTTAGTGTGAAAACAAAGTCAAAGACCCAAGAGTGTTTGACAGGATATAAGATAATGAAATACATAGTCGTTAATGAGCTAGCAATATTCTCAAGGTTATGCCAGAGTGTGCTATAAATTGAAAATGTTTAGTTGAGGTATGGACTCAGTCTCGCACACATTTGGTAACAGGCTGACAGGGAAGACTATGATTCAAAAACACATGCTCATGCAAAATTGAATTGTCATTAAAGAAACCAATATAAACAAAGTGGCTAATTATATGGTTGGTCTGCTCCAGCCAAGTTTCAGAATCGATGCATTATAAACTGGGTCATATTTGACTATGTTCTATAAGCTCAGTAGCCTACACTCTACGACTCTTGACGTACATTGTTTGCCCATTTTCTGACAGTTTAAGCTTTTTAAGTTATTGATTGTCCGATACAGACTGAGTTTTACTCAGTTGAATGTATGTGCAAAATGACTAAAGACAACATGGATACATTCCTTCTAGAATTCCTGACCAAACAACATTTTTCCATTTTAACCTAGAAGTAGCATCCTGTCAAAAAATGCATACGATCCCTTTTTCATATTGGATAGTGAAACATAATTCCAACAAAATAACAAAATGCCACTCACTCGCACAACTCCTAGAGATTATAATTAATCTCCTATGACAACATATTATGCATGTCCACGTTCTGCTTCAACTGCTCCCAAATCATGTGGTCCCTAATTTTTGAAATAATTTGGAGAGGGGATTTAATTTAAAACTATGCAATAATCTTGCTTAATTAGCTCTACCACTAATTAAGGGTTTGTTTGGGAGTGCTTCTTCCCGAAGCACTTATGCCAGTAGTGCTTATGCCAATGGTGCTTATGACATAAGCGCTTCTACAAAAAAGCAGTTTGTCGTTTGGATGTCACATTTAAAAGTGATTTTACACTATATAAAAACACTTTTGATATTTTGTTGAGTGTTTGACTGACACAATAAAAATACTTTTAAAAGTACTCTAAATTTTTTTAAAGAAAATAAGCCTTTTTATATTTACAGAAAATATCTCAATTTCTAGAAAAAAAGAAACTCCTTGAACAGAAATCTTCCGTTGAGTAATTCACAATTAAGATGTTGGTCTTGCAGTCTATCTGGGTTTCTGGTTGGGGATCACAAAAGGAACTGGATGAAACCAAGTTCAATTTTGCTGGTGCTGAGGTATCAAATTTGAATTTTCAATGGGATGCATATATATTTGCCTAATCTTTCTAGGCTCAGTAACCTAATGGGCTGTCCTGTTTGATTTTCTTGATTCTATATAGGGCGGCCACGTGAGTTTCTTAAATGTCTACAAAGGATTTCTTCAGTTTGGTAAATCTTCGCAGTGGTGTCATAAGAACTTTGTAAACTACCAAGTCATGGTGTGTATCAGTAATTAGATGGTCTGATCAATTTAACAGATGTGGAATAAAATAAAAAATAAAGAGCAAATCTCTTCAATATTGAGAGAAACCATGAGAGAGATGGAATAGAAGCTTAAGGGTTTTCATGGGTGTTTTGGCATCTGATAGGTTTTGGCTTGGGCTTTTCGCGGGTGATGTTTTGGTTTTAATAGGAGAGAAAAAGAGAGAGAAAAAAGAGAGGGTATTTTGGCATTTAAAAAAAATTAAATATGGGTATTTTCGGCATTTTAAAAGTTTCATTAAAGGGAGCCAAGTGCTTCCCGTGTTTTTGTCTTGCAGCGCTTTTAAGAAGAAGCACCTCTCAAGTGCTTCTTCCAAAACTACTTCAAGTGCTTTTGGATCTCACCCAAAGCGCTTTTGCAATTTTTGCCAAACACCATTTTTAAAAGACAGAAAATGCTTTCACCCATTTAGAAGCGCTTTTCGCTGCTCCAAAAGCACTCCCAAACGAACCCTAAATAAGGTGTGTGTGTCCTTCCTGAATTATATGCTCATGATCAAAGTTGAGAATGCTTTTTGCATGTATTCAGATACAAATACAAATAGAATGATGGGAAACTACTCATGTTTTTGACATGACTCTAAGATCAAAGTTATTTTGAACTTAAAAACCGTTCTTCACCAGCATAAAATTAAAAACCCATCTGCCATTCAGTGTTCTTATTTGTGTTTGGTTTTTTCAGTCTCACAGAGCAAGAGAAACTATAGGACAGTTATGAGTGACAAGATGAGGGTCATTATTGATACATGGGGACATGAATTCACCATAGAAGTGGGTCTCAAAGAACCTGTCCTTGAGATCAAAGGGAAGATTGCACAACTCTTGGGCATCCCAATGGCTTCACAAACCCTTGCAGTGTGGGGATGGGAATTAGTAGATGGACTAGACATGGAAGACTATCCAATTGTCACTGAAGGTACAAAAATTAACCTCACAATCAAACGCATGGAACCTCCTTTTCACCGTTCTAGTACGATTCCGATTATCATAAAATTTTCAGCAATACAGCATCACATAGAGGTGAACAGAACAGAAACAGTGAGTAGCCTAAAAGATACAATCCACATTCTTTATGGTACACCCATCAAAAGAATGTCACTCTTCTTTTGTGGAATTGAGTTAGAAGAAGATATTCGCAACTTAAGCGAGTACGGCATATGTGAATTTTCTGAAATCCTTGTGTTCCTCAAGGCCGTGAATCGTCCGACGGATGATCCTCCCTCAAGGAGATTGAGTCTTGTGGTACAGACTTCCTCAAGCTTGCTTAATGCATCCAGAATTCCTTTGAAATTGAAGGACTCAAGCACAGTTAATGAGATGAGGCAACTGCTTTTAAGCAGGAAACTTCTTCCAATTGATGATTATTTGTTCATACACAAGCAGAGGACCATGCGTGACAATTGTAGCCTCAGGTGGCATGGTGTGGAAGATGGAGATCCCATATATGTGTTTAAAGGGGCCGTCTATCGCAGCGGATATTGACATGCAAGAAAAGTAGTGCTATAGCTGAAAATGAAATTTAAACTAATCTAATTATATTTAAATCTATTAGAGAAGCACAACCGAGCATTCGATTCCGTTAGGGATTTTAATTATTTATCATGTTGTATTAACCATCTATAAGATCATTTAAGTACAAGAAAATATCAACTTAATTTCCTATGAGTTTAACCCCTTTCTTACTCTTTCCACTATATCTTGTTTCTGTGCCATAGCAAAAGCAGAGCTACACATTTCCTCGGCTCTTTCATGATCCATGTCAAGGGGGCAATACACCCCATTTCATTGCGAGTTCCATCTTGGACCCGTCGTCATTCATCTGATGGTTAAGATCAGATGACAAGGGAGCTTCTGTGGGGCTCCAATTTCCCGCTTCATATCATCAAACGTCATGGTTAAACAATTCTACACACATCTGTGATCCCAGGGAGCTCCTCCTGGGCTTCAATTTCCCACCTTGGAATCAACTGCATTTACATTTGATCTTTCGGATGGTACAAACTTTGATTTCAAAGTGTAGCTACACCCTGTAGTTTCATCAAACAGTGATACTTCGAGGGTGCAATGGCACCTGCCTGTGTGCACAGTTCTACTACTGCTGGAGCATGCCCATAAAAGCCCCTCCCTTCATTCAAAAGCACTTGAGGATCCTGAGGCCGGCGCCGCCATACAATCTTTGGAGGCACAAGATCATCTACATTTGCCTTTCCCCAAAAGTGCGTTCCCTGCCAACTCTCATACTTAAAAATTCCACAAAGCCTAGCCTTATGCCCAGAAGGCCCTACATGAACTTCTGAACAATGTTTACACACTTTTGCTGGATAAACCATCAATAACTTCTCCACGCCATTTCTGAGAACTTCCCATGCCTTCAAAGTTCCACTGGCAATCATAACCAGTTCATCAGGTGACAAAGACTCAGCTCCATCAACACTACAACAATCACTTTCTGGGCTCCAATTTGAATACTGATTTCCATCATTTGCCCCTGCTTGCCAGCATAGCTCAACAACTGCAGGAACACGTTCAAAGTCAAACCTCTGATGGTGCTTAATAACATCCTGGAACATGTGCTTCAGGTGAAATGCCTCTACTGGAGCTAGCACATCATTTAGACCACCAGTTATCCATTCATGAACCCGATTCTTGCCACGACGTTTGAAACCACAACAAGTCTGAATTACGTGGCCTTTCTCGCCTATATATACTTCTGGACAGAATCTGCAAAAGTAGGATATGGATGAAAAACTCTGGCTTTTCTTTTGAGTCACAAAAACTGTCCATCAGAGCAGGAGGGAGAATGGAGATCAATTACATTAACTCTAATTTGGAAAACATAGCTAGTGCAGCTTTCAAAAATAGTACTTAGGGAGCTCAGGAACATGTAGATATAGTGGTCTAATTTTTCTGAGACAAGAAATACAGAACATAAACTATGAAGCTTCCATGAAGAAATTTGCAGAGGACAGATCGAAGAAAATTTGCATTTAAAAAGGGCTTGAGTATGTATTCCACTATTGACAGCTATAAAGCAACTCAATCATCCTAGATTTCATGGAATTTTCCTCATAACACAAGCCTATAATTTTTAAAAAATACGCAGATCAAAGTCGATATTGTTTCACGAAACATCTGTAACCTATGTAATAGAAAAGTAAGGATTTCAATGCTAAATAATTCAAAGCTTAGAAGTTCATATGGATCCCCCGCCCACCCCCCCCCAAAAAAAAAAGTAGAACTTGGCAGATGAGGGATTTACTTGCAGGCCATAACTGGTAACACTTTGAGGAGGGTAGAGACACCTTGCATAAGGAGCCTCCGGGAATCAAGGACCTCCTGGGCCACTGGAATCATGCCTGGTACTGGATAATCCTTAGCCCGTTCTTGGATTCTCTTCTGAATCATAGGTTTTAGCTTCCTTAAGTCCATCTTGTTTGAGCTAAAATACCTTGAAACGGTGTACATAATCTTGCCATTGAAATTGGAACTCTCAAACAACTTCTTCCTCAGTGCCATAATTTCCTTTTGTGCCAAAACCATATAAAGTCACATCTGCTCCGCAAAGGGTAGACTAAAAGCCAATGAGTCAAATGCAGAAAACATAACAAGAAGTCACCCACGTCATATTTGGATGGTATAATGTGCAACAAGTTACTAGCTTAGCACAGCAGTACAGAAAGCAAACACATTAATTACCAAAGTAGAACTCTTTAATCGATTCAAAACCACAGCTTCCATAAAACCACCATGACCCAGTTCCATATAGAACCCAGCTTATACAAAATCCCCATAAACTTTAAATTACAAGGGAGAAAAAGGGAAACCATTTTTCTCAGGTTTGTCAAATAACAAACTTTACAGGTTCATAACTCATATAAATCAAAGAAAACGAGAAAGGAATTAGATTGTCGTATGCAATCAATCAACATAACCAAAAAATTAAAAACCAAATCCCAACAAACAGCAACAAGGAAGAAACGAACAAGTACCTGGATACAAAGACTATGAATCCAAGCAAGCAATGAGAAACGGAGAAGAAAAAATAAGGGAGATCGGGCGAGAAGGTGGGAAATAAGGCAAAGGTTTCGGCTTGGCTCTGTCTCTGTGGGTATAGGAACCGGAGCTCCGAGTATGGGAGAGTGAGGGTCCAATGGTTTTGGGCCTTTGGCATTTGTGTAGTTTTTTCTAAAAAACTAAATAGAAAGGTTTTTTCTATATATATATATATATATATATCTGAGGAAAAGAATAATAGAAGGTTGGGTAATTCATAATTTAAGAGTGCTAAATTTGGAAATAGAATAAGACAAAAATCAAGGGTTCAGGAAAATTGTGGAAACTCAATATGATGTTTAAAATTAAAACTTTTTTGTTGGTTATTAATTAGAAGGCTACACTACACTAATTGAATTAGTAATTGGCTTTCAGATCTTATGTTTGAATTTTCACTGCTAGAATCTGCTTAACTTTCAATATAAGACTGCCACCTTATTAAAATAAGATCCAATAATTTATATTTTAACACGTGTATGCTAGTGAAAAAAACAAAAAAACAAAAAAACAAAAACTTTTGTTGCTTATTAATTAGAAGGCTACACTAAAAATTGAATTAGTAAGTGGCAGAAATTAAAATTTTAAATCATCCTTTTTTAGGAAGGGTGATTTACAGTAAGTACTTGGAAGTCTAAACCGGTGAAACGAGACATGGCGGTGCGTTTTGGTGTCATAGAGAAAACGACCGCGGGCAATATGCGGCTTAGGCAGAATCAGATCCTCAAGAGCAATATTGCCGCGTGAAGGTAAATCACAAACCGTCCGTTCCTGCACACGCTTCTCCCAACCGTCCAATCCTGAAACCCCCCACAAAAGAACAAGCCAAACAAAGGCGTACGGCAGCAGGAAGCTCTTCGTTAACGCGATAAATAAGAAAGAATAAAGTAAAATCCGAGTTTCTGTGGTTCGCACGACTTTTTCATATCCTATATATAGAGCTCCTACCAATCTTTCTCTCTTTACCTCATCTCTGTTTCCAAATCGCCTGCTTGGATTTACCGTCTCTTCGTTCAGGTAATTTCTCTTTTCATGTTGTTATCGTTATTGTTGATTCAGGAATGAAATTTATTTTGGGTTGTGTTTGATTTATCCCTAATTTAGATGAATTATTTCTGGGTCGATTTGATTTGTATGAATTATTAGCTTGAGGATTGTGGGATTATGGGCAATTTGTATAAGCTGGGTATGTATAGAATTGGGTCGTGGTGGATTTAATTTTATGATATTAGGGGTAAGTCGAAGGGTATGAGGTTTGTGTTCTGGTAATATGGAAGAAGTGAGTTTGGATCAATAAAAGATGTGTACTTTGGTAATTACTGTGACTTTTTGGCCTGTTAATATCATGAAATTATCAATTTGTGATTTTGTTTCTAAGTTTTCTGGATTTGGCTGATTGGGTTTTCTCTACCCTTTTGTGTAGCAGATTTAATATTAATATTTTAAGAAAACCCTTTGTTGGTTACTGGATCTTCTTCCTCCAACAGTCAAGTTTCATGTCTGAATTCGACACCCAGGTCCCATCTGCTTTTGGTAAGGTTCTGTTCTTTTAAGCTGATCCATTTTAGGTGATATGATTTATTAGAAGCATACTTCATTCAAGCAATCTAAGCATTAACTTTTTGGTGGTTTGTGTCTTTGTGGATTGTTTGGGCAGATCCCTTTGCTGATGCAAATGCTGAGGACTCAGGTGCTGGGACAAAAGAGTATGTGCATGTGCGTGTGCAGCAGCGTAACGGGAGGAAAAGCCTGACTACTGTGCAAGGATTGAAGAAGGAATACAGCTACAATAAGATACTAAAGGACCTCAAGAAAGAGTTCTGTTGTAATGGTACTGTGGTCGAGGATCCTGAGTTAGGCCAGGTTTGTTCCCGTCTCTTGAAAAAAGGAACTTTCAAAATAAGTGATTTTTGCTCCAAATAAGCAATGCCAAATTAGTAAATCAAGATGCATTCTTTTGGTACGATGATTGCAAAGTGGATGTAAGATATGGTGCATTATTTATTTTATAGTCTATGTCGGGCCACAAGATTGTTGTTGCTAATTTGCTGTGATGAAAAGGGCTGAAAGGAGAATTTATTGCATGTGTAGTAGATTTCTTCTCCCTTGAGTATAGGGTGCGAGCTTGCACTAAACATTTTCCATGTATTGTGAGCATTGTTGTTCATTAGACATCGGCAAAACATCTATACAAATATTCAACGTGTCAGTTTACTGTCATTGCAACCAAAGGCTTATATGTTTCATGGTTGCAGGTCATACAACTTCAGGGGGACCAGAGAAAGAATGTTTCCTCCTTCCTCGTGCAGGTAGTGGATCTGTCTGTTTTTTAATTATGTTGCCGCCACATTATACTATTGATTGATGTGTATAATATAACTTGTCAACTTCCCATCTTCTTTTAAACAGGCTGGCATTGTTAAGAAGGAAGACATCAAGCTTCATGGTTTTTGAATAGCAGCGGTCCCGTTACTCAAAGCGAGTAATATATCATCAGAAATTGAGTGTTGCTACAATCAGTTCTGTTACATGTACCTTATAAAGGTCTGAAACAATAGTTCTGTTTTTCTTCAAGTTCTGCTGCTTGCTGTGTTATGTGGCTGGATACTTCGAATACCGTTACTCATAATAATATAGTTCTGCTTTCTATAAGTACCGCGGAAATGACCAGCAGGTCTGCTTGTTGATTTATGCTTTCCAGTCAGTGGCGCCTTTCTTACTAGGGAGATTCTTGCATACAAAGGATGAGTACGGGACTTAAATATTTGTGATTGGCAGAAACATTTTAGTGGCTTCAAAAACTATTCCCTGTTTCTGCAAAATGGCTTCTGCAAAATTCTTGTCGGAGAAGCTCCCCATACTAGATATATCAAAATGCATATAATATTCCTTTTTTCTTGGGGTCGGGCATTAAATATTAGGAGATTCACTATTATACCCAATTAATGACTTCCTCTATTTAAACGTGTTCTAAGCAACAAATGAAAAAAATTATTTCATCTTTTGCTGGTAGATAGGAACCCTTTAAAATGGTTAGTGAGAATCAGTTTAATTTAAGGCAAAAAGAGGAAGCCATTAATGTATCATATTTGTCGGCATATTCTCATTAAATGAAAAAAATAATGCTAATTGCAACAACTAATTGGTTTTAGGCTGCAAACATGGTCCACTGTCCAATGGGCTGTTGCAACCTGGTCCAACTTTTGGCCCAACCGCAATGTTATGGGTAGCTGGGCTTCTGTCTTTTCTTTTCCAGTTGGTTCGGCTTGCAAACTCTAAAATCTAACTGATTTCGGTCTGTGGGCTGAACGAGGGAAAGATCCGGTTGTGGTGCACTTGAAGTCATCCGACATATTTTTTAATTATTTTATTTTGTACAAGTGATAGTCTAAATTATTTTTCACTCCCACATTCCAAAGAGTTATAGTGGTTCGAACCTATAAATAATATATATATATATATATTGTTGACGCAGAAAAATGGTTTGGCACTTTCCCGCGCAACTTAGAGATGTTGAGCCTTCGGTATGCTCTGGGCCTTGGTAGGGCGTTCGATCTGCAAGATAGCAAACGCTCGATAAGACCTAGGGCAGCGGTGTGATACCGGCCGAAGGCTCTCCGATGCTTAAGTAAGTACGGATTTAGTAAGTTTAAACTACAGATCAATAGGCAGTATGCCGTAAGTTCTGATTGATTACCTCCAAGCTGGGATAGTTATCCTCTTTTATAGGCCTTGGGAGGTGTGCAATTTGACTAAAGTTTTAATATGGGACTGTGGACATCAAATGTGGGACTGCCACATGTCCCTGGGGGTGAGGTTGCCCTAATCGTACGCTCGGTAGGTGCGGTACCGAAGCTAGGTGTCGAAGGCTCCCATAGTTCTAAATTGGTCCACGTGTCCGATGCTCATTTGCTGTTCATTTTGGTATAAACATATATATTTATATCTTTTTTGGGTTTAAATCCTAGATATTAATACGTAAAATTTTCTGCACTTTATTGACAAAATAAAAAAGACATGAACTGAATTTGAATATTGTGTAGGTTTCTAAATAATTTGACTTTGATCCGAATCCTATGCCAAGCGGATATGGATGATAGCTCCTTACATATTATTTTATAGTGTAAATTTTCATTTCATTTAAATATATATATTTTGTACGTGTTTTTCTAGTTTTTATATTACTTAATTGTGTCTGGAAATGATCATCTTGATAAGTTCATAACATCCAGTTACGTGTTATGTAGTCAAAGAACACACGCTCCTTTTAATTCTCTTCGAAAAGGACAATACCTCCTATAATAATATTTAAATAATAATAACAATAATGCTTATCTCTTAGCTCAAAAGAATGATAATACTAGACAATACATGAACAGGATAATTGCCTGCCGACTTTAGACTTGAAGTCTTGTGGATGACCAAGCCCGCTATATGCCAACGATGGTTGATTTACTTGGTAAGGTATTTGTATTGTGTGTAACTTATAAATGTTGGTGTGTAATTTGTAATTTCCTATATAAATCTATACAAATAGTAATTGGCAGTTGGGTGTTACGCATAAGTCTTTCTGCTCAAAATTATGAATCTGCTTTGGCGCTGGTGATGAGAGTAGCCAATCTCTTCCAAAACTTTTATTCACTAAAAGATTTATATACAAAAAAGAGATTCACTATTATACCCAATATAGGAGCCCAAATTATACAAAAACTTTATATGAAATAGACTTTAGAAACACACCCAAAACTCATTTACAATATAATAAAAAGGCTTTTAAATTAAAAAATTGTCATTAATTTCTTAAAACAAATCTAACCATAAAATCTTATAAATAAAAAAAGCTCAAAATACTCAATAGGATATCAAAGTAATTTAATAATCAAAATTAAATCCAATAAGCCCAGCTGTCATTTTTTGAGTTTGTTTATAGAAATTAATAGCGTAGAATTTATCTATAGTTTTAATACTAAAAATTAGTATATGACTAAATATCTCCAAAAAAAAAAGCCTGCTATCTACTCAGGCCGTCCAAAATGGTCCATCTTTTTGCAGGTACTTTTTTGTTTGATTTCTGTCGACCCTCAACCACGGGCCATACAACTCGTGTAAGCTTTCGAATTTCATCAAGGACACTGATAATTTGATTGTCTACTTCTCCCAAATCAACTTGAGCAAGTGCTTGAAACTGTTTGCTTGGGTACGATTTTCAATCGTTGATGCATACACAAAAAACTTCAACGATAAGAGTTAAAATACGGCGGAACGATTGTCAGTAACATTATTTCCAAATGGCGCGTGATAATTTCTTGGAGCTCAGCTTTCTAGTCGACACTATCAGTAAAGTAATATTAGTCGGGGACAAAACTGCACATTTTTAATGGCCATTGACGATCGTGCTGTCATATCGTATCATATTATTTGTTTTCTAATTTGGCATTTTCTTAATTACTGCTAAGACACAGCCAATGTATTTCACTTGATATTAATACATCCCCACCAAGAACTTGCCACCAAGGAACCACTTGAATATATATATCTCATACCAAACAACACCCTACCTTCAAGATTAAAGCACCAAAAACCAATTATGGTTTCAAGGGATGTTTTTCTAATCGACGAGAAAAAATGGAATTCTAACTTGAAATCTCTTTCAATACGATGATTTTCGAGGGATAAAATGTAAGGAGTTGGTGTTTTTTTTCGCAACTCAAAACCATCTTAAATAATCAAATGACTCAAAATGATTTGATCATGAAAGTTAAAATCATGTCGTGATAAGAAAAAGTTGGAGTTGGAGGGTAGGGCCCAAGATTTGATTATCTTTTTATCTCACAGTATACTGATTTGGAGGTGTGAGTACAAATACTCAAAGATTTGCAATCATCAACATTCTATGCCAACCAACAGTTAAGTATTCAACTACCTATCAAAGGTGGACTAGAACCCACTCTTTCCAACTACCATTCTTCTTTGGCTTCCTCACCTCACCACCCATTCTTCCCTCTATCCATGGACAACATTTTCTTAGGAATCTTCCTCCTATTTATACAACTTAGATTACTTGCCTTCAGTTTCAAACACAGTTTCCTGCACTTGCTCTTTTCTATTAACTCAACCACTTCAAATTTGCGGCTTCAGTTTGTCTCATACTTTCAACTACTTCAATGGCTGACTTGGATCACTCCACCTCTGATGACAACTCTGTGGATTCTAGAGGTACCCTTTTGAAATTTGATGTTAATTTCCTAATCATTCTACGTGGTTTTTCCAATTTTCTACTCCATTGTCTGACTTGGATCAAACCATTCCTAGAACCCAGAGGCCCCCTTTCTATCCATTGAAAGGATCTTATTGGTTGTTCCAAATTATAAAAACTAGCAGTCCAATTTTCTACTTCTTATGATTCTTTCATAGGGTTATCCTTTGAAATCTGTGTTTCTTTCAATGTGACTCTGATCAAAAGCCAAAAGCATTACTTCTCCAAAAAAATCTTGGTTCTACAACTATTTTAAATATGTAGTCCTTTTGATCAAACATGATGCATGAACTCAATTCCTTGGTGACTTGTGTTTTAGATCAACTCACAAATAGACACGTTTTTATCTCAATTTGTTGCAGAGGAAAGTAGTCAAGACTCTAAGCTTCACTTCTCAGAAGACGAGGAAACTCTAATCACTAGGATGTTTAACCTGGTTGGTGAGAGGTGAGCTAATCTCTTCTTCTTTTTATGTCTAATTTTCTCCTACTTATCTAAAGTTACCTGAATTTGGATAAGCTAATGTTGTGTTTACAAATATATCTCTCAGGTGGTCTCTGATTGCTGGTAGAATTCCTGGAAGATCAGCAGAGGAGATTGAAAAGTACTGGACTTCAAGATACTCAACAAGTGAATGAAGTGCCAGACCAAGAATGGTCTCTCTCTCTCTCTCTCTCTCTCTGTTAGAGCAGAAAATTTTGGGGGTGTTATTAAAAAAGTTTGGTTGTACTTAATATGCATGGGTTTTTTCCAGTTTGCATTGCTTAAACAAAGGAAGCTGTAGTATGATCAGGGTTTGCTTGCAATCAAATGGGGGCATTATTCTGCAAGGTCCCATCCCATCTTTGTACAATAGTTACTGGATTAATGATGTTTGGGTTTTCAGTTTTTTTGTTTGTAACTTCTGTTATGTGAGCTCTAAGTGGAAGTAAATTTGGTTGGTTTTTTAGCTGCTTGATATCAATGATCAATTGGTATAAAGAATTTAGAACACAAAGCCCAATCTGGTGCTTGTGTTATCTTCAATACTGACTGTTGACTTGAATTGAAAACCCAATAATATATTCTTATCATGTGGAAGAACTTATGGTCCCCTGCACACATTCTGACAAAACCCAATACAATAATAAGATTAAAAGGGAATATAAGGTTGGAAAATACAGTTTACAGGACCTTTTGATATAAAAGGGGTCTATATTGGTATTGGACCAGAGATTGGTTTGTGCAAAGGCCATGCTGCATCATATGAGCTTTGTCATGTCCTGATTCTTTCGAGTTTGAGCTATCTGCCATGGCTCCTAGTCATGGCAACAAGAAAGAGAAAATGAAAATGACCTTCAAATATATATATATATTTTTTTGGGTCTGGAAATTGCTTCATATGGACACAACCTTATCCAAAAAATGATGTAGAGCAAATGACATAAGCAATTGAAAATGAGTTGGAGAGACGTACGCGCAAGGACAAATCAAGAAAACTGCAAGTTTCGGCTTCGAGCTCATATTTGGGCCCATGACTCGTTGTTTCGAAAGAGAATGGCGTCACGAGTAAAACTCATTGCTTTGTCATGACAAATGGGCTTTTTCTGGCATCCGAGATCGATTAACATATTCGGGCATCCAAAATCGAGTTTTTATGTTTTATTAGTTTTTTGAAACTTTGTTAATTTTCCTATTTTAATTCGTTTTGGATTCCTAGGGTATTTAAATCAACTTTAACTTGTGGTTAGGGTTATGTGATGTTGTTTTCAGATTTTCAATAAACTTAAGGTTTCCTCATTCTTCTTGGTGGATTTCAAAGTTATATTCTATGTTATAGTTTTAGCTATTCAATTATCACGTTGCGTCAAAAAATCATCATGCAACATTACAAAACAAACAAGGCCAAGCCCACTCAGCTAAACCCACAAGGGAAAGCAAAGACACATATGCAAGCATGAAACATGAATAAATTAAGCCAATCACATCAGACAGTAGCTGAATTCTCAATGGCAAAGACTCAAAATCAGTCTTTTTCCTTTTTCTGTGGTTATCTCCAGACTGTTCTACCTAATATATTAATTGATATCCATATGATGACAACTAGAAGTTGTTTTAAGTTTCCCACATGCTAAACCAAGAGAAGAAGAGTTAGAAAACTCTTTATAACAATTAAAAAGGTGAAATTTGAAGGGGGGCATTTGGTAGTGTCAGAAAAAATAAAGAAGAAGGAACCAACTGACTTGCAGAAAGCCAAGTTTGTTAAGATTCAACATGTAAAAAAATCCATCTCTGTTGATAGATTCATAGGAAATTTGGAACCTAAGCTGGAACATAATCATGAATCTAAGGATAAAAAGCACCGTCATGAGAAGAAAGTAGTCTAAAAGAGAACAAGTGACTGAACGCACTTGGACATTTGGCAAATGTAAATTTTATAGTCTTTTCTTTTCTGGCCTGGGATCTTATTTTATTATTTTATCATACTATATGCCGCAAATGATTTGTCTTGGCATGGGTGAAGACCGTTAGCTAGAGTAGCGGTAGCATCATGAAAAACCACATGCAAAACGATATGAAATGAAAACATGCAAGAAAACATGGAAATCATGGGGATCATCAATGGATGCATATTTTGAAAAACAGGGGCAAGCGCACCTTCCATGGCCAAAGAACGAGCAATCCCAGTGATTGATAGTTAGCCGCTCTAAACAAGCTTCTTAGTACCTTGATTTCATTTAATTGATAATGCGGATTCACAATCTAATCAATAGTTTCTCTTCTCTAATTGGAGACACAATGATTGACGAGTTTGATTATATAGTTGGATAGGATTCATAATCTTAATCAATTGTTTGGTGACTGAAAACAATCTAAACTGGATTATGTCTAATTAATCATAATTAATTATCGACAAATTAATGTTCATTAGTAAGATAATCACAAAAAAAAAAAAAAAAAAAAAAAAAAAAAAAAAAAGGGATATGTTGGATCCAACTAAAAGATTGGGATTAAGGTCCTTAGTCGCTCAACACATGTACTCTTTACCTGCTTATGCGTTCATAGCACAAGACTTGACATTGTTGTGTTATGAACATAATCGCTGTAAGATTTGCTTTAAGAGAAATCAGATGTGAAAGAAAACAGTTTGACGTTTGGTAAACTTTTTACTAAAAGTGATGTTTGTACAATAATAAGTTTTTGTGTGTTTGGTAAATTTTTGTGTAAAAGTGTTGTGAGTTGTGGATAATAACTAAAAATAACATTATGGTGAATTAACTCTTCTATTCAAGTCTTTAAAATTCGCCACTTAGATAATGAAACTATTTAGGAGACTAGTCTATGATTTGAAATGGAGCATCTAATTAAAAAGCATCATTTTTTTCTTTTTACTCAAGCTGTTGTTATCTTTATAGTATGAAATGAAATGGGTTGGGTTTCACTCTCTCGAGTCTTCTCTAATAAGAAGTAAGAATTTGGTTCTTAACAAACAGGAACAAGGAATTGTCCATTTAAATAATTGAATTAAGGGTCCATATTGGTTTTTGGGTCACCTTTAAGAAAAGCAAATTGTTTATTGTTCAAGCAAAAACCTTTACCATTCCATTTCTAAAGCTTCTTCTTCATCACTAAGATAGTAACAAAGGGAAAAACGAGTCATGACTACTTTGTCTCATGGCTTTCCAATTATTTCGTCTTCCAGTTGTCATTGCCGAATGATTAATCTCAAGGAAGATCACAAGGTCTGTTTTTGGGGTTACTACAGAGAATGAGTGACTATGAAATTGGTATTTCTAGGGTTTATAGGAAGAATGATAATATTAATCTTATCGGTTGCTGCTATCATATCAGTTTGATTTGTAAATTGTACCATAATCAGCGAGCTTCCCTAACCCTAATTGAGAAGAATGAAATTGAAAAGAAAAATAAATATAATATGTCTCTTACCTAAGTCTTCTGGCTTTTAGAGAAGGCTTCAATTGATCCAACAAGAAAAATTGAAGAACGAGCAGAAGAGAATGAGAAGACCGACGAGAAGGAGAAGAGCTCCTTCTCATCCATTCGTGAACAAGTGAACGTGGAAGAAAGCGATGGGAAGGAGAAGAATGAAACTAGAAGAAGAGAGACACGAGCGTGAAATAGATGGGGTTATTTTTGAAATTCTTGAATTTTCATTAAAGTCCATCACCTCTTCAAACTGATTACTGCATAATCAAAAAATGAAAGCAGCTCATTAGATGTTTTCCTTAATTGCTTTATCTCACAACAATGATTTACAATAAGTGCTTTTTTTTCTTTCTTTTTTTTCTTTTTATCTCTTACTAAATAGATTGGGCTTTCAAAAATTTCAAAATAATCACTTATAGCTCCAAATAAATAATGCCAAACGGGCACTAAGTTGGATTGGATTATATCTATTCATGCTAGGCCATGTAATATGACATTTCAATTAGTCAAACCTCTTAATCATGTGTAGTACCAAACACATCATTGGATTTGTGTTATCCTCTTCAATTCAATCCAATTCTAGTTTCAAACATGAAATGAGGAGTTTTCTCCATTTTCTCTTACTCATTAATCAACAAAAGCATATATATAATTTGTATATTAATTTTTGCGGCCCAGAAACACTGGCTCTTGCTTGGCCCCGTTATAGAAGTATTGGGCCTAGTTGAATTTGACACATATGATGGCCCATCTAGATAAATAATTACCATACATTATAGTTCTCTAGTCTTTAGATAGAACTTTATGTGACACATGAACTAGTGGTACTAATAATCAATTAACTTGTAAGGTAGGTAACTATTTTAACAATATTATAAATAAATAAAACTATCTAACCAATCTATACTTGTAAATTAACATTACTCAAAACATTGTAGTATATAACCTGTCACAAGCAAATATGCGTCTAACAGGGCATCATAGTTCTCTAAAGAGGCTGCCAAGAATACCAAAATCAAAGTCGAAGTGTATCGCGGGTGAGAAATCCAGTCGTCAAGAAGGAGATACTAGGAAGAGACATGATTCAACTGAAAGGTGTATCTAGTTGAACTTGTTACTTCATATAATAACGTGGCATGTATTATGTCATGTAATATAAAGATGTGGTATATAATACAAAATGTGGTAAGATTAGTATTGTTAAATATCAAATGAGTGATGCAATTATTGAGAAAAGGAGAGGGAATGAGAGAGAGATTCCAAAGATATGTGAGATAAGAAGGTTCTTTGTTCCACCTCGAACTGCTCAAAATCCAAAACATGCTGCCCAGCCAGAATTATCAGCAGCAATTGAGGACCACTAAGACGCTCTCAGTCTCCCATTTCCCAAAGAAAACCTCCTCCTTCCTCATATTCTCGTGAGGAAGGATGTGTTCAAATTCATACCATTATTATTATGTTTATCTCAATTCAATATCCTCATCTGGTGCGCATATATCGTCATTTTCAGACGGTGCAAATATATCTATCCCCTCCATGTCCATGACGTATATGCATGTTATCCCAATCTTGATTTTTCTATTGCATATGCTATAACTGCCCACTTGCCAACCAGACCATATAATTTACCAATAAGAAAATGTTAATGAATTAAGACCAATCTGTGTAATGCATGTGTATGGCATGACGTTCCCAGAGTTTGATCTACCATGCATGCTGTTTATACCATATTTGACCAGTCAATCAGAGAATGATACGTGGAATAAGGGACCCATGAGGATGATTCATTAAAACTGGTAATCAATTGCGTCTTACAAAGTACCATCGGCAGGATGTGAACCTTTTGCACCATGGGTTGCAATCGTAACAAAAGACCACACTTCATTAGGAATTTCTCACAAGGACATGTGACGCTTCTTCAGGCAATGCCCACAGTCCCACATCGAAATCCCACTCAAGATGCACATCTCCCAAAGTCTATAAATAGGGGCTCAAGTCCCCAAAATAAGGTAACTGTGACTTCAACCGGTACTACACTGGTGTCAAAGATGACAACATTCCTAAGTTGAGCCCAAAAGTATCCGACAATTTTGTGCATCAACACATGCAAATGACAGTTTTTTTTTTCTCTTCTTTCTTTTCTGGTCAATTTTAGCCACTTCTGCTGCATGATAATGCGCAAAGAATGGAAGGGTAAACATACCAATAGAGAAAACTTCATGAGGATAAGACTGTCATCTAGTTAGGAGATAGGGTTATCCATCCTGAGAGCCTCACCTAGCTAGCTCCTTGGGAAAGTCCAAATCCCCACATCATGCAACCCTTTATACCACTCATCTCACTCATGCTCATGGCCAATCTAACAAACTCTTGCAACCTTTTCTACCCAATTAAAAGGGCTATAACAATGAACTGAAGAATTATATCTACAAGGAAAGTGCAAGCTTCAACCTAATATTACAGAATCCACATGCCTCCAGATTGCATGTATATATGTTACAGACGCCGCGTGCATTTATCTACATCTGTCACGCTCACGGCTGTGTGACTCTGTCACATGTTCTTTGTTGCCATTTGGACAGAAAGACGCATTACCCAGAAAGAAAGAAAACCGAGAACAGTGTTTTTCAAGGATTTGGGCAAGACTTAAAGGACAAAAGCGACAAACCAACTCTGCTACTTTAACTTTAACTTGGAGCTAGGTTGGATTTTAATCTCATCGATCACATGCAGTTAAGAAGAACAAACAAGTAAATAAATCATGAATCTTCTCAACTTCATCTTGTACAAGCTATTATATTCGACAAAAGAATGAGCCAACGATGTATATCAAAGTTTCACGGGAAATAATCTTCTCATGTTCTTTATCATGAATGGGAGAAGCCTAATTATGCTACAATTTTATCTGGTTCAATCTTTAGTCAGCAATCATTTATTTCAATATCGAAATTTTCATCCCTTGGTCCACATTGATGGCTCGATATTGGGTGTCTCAGCATAAACAAACCAAAAACATTTGTCACACACACACACAAACTTTTGTATGTGAGCATCAAAAGAAATAATAACCAGCTAAGATTTAGTTCATATGCAGAAACCAGAAAGCAAATTGAAGAATAATGAAAGTGGCCTATCTAGGCACATCTGAGGCAGTTGAAGAACTAAAGTAATAATAAAAAAAGCAAACAGAAGAACAGAATCAGTTACTCTTCTTTTATCATGTTATAAAAAATAATGACATCATCCAAAATTGGAAGAAGAAGACAATTAAGCATGGTGACTCAGGATTGTTAGAGAACTAGTGCATGCCATCACCCTACGTGCCTGCAAATGCAGCTCCCATGGGACAAGTTTCGCTTTTTTTCTGCAAGATAAACAATGAAATATATTTATTACACGATAAAAATAAAAATTTAATATTGCGAAGCACTGTGGAAATTTCTTGGATTTTGTTTCTTTCTTATCCACAAGGGTAGAGTTTTAGCAATGTCACAAGAACTTGTTACCTCTCCCCCGCTGGTGTTATAAATATTGGGACTTGGAAGAGCTTTCTCATGAACTTCTCCTAGTTGTTTCACAAAGCTTTCATACCAAAAACAAGTTCTAGCCATGGCTGCATCTTACTCAGTGCCTTCAATGGTAAGCCATGAACAACCTTTCTCTCTTTTTCTTCATTTTTCTGTTAGTTGTGTCCTTGCTTGTAGTTCTCTCCTAGGATTTGCTAAATTTGAGCTATTTCTACACTACATTATAATAATATTCAAGCACATTTTCAGTGTTTCATATAATTGGTTTTCCCTAGTTTCAATTAGTCTCTTCATATTTTTAACTGAGGATTCGGTTTCATTTTTTGTACTTAAGTATCATCACCCAAACAAACTTCTATACATCTGGCGCATTGGAATTGGCTCTCGCAATAGTCGGTGATAGGTGTGAGACCTAAATTTTTTGCAGGTCCCACACCTTTTCTACTACGCCGGGCGTATAGAAGGAGCTAGACTCTCTAACCAGCCCAATGTCATGATGAAAAAGGAAAGAAAATTCGACCTCAAATACTTAAGTTCTCACAAATGGCCTATTAGCATGCATGGCATCAATTGTTGCCATTGAGTTATGGATATGTGGGTTAATTTGGTCAAGGAGGAGCTTACCATTCCTAAAAAGTTGATAAATTTGTTAAAAAGTGAAAAGTATTTTATTCTTCTTTGAAAGATCATGTACCTATATTTGCATGTATCTATATGATATGTATGCACTTGATGTTGTTATGAAGAACCGTAGATGGAGCATAAATTATACGAATTTCTAATTCAAATGAGTTCAGAATTAAGCAATGCAAATTGCTTTTCTACATGTTTGTAACTCTGCCGGAATTTTGTATACAGATAATGGAAGAAGAAGGAAGGTTTGAAGCGGAGGTAGCAGATGTGCAGGCATGGTGGGGCTTAGAGAGGTTCAAGCTAACAAAACGTCCATACGCAGCTAAAGACGTTGTGGCACTAAGAGGGACCCTTAGACAAAGCTATGGCTCAAATGAAATGGCCAAAAAGCTGTGGAGAACTCTCAAAACTCATCAAGCCAACGGCACAGCCTCAAGAACTTTTGGTGCACTAGACCCTGTCCAAGTCACCATGATGGCCAAGCATTTGGACACCATTTATGTCTCCGGTTGGCAATGCTCGTCTACACACACCAGCACCAATGAGCCTGGTCCTGACCTTGCTGATTACCCCTATGACACCGTCCCAAACAAGGTGGAGCATTTGTTTTTCGCGCAACAATACCATGATCGCAAGCAAAAAGAGGCGCGGATGAGCATGAGCCGGGAAGAGAGGGCTAGAACCCCTTATATTGATTACTTGAAGCCAATAATTGCTGATGGTGATACTGGTTTTGGCGGCACCACAGCAACTGTTAAGCTTTGCAAGCTTTTTGTGGAGCGTGGCGCTGCTGGTGTTCACATTGAGGACCAGTCCTCTGTGACCAAAAAATGTGGTCACATGGCAGGGAAAGTGCTTGTTTCTGTTGGTGAACATATTAATAGACTTGTGGCTGCAAGGTTGCAATTTGATGTCATGGGAACTGAGACTGTCTTGGTGGCTAGAACTGATGCAGTTGGTGCTACTTTGATCCAAACCAATGTGGACACCAGAGACCATCAGTTTATATTTGGGGTAACAAACCCGAATCTCAGAGGGAAGAGTTTGGCTACCCTTCTAGCTGAAGCCATGGCTGCTGGCAAAACAGGAGCTGAGCTGCAGGCCCTTGAGGACAATTGGATTTCAATGGCACAGTTGAAGACATTTTCTGAATGTGTCACAGATGCAATTAAGGCCATGAACGTCGGTGAACATGAGAAAAGGAGGAGACTGAACGAATGGATCAACCATTCTAGCCCTGATAAGTGTTTGTCAAATGAGAAAGGCCGCGAGACTGCTGAGAGGTTGGGGCTTAAGAACCTCTTCTGGGGACTGGGACTTGCCGAGGACCAGAGAAGGGTTCTATAGGTTCAAAGGGTCTGTGATGGCAGCTGTTGTGCGTGGCTGGGCTTTTGCTGATCATGCAGATATTATTTGGATGGAGACAGCGAGCCCCGACATGGTTGAGTGCACCCAATTTGCTGAGGGGGTGAAGTCTCTGCAGCCTGAGGTCATGTTGGCTTATAATCTATCACCATCTTTCAATTGGGATGCATCTGGAATGACTGATGATCAAATGAAGGACTTCATTCCTAGGATCGCCAAGTTGGGGTACTGCTGGCAGTTTATAACACTGGCTGGTTTCCATGCTGATGCGCTTGTGGTCGACACTTTCGCGAAGGACTATGCTAGGAGAGGAATGCTGGCTTATGTTGAGAGGATCCAGAGGGAGGAGAGGAACAATGGAGTTGACACACTTGCTCATCAGAAATGGTCTGGTGCTAATTTCTATGATAGGTACCTTAAGACCGTCCAGGGAGGCATTTCTTCAACTGCTGCTATGGGCAAAGGCAAGTCATTCTAAATGTTTTGTTCTCTTGGTAAAATGAAAGAGTGATTAATTACATTATTGACCATCATTGTTTCATTTTTGTTTTCTTCTTTTGCAGGAGTGACTGAAGAACAATTCAAAGAATCATGGACCAGGTCAGGATCCACAGATCTGAGTGAAGGAAATGTTGTGATTGCCAAGGCAAGAATGTAAGAGACAGAGAGAGAGCCACTTGAATTGAGTTTGGTCCAAGGGTACTTTGGGACATTACCCAGCTCATTTATTGTGGGAACTGGGGTAGAATAATGTGCTGAAATAATATGATATAGGTGATTGAGACCTTCCGGGTATATTTTTTTGTTTTTGCTACCTAGTGCATTCTAGTACTTCTTTTATTAGTCTCTGAAGTGAGGACCAAACTTGTTCTTGTGTACTGTAATGGGATATTTTTTCCTTTCAAGTTTGAAATGTATCCTTCCATTCCTATTAATTCCTCTGTTTCCTCATTCTGTTTGTTGAAGTTTTTTAAAGAAGTTAGTGACAGTTCCCCTACTTCCTCCCTATGAGAAAAACTTAGATGCAACAGGGATAGCAAAATAGTGTTGTTCCCATTTCATGGAAGTCTTTCTCCATCCCTACCCTCAAAAGAATCAGCTAGGAGTAAATGGCTTACAAGGCATGCTGGGTAAGAGAAAAATCATGAATTTTCTCTTCTTATTTCTCATAATTTACTTGGTTGTTTTTTTCTGATTCTGGTTTCATTTTCTATCAAAGCTTTTGTATTGCCTTTATTAGCATCAATTCTGATAACTTCACAGTTTTGTGCCTGGCCTCATCAATTAGCTGCCATTGGTCTTCATCAAGCATTTTTCTTTCTTTTCTTCACAGCTATTAAGTAATTCTTTTTCCTTTTTCTATCTGACATGAATAAAATTCAGAACTTACCAAAAGAGTAGGCAGCTCATTATTGAACACCAACTCTGCATTTGCTAATCCTGCCTGAATTTCCTGAAATCAGTTATGCAATTCTTTGCTGTTTTGAAGTCTCAAACAAGAAGAAAATTATGATGATGGGCTAAAACATGGGAATCAAAACATGCCATGCCAGCCAATACACCATCTGGCATTGTTTCTGAATAATTGTGTCTTTACAGAACCAATTCCTCTTCCCCTCCCCACCAAAAGAAAAAAGAATAAAAAATTACAGAGAAAAAGATGCACCTTGTAATTATTGAGTAAAGATAGGCTGAGTATCTGTGATGAAAGGAAGATTGCCAACCTTGCACTGCTTAATCACTTTTTCCATGGCTTCAGAATGGAGAGCACAATGATGAGTGCAATAATCAAGACCAAGATTATGGAAATCATCATGCATTTCCTTGACTTCTTTTGCAAGCTCTTTGCAGTTTGTAGAGCATCTGTCCCTGATTGTACATGGTCCACTGCATTTGTCACCTGTGGACCAAAGACAAATAATACAATTTACTCAATGAGTTTTTTTTCAAATTGCACCAGAGTAAAGTTAGACCTGTTTGATTTTATGAGAGGCAATGTAAGCATGCATTAACAAGATTGCATTGGATCAGACCAAAGACAAAAATGCATTGGGCCAATGTCTGTTTTAAGTTGATCCAAAGGAGGGGCATTTCTTATGTCCTCAACCCAAAACAAGCCCTATTGGTAAATAAGCCCAAAACAACCCAACCCAATATATCATCAAATTCCAAAATCAACCTCATCCCATAAGTGAAGAACAAAACCTAAGATGTACCCTACAAGAGGGATATAATTAATCTCCAAAACCCACCAAATATTATAAATGAAGAAGAAAACATACAATCGATCTAATTTGTAATTTAGGTGTTAAGAGGGGTTTCAGTTAAAAAAAGATAAATATATATATATATATATATATTAGCATACATGTTAAACTATCAATGCATATTAAATATTGTAACCTCAGTTTGAAATCTAACCACCCTAAAAACCTCTTTACACCATATGGACAGCCACTGCAAGGTTGAATTGGACTGGTTATAATGGGAAGGAAGGCAAATGCAGGACAATAACTGTTGGGTTAGAGGTAAAATAGCCGAGGCTTAGGTTAGAATAAAGGTGGTTGAATTCTCGCGCGTTATATGCAACTTCTTTCTCACAACATGCATGTAAGTCTCACTAATTTATAATGAAACCTAAATCCACACGGTGAGTAAAAAAAGCGTTACATATAACCGGCTCATACAAAAATTCAAGCTTGAAAAGATGTCACTAGGTTGAACCCGGTTTAGGTGGAACGGATTTGTTAGCAGTTTTGGAAGTAGTGGAACCTAGGGTTGGAACAGCCCATTTTCATTATCTTCGTTTCCTCCAGAAGAAAAGGCAGGCCATTTTTGTCAAAAGACTACACAGGGGTAAGTGGATACATCCAACCTGCAGGACGGTTAGCCTCCTTGAAAAATAGTCATGTATAAAAAGAATTTCTGATTTTGATTACCGAAAATCATGAAATAGAGAGTGGCGAACTGGCATATGATAACACATTGATGTATGAGACAAAAAGTTAATATAATATAATTGCGTGTAAATTTTAATAAGTCTTTTAAACACGATGAAAATTTTGATTTAAAAACAAAACAAAGCAAAAACAAGTTTATAAATTCCATATGGTTGTTGCTAATAAGAATAATATTTAGATAAAATTAAATATTAATATAATCCATCCTTTTTTATATGTTAGGAGAATTTTATTCATTGATACATTTTTATTAGACATGACTCTTGTCCATGCATTTGAAAGCAATCCCTTTGATGAGGACAACCTTACAATCGTTTTCAATTCGTAGTATGAAATGCACACCACCATGAATAAACCAAGCTTCAAAAGAATACACACAAAATAAAACATTTAAAAGCCAGAAGAGAAGAAGAAAGCAACATAAAAACCGAAAAACAAAAATCAACAGAAAAATCACAACTAAACAAGTAAGACACTCAGTCCTCACAGAGGTGAAAATGAAAATAATAACCCATCTATATTACATGGTGAAGAGACAAGGGCAAACTCAAGCACCCTAGCCACTTTTCCATGGTTTGAGGACACTGACAACTATAATAGCTACTATTATTAAGAGAATAATGATGGCAATGCACATCCATTTTCGGGAGTTCTTCTGGAGTTTCTTTGCTTTTTGAAGTGCAGTGTTCCCAGATTGAACATGATCGACTGCATTCGTAACCTGGACAAGATTCCGATCAACACATAACGCAAAGCAATACACAATTACACATGCAGCGCAGACATATATATGCACATGTGAATGCATGTCTAAGGATGCAAAGTTAGGAGTAAACCTGAGTTTCAATGTTGTCTAAAATCTCTCCTTGAGCCTCAACCAAGACTGCCATATCGAGGTAGATCTGAAAATTTAATAAAAAATCGTATTAGAGAAGGTTAGTTTCAGGTAGATGGGCCAAACCTCATGGTATAACACACATACCTGATGCAAGTCAAGAAGCTTTTTCTCAATTTCTTTTACAGTGTCATGCCTCTCCTGAATTTCTTCCACAGTATTTAGCACCTGGAATCAGAGTACCATATTTAATTCTCATAGTTTCAGGCTAAACTTTCCCAAGTGGAAAACAAGGGGAAACTTAGAATTATTCGAATAAGAAGAATCAAAAGGAGTATACCTGTCCTCTTCCCATTTCTTGAACTGCCTTTTGGAATATTTGCTCACTATTTCCAGTTTCTATCAGGTTGTCAATTGTCTAACACAGTCAACAAATTTGGCAAATTAGAAACACTCTCAAATGAAATTGGACCTAAAATTCTAAAATCAGCAATTGGGCTCACCTCCTCATCTGGTCTGGTTCCCGTAACTGCAAGTGCAATGTGTAAAGATATGATCATTCATCAAAAAATACGATGATAATTATAACACCATCGTCTTAATATGTAACTTTTATACTCTAATTGCTTGTCTTGAAGAGGCATTCAAACCTGTAATGACTCTTCTCTCCACAACCTCACGATATTCATCTTGGATTCGTTGTCTGAGGGTCTGGAATATAATACATGGGTGAGAAGAAAAGAGTGGAGGAAAATGAGCAAAAGAGTAACAAACAGAATGTGTAGATATACATATACCTGAAACTCAATCATTATCTCCCTAAACTTTTTTGTCAAGGAACTGCCAAACAGAAAAGTAGTTTACAAATCAAATCATTTATGATTAGCCTATAGAGAGTTAATTACTCTAAAATATAATATATAAGCACTCTAAACAAACTTTGTCATGTTCATTCTTGATCTGTCAACGCCTGTTCCCTTCTCACATCCAGGCTTTTGTCGGTTGGCTAAGTTCTGGAGAAAGGACAAGGGAAGTCATTAGATAGCTAGAAAAAAGCTAACTAATATTAAACAAAGCTGGTAGATTGAGGAAGAATTGTTAAAGTATTACATCTTTGCTTATTGCTTCTAGTTTTGTTTTGACACCACGTGCAATCTTTCCCACTTCATCAATATCTTTTTCCATCCGCTTTTTAATTGCTGAAAGAAGGATAATGGTGTAAGAGTATTGCAGACAGAACAGAGATAAACAACATCAGTATAATGCACAGTAAACAGTTAGCAAGAATTTTCCCCACGTTCCAAGTAGTCGGCCAAGTCTGCTTAAAATTGCTCCCAACAGAAAACCAAAACAAGTTCCTAGCTAAACTGATCCACGCTCTGCTATGTGCTGATTCACAGTTAACTTTTTGTAGAACAATAGTATTGATGAAATTGCATTTTAAGGTGCAAGCTTTTCAAACTATGGGTGAGTTGGAAATAGCTTATACCTTTCATGGCAGATGCTTTTGTAACAGACTTCGACTCCTCATTTGCATCCTATAAAAAAAAATCCAAAGTAAGTTTCTAGTTGCTGCCTTACACACACAGAGTTGAAATTCAACTGTCAAAATGAATCCTAGCACAAGCACAACAACATTACTTAGTCTTGACCATATTGCCAACTATGTTCATAGTGCAAAGTGTTAGGCAATTGATAAACAACGTGTCTGTCAAATATGTGTGGTGCAGATGTGAATGTTCTTTTATTGAATAAGTGAATGGATTTGTTAAGAACGCAAAATTATCATTGAAGAACACTGTAATTGTACAAGAGGTCAGAGGTTTCAACATAAACACCACAATCAAATACAAGATAGCTATATCAATACAGAACCAAAGCCAACGAAACTTAGATAAATCAGACCCCAATTCCAAGATTTAAAAAGATTAGAAGCTTATAATACAAACTAACGTACCTTAAGTTTTTTTAGAAGTCCGGAGAGTTTATCCACCTGTTTCTCAACCTCTTGTATCTAAATTACAAAACAAAAAATAAAAAAGAGGAAAAAGTAACTTGAGGAAGTGTTGACGGAAAAAGAATAAAAAGCAAATCTTAACCACATAAACCAATAGTAAAGAGTTTAAGAAGAAAACATAATACATGCATTTCATTAGGGATTTCTTTCTTCCTGCATCACTTAATTTCTATTACGTCTTAAGAAAAAATTCACACAAATCCCAAATAAACTAAACGGTTTCAACTTCCAGTTTACGTATATGTAGTCTGCAACCAAATAAAACTTTGTGGATAGGAAAGACCTGCTTATTGAAAGCATCCATTCCTGTGTCAAAACTGCTAGGAACTGGCCTTCCCATTTCGATATCATTTGTTCCAGAAGGCTGAGCTCTTGCATCACCAACAAACGAATCCTAAAGCAGAGCACAATTACACAAAATAAGCACTGATTACTACACGCTGAAAGAAAGAAAACACAAACTATCTTTTCACGAAAACCAAATTTCAAAGGATAATGCAAAAAACACTTACAAATTAACCAATCTGTTGAACGCAAATTCAATTCAATTTGTTTAAAAAGTTTCGGGTGAACAAGGTTTACTAATGAGAAAATATCTGATTCCAATCGTATCATCATTGTTAAACAAAAGCAATAAATATAAAGCCTTTTATGACAGAATCAGCAGAGTCTCTGGTCAGTTGCTAAGAAAACTCTGAAAAACAAATTCATACATCAAAGACTTTTGATTTCCAGGGACCGTTGGAAAAAATGCATCACTAAAACTGAGAACTCTGTTCTTTTAAAAAAAAAAAAAAAAAAAAAAAAAAAAAGTCCCCTTCAAGTCAGTCATCTCATCAACTAAAGGGCAAAGTTAATATCAGTGAAAACTCAACTTTGAGTGATCTGAGATTCCTCTAATACAAGATTCATCTTAAATTACAGGTGGGTAATATCCCAAAGTTTAGAATTTACATGAAAATCACAGATAAAATTTGCCAGGCAGTCAAAAGCCAATCACCAGTAAAAAGGGTACCAATCCAAACCAAACTGCACCAATCCAGTTCTTAAGCAAAGCCAATAAATCCAAATTCAAATACCGAATTCAGAACATTTAAATCTTACTGACGAAATCCAATTGTCATCCAAGACAGTGCAAACTAACTGTTACTGCAAAATAGTACCTGTTTATGAATTTAATTAAAAAACCAAATTACCGTAAGCAGGTCGTTCATCTTGAACAAAATCAAAAGGCCTCAGAGAAAGAGCGCGCGCAGTTGGGAGATTGTGGAAGAAAGAGAGCTAGAAGAGTGACGCGGTCGTTGGCTTTGTTCGCTGGCCGGCGATATATCGAATAATAGAAAAGCCAAATTGCCAGACAGACAGAGAGACAGGCAGGCAACCCACACGCTCACACAAAGGGCGTTACGTACGAATTTCAACAGTAACTTTACCAAATATTTTACATTGTTAATGTATACAACGAGGTTCGGCTTCCTCTCTGACAGTTTGTGTTTGCCAACGTTTAACGTTTTCATTTTTATTGAAAGCCAATGTTTGATGTTTCCATTTTTATTTTTAATTGCAAGCCAATGTTTGATGTTTGTGAGCTTATGCAAGATGTGATTAGGCGAATTGGTTGATATAGTGTATTCATCTCCTTACATTCGAGTTCGACTACTTCTTCATATATATAATTTTTATTTAAATACCTCTTCATACATTAAAATAATTTAAAATACTGCTTTCTAAAAATTTGGCTTTCGCCACCTGAGAAGTTGGTTCCGCAAGTTTAAGAAAAAAAGGGAAGCTTTTTTTTAATGTCTTTTCTAGTCAACAAATTGTATTCCAATTAGCTTAATTGGTGCAGTCTATTGCTCGCACGTGAAGGAGAGTTGCCCTTTACTAAATTATTCAAACTTATTTGTAACTAGTGTGTGTGAGAAATCTCTCACCCACCATTTGTATTTATGAAAAATAAATAAATAAAAGAAGCAATAAAAAACCAGAACATTTATCTGGGCCTAGAGAGCCCATATCTCATGCATCTACTCACAAGCAACTTTCCTCTTGGATCATCTTTGGGCTGAATAGATATAAGCCTAGCCCAATTCATACCAAATGATCTTTTATATTATTTTCTTGTATCATTCATAGTGGATGTCAAGCATTGAACTCTTGGACGTCCTCTAGGAAGACTTCAATTTATAGGTCTACTGTCCTGCGTTTAAGTTTGGACTGAAAAGCTTCTCTCTTGTCATAGTCTAAAATGAACCCCCACATTTAGCATTCAACTTTCATTTCTTATAGAGAGAAACAAAATCCAAGAATTAAATAAGAACATTAACACAACCTTGTATATTCTTACCTCCTATATATGATCTTCATCAATATGAACTTAATTACTTCAATCACCAACCATTCCTGCTAATCACCTACCATTGCTGCTAATTAGGCCTGTTATCAAGCTTTCTGAGCCTCAATTTTCTCAGAAATCCAGCATGCCGACGGGCAAAACCCCGCGCAGAGGCCTTAAAATCTGCTGTGGTATAACAGCAATTTTCCTAGTTATTGTTGTCATTGTCCTCACAACATTATCACTCACCCTTTTGAAGCCTAAAGATCCCAAAATCAATGCCAAGCCAGTTGGCCTTGAGAACATTCAGTTTTCTCTGTTCCCAAATGTGACACTAAATGTCACACTAGGCATGCTTATTACAATAGAAAATAGGAACTATGGAAGCTTCAAGTACAAGAATTCCACGGCTTATGTTCATTATCGAAACAGCGTCGTAGCAGAAGTTCCAATCGAAGGAGAACTTGTGCCTGCAAGAGGCAAGATCAACACGACCACCTCTGTGGATCTCGAGGCAGAGACCATAATATCAAATCCCAATTTCATGGCAGATGTCACTAGTGGGAGCTTGAACATGACCTCAACTGCTAGTTTACATGGGAAAGTGAGTTTGCTCAAGATCTTCAAGTTCCCCGCGACGGCTTTTAGCATGTGTGACATCTCGTTTTTCATCCTAACTAAGAGTATTGATTCTAAATGTACGTCCAAAATCAAGTTATAAATGTTTACTGGCATTTATCATTCAAATGAACCCAGTTGATCATCTACCACTGTAAAGTACTTTCCTGTATGAATTAAAGATGTGGTAAATTAGACTCAAAAGCTTTCTTCTGTGGTAAAAAAACAGAACCCAAGATTTTGCGGCTGTTAAAAGTTTTGAGAGCTCATATGCTAATTTCAACAAAGAAAAAGTTTGATTGGGGAAAAGAAGATTTGCATTAGGCAAAGCCTGATATTCCGTAATCAAAGTGGATAAATTAAAGCCTGGTGATAAAACATGCATGAACTTCACCTTCTTCACTGAACTATGCAACAAATCCATCTCAATCCTCCACTGCATCCTTCAACTTTTGTCATCACTTTAGGACTTCAAAGAGTACCCTAAAGTAGAGTACCCTAAAGTTAGTACCTAGGAATTGGGAGGAAAGATAACTCAGTGAGATTAGTTGGACGTGGACAAATTAAGACATAGACATCGGGAGAAAAACGCAAAAAGAAACAAATGATACGTCAAACCATCCAGCGTTATGGGCTTTTTTGGCATTAAAAGCGTGCATATATAATGTAATAATCTTCCTCTCATTCACAAGAACAGCACATATCATCTTAATGTTAGGTAGCATCCAATTTTTTCTTGTGCCTGACGCACTATGTTAGATTCTAACAACGGATACAATGAATCTTTTATTTTTCTATTAAAACCGGTATAAAAATAATCATTTCCAAACTCTATTCCATGCTTTGTTTTTTCTTTGCACCTCTATCAAGAAAATAACCATAACGAGAATGTTATAGTTGTTGACTAACGACATACATGTATCAAAATATTGAAATGTTTCTGAGGTGGAAGAACCACACCTGCGACTACATTGCTCTTCATTCACACGTCACAAGCACAAATAATTTTATTTAGGGCTTAACTGAGTGGAAAATGAAGTGAATGTAGACTAAATTTTACACTTATATTCCTTGCAGGCCGCCTAAGATTTTCTCTCTCTCTCTCTCTCTCTCTCTCTCTCTCTCTCTCTGTCCTTTATTTATACACAAACACAAATAGGAGTATTATTTTATATATGGTTGCAAAGATACGAAAATAGATAATCAGATTATATGCTCAGCTTAAAGTTTAGTTTAATGCAGAGAATATAGTGCCGGCAAAGGAGAAACTTTGCTTGCTTACTATCCAACGTTTGGCTAGCTAGAAAAGCAAGAACGTTCACGGGACAATTTTAAGGTTGCAGGATTTTCATGCTCGTGTTGAGCAAACCAAATGTGTCCAAAGTCTCAAATTCTTCTTTTTCTATTTTTAATTTTTTGTTTGTTCACGGGACCTAAATGGCCATCATTATTTTGTCATCACGGGGTATGTTATGTGTTACCATATTAGATAGAATTTGGAATATCATTTTCGTTTTAAAGTCAACGCAAAACTGAAATACAAGTAACATTTTGGTGAATGAATATATTTGTATGGACCAAATGTGAGGAAGCTAATAGCATCTCTAGCAGAGTTGTTATATTATGATCTTTAGTTATTTTGGCTAGAATGAGGGCAAAATGTAGCTCCAACAGACTTGTTATCTAACTCTCTATTTGAGTTTGGTGGCTCTCTATGTTTAGAGCACTTCAAACGACAAGGCTTGCTCATGCAAAATGCCCCCTGGCCTCTCAAAACCCATCCTAGGGTGCAATCCAGCCTTGGTAGGAGATAGGCCCTATCAAGCCCAAGGGCAAGACTTGCATGGACTGCTGCTTGGGCAAGTTGACCTCATGCCGATGTCAGTGTGACGTCAACGGCCAATTTAAATACAAAAAAAAAAGTATTTGAAAAAAACCAATTATTTTTTAATTTTTTTTATATAAATACCTACCCATGTTCTTCACTTCACACATCAAAACTCCATACAAATTCCCCTCCTCATATCTCAAGTGAATAGTGTTTGCCCTTGGATTGCCATGGCAATGGGAGGGAATGCATCAAAAAAATTGTTATGGCAGACACTATTTACATGAATAGTAACTATCGTTGCCTCTCCTTATCTTTTGCCATGGAAAATGGGGAAAGTGCTCTTAGAGAGAGGAGGAGAGAGAAATTGAGGGTTCTCAATTTCTTCCTTTTCTCTCTTCCTAAGTCCACAACCCTCTCTCACCTTTTATTTTTTTAATGAACCTTTAATTTAGTGTGGATGAGAGAGAAATAATAAAATATTAGAGATAAGCCAAAATAGAGAACATTGTTGGAGGAAATATTTTTTAAGTAGTTTGCTATGATAGCTTTCCAATCATTTAGTTAAAATTTGGCTAAAATTTAAAGACTGTCTTGGAGATGCTCTAAGGCATGGTCACAGCCACATGTCTAATACAAATTGGCCTTCAATTCAATCAATGATCATTTACTCCATCACGGGGTGGTCCCTGTATTTTCTTTAGTTATTTTTTTTAAAATAATTTAACTTTTATTAATAATAGATTTGTTTGCTTATTGCCGATGAATCTAGTTCGTAGAAAATGACCTTCACTTGTATATGTGTAGTCTCATGTTTAAACCTCACGGCACTAGTGATGAATTTTTAATAAAGTGGCACGATTAGAATAAAAATAAAACATATCAAAACAGAGAAAAATCAAATAGAGAACCCGGATCTATATGAGAAATCTCCCCTCTCCCTTCTTAATTTTGGAAAAAAAAAATTAAGATTTGTTTGTTTATTTATTTTTGCAACAGATAGATTTGTTCTTCTTCTTCTTGTTATGGTATTGACCTGTCAAGCAGACAATTGCGATTCCCGAAAATCACGCGCAGTATATGAAAGGAGTGAGTAACCATCTCAGGCAGTACTATATTAAGGTCCAATTATTTATGTCGGCCGGTCTCAATCATACAAAATCAGAAAATCTTCTTCTTCCATTTTTTTCTTCTAAGGTACTTCCAGAACTTACAGAATAAGATTGTTCTTCCATACACACACTGTGGATAGGACAATTTGATTAAGTTACTGACCCCAGATTCAAAGAAAATAAAAATGGCAAAAAAATAGTTACTCAGATATTTTCAGATCATAACACTTTGGTAACATATCTAAAAAAAATCATATATAATGAGGAGCCACTAAATCATTACTAGGAAAATATTGTTTATTCATTTTATTTTTGTTGGAAAATATTCCAAATTCAAAGCTATGCTCATATATATACAATCTCTCTCAAATAATTTTATTTGAGGGATACCCTTTAGGGTCTTTTAGGAAATTTTTTTTCGATGATCCAAACAATATATTTTTTAAGTCTACATTCATAGATCATCCTTGCAAAAAATTAGACAAATCAGAAAGCATATCGACATCCAATTGTGTCATACAAAATCAATGAACATGGTGCTTCAAGAAAGTACTAAAATTTCAATAACTCAATTGAGTGGTCAAATGATATCAAATTCAAGTGATTTTTTTTTATTTTTTTATTTTTTTGTAGAGATGATTTTTGAATAATTATCTAAAAAATAGATGGTTTGGATTAGTGAATATAATGCAGAGTGAGCCCTATAAGTAGTGGCAGAGCCAAGATTTCACATTACTAGGGGCCCTTCATAAAATAAAACATGTTTTCTCTTCATAATTATTATGAATTCAGATTTTAAATTGGTTAAATACTAATTTTATCATCTAATAAAGACTTAAATAATTTATATTCCAACATAGAAAAAAAAATTGTTCATAAACCGCAATATTAAGGTACCCAACTCATACATAAAAAATGAGGAAAATAAAAGAGGAAGAGGAAGAGAAAGAAAGGTTAAACTTTAGGAGTTTTTAGTGCAAATATCATAAACTAACCTAAATATTTAAAGGAAATGAGTAGAAGGGAGATCAAGAAATTTTATGGTTAATTTGTGGACAAAAAGAACCTAATGTATTATTTTATTTTAGAGCAAATATCCTAAAAGTAATCTAATATATTATAATATTATATATCATATATAATATACAAATAGAACATGTTAAAATAGAGTAGGGCCCATGCTGACTCCGCCCCTACCTACAAGAGTGTCCCCCAAATAAGTTTATATGAATAATCCATCAATGGAAACTCTAGCCCCATCAAAATTATTTTAAAAAAAAACTTGTAACTATAACGTCAAATTATTGTTATAGAGAATTCACATATTAAGCCCAGAAATTCAAAAACATCAATAACCATTAAAACGAAAACTGATGAGCATGACGTGACCGCAATGAGTATTACCATGAGGGCACACAGAAACCCAGTTGAACTACACTTCGCTAATGGAAACTGCGTCTATAATCAGGCAAGCACTCCAATCCATTCTTTTTTTGAAAAAAGTGAAAATTGCTATTCCAAATTAAAGCAGTGCCGAAAGAAAAAAAAAGTCTTCTAGAACACATGCATGCTTTGTTTTTATTCCTCGTGACGTTGCTGCATGTTTTAGTTAACTGACTTAGACCTTTGATCTACCACCCCTACAAGTTGAAATCGCATTATTATTAGTGGTCGCTAACTATGTGATTGGCCACCTAACTTTGATTTGCATGCTAATGAATTTGAAGGCAAAATTGAACACATAACCAAAAAGATTAAGATAATTGTCTATTCGATTAGACGCTAGCTTTGATGCTTATCCTGAAAATTAAACCCAAGATAAACTAATCGGGTATTATTGGATTGGTCCAGATTTTTAGTGTGCTCCCAAATGATCCTAGATTCAAGCATCCGTGTATATGAGTTTTCCTCTTTCATTTCTAACTTCGACAACAACAACAAAAAAACCCCAAAAAAGAAAATATTTAGAGGGTTTCAAAAGTCCATAATTATTGATTTGTCTCTAACCTAATCCAACTATCCACGAATAGCAAACCTTTTTTCTTTGGTCCTTCGTGAGCATATGAGTTTTCCTCTTTCATTTCTAACTTCGACAACAACAACCAAAAAACCCAAGAAAAGAAAATATTTAGATGGTTTCAAAAATCCATAATTATTGATTTGTCTCTAACCTAATCCAACTATCCACGAATAGTAAACCTTTTTTCTTTGGTCCTTCGTGAGTAAACAACTAACTACCTAATCACTCTTTCATAAACATTAATTTGCACAATATTATATGCAAAATTATCACAGCCGAATGGAGTCCACAACTAATTATAGATAGTTGTGTATATATAAATTACGTATAATTTCATACAATGGTGGGCCGTATGCTTCCAAGGAGCACTGCTCATTATCCACAACCCTCTTCATTTGGTGCATATTTTTCAAGAATTTCTTCACGTATTGGTGACGAATCAAAGACTTAGCATTTACTTCATTTGGGTCTTCGTTGCCACTTCGTTTTCCCACAATTCGGTGCTTCAATATATAATTTGTCATATACGGTGTTCCATTGCCATCATGATCAAATAAAATTCCAATCAAAGTACTCGAGATCAATTTTCCTTTTTCCTCTAATATTCAAACTACACAATATATCATCATGTGGGAACTTGTAGAGCATTTGACAATACCTCACCATGTTGGACTGTCAAGAGAGAAAAGTGATTTTTGACCGATCTAAGGAAAGAAATATAGCAAATTCATGTACATTTTTTCAAAATATTTGTAGAATTTAAGTCATTCAAATCATCGATATAATTGTTGAAGAATACACGAGTCCCACATTGGAAACTTAACAAAATAGAAAGTCTCATATAATAAATGATTCAACTCCTAATAACATCAGGACCTTTTGTATAAAACCTCACACCTGCTAAACAAGTGGTTAAGTTGGGGACACTATCGATGTTGCTAGTGGTGGGCCAAGGGTCTGTCCCTTTGAAATCTTAACATGGTATCAGAGCCAGGTTGGTTGACTGGGCCCGATTAAACCCAAATCAAAACAAACTCAAATCAAACAAAAAAAACCCCAAATTGAATCAAAATCAAAACAAACCCCAACTTATAAAATTTAAAATTTTAAAAAGAAAAAAGAAAAGGTGACTGATGTGGAATTGAATGCACGTGTGACCCACTAAAAAGTGGTCCCACGTGAGGAAGAGTGTTAAAGAATACACGAGTCTCACATCGGAAATTTAACAAAATAGAAAGTCTCATATAATAAATTGTTCCACTTCTAATAACATCGAGGTCTTTTGTATAAAACCTCACACCTGCTAAACAGGTGGTTAAGTTGGGAACAATATCGATGTTGCTAGTGGTGGGTCAAGAGTCTGTCCCTCTGAAATCTTAACATGGTATCAGAGCCAGGTTGGTTGACTGGGCCCGATTAAATCCAAATCAAAACAAACTCAAATCAAACAAAAAAACCCCAAATTGAATCACAACTTATAAAATTTAAAATTTTAAAAAGAAAAAAGAAAAGGTGACTGATGTGAAATTGATTGCACGTGTGGCCCACTAAAAAGTGGTCCCACGTGAGAAGTGTTGAAGAATACACGAGTCCCACATCGGAAACTTAACAAAATAGAAAGTCTCATATAATAAATGGTTCCACTCCTAATAACATCGATGTCTTTTGTATGAAACCACACACCTGCTAAACAAGTGATTAAGTTTGTGACAATATCGATGTTGCTAGTGGTGGGCCAATGGTTCGTCCCTCTAAAATCTTAACAATAATTATATCTAGTTATTTCAAATCCATCATCGAGTTTTTATGCATCTTCCAATTATTAATGTAGACTTGCTTGGTTCAATTTGTACTCATATTTACGCGATTACTTGTCATTTTTCTTGTAGTCCCTTTTCTTCTAAACAATTAAACATGGATGCCAAAATTTTGTTTATGAAAACTAGTACTTAGAGCATCTACAATGGACTCCATAAACCACATCCTTAGATAAATTTTAGGGAGGAATTGTAAAAATGCAACTCCAACCATACTCCCTATCCACCTCCTAAAATAGGGAGTCCTCTAGGAGCTCCTAAATCTGAGGAGAGAGAAAGGACTCATAGAGGCTCCCTATAATTTAATACTGCTTTATTTAATAAGTATTTCAAACCTTTATTTAATGCTAACTATTTTTTATTTTATTTTTTTAAGAGAAATGGACCAATTAAAAAAGAGTTATAGCATTTATGACTCTCCAAATTATGGAGTATGGTTAGAGTTGAATTTTTTTAGAGAGCTCCTAAAATGGCTTTCTTATATTTTTAGCTAAGAATTAGAGAGCATCATTGTGGATGCTCTTACGTATGTATTATATGGACTAGAATCTAGTTTAATTAAACAACACTAATTCAGGTGCATAGTCAGTAGAGAAGGTATTATCCATTATAATCAAGTTGACAAACGCATCAAGAACCTTATATTATCCCACGCTATAGCACTATAAACAAGTTGACGTATGTGCACCATCAACCTCTTTCTAGACTAGAACGACAAATATCCCTATAGGCAATGGCTAAAAGTGTCAATTAATACCCACTTTTGTGCATCCTTGCTGATAAAAAACACCATCAATCATGTCTTGTTTGGTCGCAAATAAAAAAAAAGAAAAAAAAATCTATCTTTTTCATGGTATAAACATGTTTAACTTTCTTAACTAATTGTGTCGTTCAAATATGCTCTGTCATGTTAGACTAATAGTTTCAAAATTTTAAGTTATTAGAGAATGAGTCAATAATATATTGAATTACACCTAAATCGACAAACATCACAGAGTTCCTTTTCTCAAAATATATACAAACAAGGCCGGAACCACCCTTAGACGAGGGTGGGCTCCATTCCAGTCTAAATAATTAGAAAAATAAGACTTTAGTGTTATTTTTAGGAAATTTAGTATATTTGCCCACCTCATTCCTCAAAAAAAATAGTCTCTACTCCACCATAGCATCTCCTTAAACCGAAAAAGAAACATTTATAATCCACACGTATGAAAGTTCTTGGTTCCACCCTTGTATACAAAGCAAGCACATTGGTAGCATCTTAATCTTTAATTATGCAGAGAAGAATCAGATGGAAAAGGTTTAGAAGAGGGAATGTTATATTATAGAAAGAAAGAGTCAAAGGCCAGCGGCAGCACAAGAATAAATGGTGGGAATATAGCTGAGCTGATCAATGTTTCTAAACAAAAACTCTACGCAAGCAAGCTAGCTAGCTCTAGTATGAATGCGGTCTCTCACCTGCCTTTAATGCTCGTGCACATGGAGGGGTCTTTGTGTTGCAGCCGTTTCTGAGTATTTTTTTATGAATGAATGGCCTGCAAGAGGTTGAAGATGAATTAATATTAAAACCTATCAATCTACTCTTTTTTTTCCTTTCCTTTTTTAATGTCTTGGTACCATCTATTTTATATCGGTTGCTCTGAGAGTACAAGGAACTTACATCCTTTAGGATTTAGTTGTTGCGATTCTCATGCCCTCTGCATATATAATGTCTCAATAATTAGTAACCAATTATTATTATTATTATTTATTATCTATTTGAATTTTATTATATGGTATTTTGTATAAATATATACATATACATGTTGAATGAGTCGATGTAAAGAAATGAATAGCAAGGGGACGCAAAAGGCCGGCCTTAAGCAATTTGCCCCGCTTCTTGTTGAGACACGTTTGATCTCCAGTCTTAAGCATTTCTTCCAAATTAATAAAACTGTTTACCAGTCTTAGGTTAGCCACCTCATGTAACTTTTCAATTAGTTTTATAAATAATTACGTAGTGATGATTGTGATTGTTTCTTACCGAACACCGACCACGGAACATCAAACACATGCTTATGCTATCAGACTGTAAATAAATAATCTAAACCACACAGTCAGTCAAAAAGCAACGGTTTAGACTTGTTTTAGCAACATAAACGTAGAATCTGATAACATTTTCCAGTTATTTACATCTAATAGGTTCCTTTGTTAACAAAGCCAAGTTCTTGTGAATACATACGAACGGGGAAGATATGATCTGGAATTTCAAAAGCTATACAGCATACGTACAGATGGATCCTTTATACAGTAAGTTTGGCCACAACCAGCAGAGAGATTGAGATTGAGATTCTTCATTAATTGACAAACTTGAAATTAAACAAGATAGTTGGCTAACAAGGACATAGGAACCAAACACAACCCTCTTTTCTTTAAGTCTGTGCTGTCAGTTTTCCCACAACAATCATTAGTCTTTTCATGATCATCTGCCTGCTCCAGTTCCGCAAAATGCTCACCCTCTTTAACCTACAAAACCATCAGGACCCAAAAAAATATATAATCAACCAATAATTAATTTCTTTCCCAATAAAAGAATTAACAGAAGACATATTGAGGGGGAAAAAGAAAAAGAAAAGCAGTACCAAAGAATTAATATTGATATGATGATCATCTATCTTTCTGGGATTTATACCAACTGGTCTCAAATCACCAATCTATTAACAAAGATGACAAAAGACCAACAAAAAGTCAATTGCCAAAAACTAAAAGTACTAAAGGAGAGAGAGAGAGAGAGAGAGAGAGAGAGAGACAACATAAAAATCGAATAGGGAAAAAGTAATTTGTATGTGTGGCTCATCGGACCTTGGGACTATTAACAGGAGAGCTAGCAGTATCCTCTAAATCATCACCAGAAATCTTCTTGGTTCTTGTTTTCTTGAAGGTTAATTTCTTGGGAAAATTATTGGGTGAGCCCCCAATGGAATTAGAGCATGCATGTTGGTTTTGGTTGTTTTGGGAAGCTAATTTCCATGCAGCACCAGAAGCAGCATCAGAAACCAAAGAAGAAGCGCAGCCAAAACTTGAGCAGAGACTTTGTTCCTCTGCTGCCGCTTCTCCTTCCCTCCTGTTGTTGTTGTTGTTTGAGAAGTCTTCAAAGTAAGCAGTCCAACCACTCTCCTCCTCAGTGCAAGAGTATGTGGTTTGCTTAGAAGGAACAGCTTTGATCAGAGATGAATTACGAGATTTCTCCATCATCAATCAAATGCTTGCACGAGAAGGAGAGGCTGCTAGATTTGTTTTGCTTGGTTTGGTGGGTTTTTGAGGGGCTTTCAATTCTAAAAGAGTGGATTTAAATTTATAACTGAAAGAGATGATTAAAGAACTGAGGAAAAGAGGGAACCCATCATGTAAGAATCTGAGTGTGGGCCAGAGGGAGAGAGAGAGAGAGGAAGTTAAAACCAGCAGTTGCAACATAAAACCAAGGCTGAGAGAGAGAGACAGAACGTGCAAGGAAAAATACAGGTTATATGAGGGGGAGGAGTTGACCTTTGTGGTTGTGATCAAATGGGATTTTCACACCAATTTTAACCATTTTTTCTTTGTTATGACTTGTGGCTTCATGGATTTCAACTAATCTCAATTAATGAGTCAGTAGCCAACCAACAACACAAAACTTGGACAGCAGGCTACATAGACTGGTTCATATAATAATAATATATAATGCTACAATTTAGGGCCTTAGCAATTGAGCTTCGCAATCATGCAGAGCCCAAGCTGGAAATTTGGGTCTTGAAAGTTTCAAACCAACTGATAAATTCATGACCAGAATAAATATTACCAACTTGAAATTTGACAATCCTATGCTGGCCCAAATTTGACTGGCACTCGATGACTTATAGACCACCTAGCCAAGACAAACACCAATAGTTTGGTCATTTGACTCATTTCATAGCAATTCATCAAATTCAGAGCCAATTTGACTGTAAAATATTCAAAATCTGTTCAACTCACCTGACCAATCCTCAACCAATCCTTACAAAAGTTAGTGTATGTGTATACTTTTCAATTCACCAATTGGTTATACGTTAGGCAGGTTCGCATACAGATACAGATCGTGCCAAGGTGTTGGCAAATCCTCAAGGTATCTGATTACATGGGCCAGAATTTTCTTGGTCAGCGGCGCCTCATGACATAACTATAATGATATATGACTCTGAATTTTCTAACCGTCCCTAGACGTCAATATCAATTAAAATTCAAGCAAACCAATCATGCTGCCAAACCCACTTCACATATCTATTATGGTTAATTATATATATATATATATTGATATAAGCGATAGTCTAAACTATAAGGGGATTTCTCACATACACTACCAATGTGCTATGGAAGTTCGAACTTGAGACAACTTGTCTGCAAGTCAAGTCCATTTTCCACTGGGCTAAACCTTGTTAACAGTTAATCAAGCATTACACAAGTTTAGGATGGTGGGACAATTCATATTGCTTCCATATGTATATGTTCCAGAAAATTTCTATCTTCCTCCATCATATAAGGATAATAATTACAAATAAAATTTCCTCATAACAAACATGTGCTCTGCTTATATATAGAATCTGGGATCGTTTGGTGACAAACAACCAGTCGAAGTAGTTTTGTTTCATTAGACCTAAGACCGAAATATCCATACCATACTTGTCCTCTGCACAACAACAATTGGCCATATATATATATATATACATCATTTAGGCTTGGCAGTCTAGCAAACAGGCAAACCAATACCATTAACCAGTTCAATGTCTCAGCATCATCATATCAGACAAAAACATGCATGTTTTCTGGCTGACTGTAATTCTGGAACTGGAAGGTTCCCAGTTTGGCCTTTTGGATACATTCACTTGAATGTAACCATTACGCCAAAAAGGATAACCATTTCTTATAACAACAGATTTGATTGAATCTAATATTCCCATCCTAACACAACTTGAGCTGAGCACAGATTAGTTTAGCATTTTCGGTTTTTGTGGTTTAGTTTTGTGAGCATGTTCAGAGAAAGTTTGAAATTTGAGCAGATTTGGAACTTTGCAGAGACATGTAGCAAAATTTAGATTAATATGTTCATCATAATTTGGCCACCGTATTATCTAATTTGCTTTAGCCTTCTTCTATATATAATCAGGTTGCTCCTTTTTTGAAATTTTTAGTTCGATCCTGCTGACAAAACGCTCTGTCTACCAAAATAATATACAGATACCCAGGGCCCAAGGCCTAGGAGTGGGCTCAAGAGTCAACTAGGGTTTCGAAGAAACCTTGGCCCATCATAACCTTTCTTTTTTATTTTGGGTTATGGGGCTAAGGCCATAAGGCCCAAACAACAAATAACATTATTTTCACATCCAAATAATTGAATCCGTTTTACTGCAATAACTTTAACCATTGTGCGGACAACTATTTGATGAAAAAAGAACATGAAACCACATTTTCCTCCATTTTTTGGTAAGGTTTTAACGAGGCCACTTGAACCCAGTAAGTTTGGTTGTATGTTTTCTTGGTGGAATGAAAGTTTCTCTATTTGATCCCAAAAAAAAAAGCATGAAACCATCTCTCTATATAAAGTTGAAGGGTTGTTAATTTCAGAGGGAATTAAATGTTCTTTTCTCGACCTACAACCTGAGGAAAAAAGAGTGAATGTCAAAATTCTTCGTGCCCACCAAGATTACATATCTATTTCTATGGGAAAAAAAAACATTTAAAGAAGTACGTATCCCATCTCAAACATTAAACGTTATATGATTTAATGTTCATAACTCTTTAATTTGAAGTACTAGTGCATATAGTATGCACGTGCATTGCTATGCTCTTAATATCCAATAATTTAATAGATGTGTGCCACCAAAAAAATCAACACAACATATTAATATACTTTGTGGATGTGTTTAATAAGATGGATTGGGTTTCACATTCATATCGATATGTTTTTTGTTTTTTTTTAGTACAAGCGATTGAGAGAGGAAGTTTAGACAAATATTTATTGGTGTTTGGAGCTTTCAAATATCTGCCCGCATGAATGGAGGTGAAAAAGCTTAACCAATTGAGCTACTGGTCATTCATATCGATCCGTTGATTCATATCTTGATCAACTTTTTATTTTAAATTTTCAGTACAAGTGAAAACAACATTCCATACTACAATTCATGCATCTGACAAAAGATACACCTACAAGGCATCATTTCTACAACAAATAAGAAAAATTGTCATGAAATATCAAAGTACCAAGCCTTTTTGATAGTACAATGCTAGAGTAAAATGATGGGTTTTTTTAAAATAAATAAATAAAATTATTTTATAATCCCCTTTCTTTACTATAACATAACACTTTTTTTTGGTAATTGTTCTCTCACCAATATATGTACTTAAAAATGCAGTATGCAAGTGAATAATATCACAATTAATAATTTTTGTGTTTATATATACACACTTATGAGAAAATCAGGCCCAAAAGAAGGGGCATGAGAAAGATCAAACTCATGAACAAATCAAAGAAGCTCCACTTCTAGATCTACATACTTATTCTATTATTCCTAGTTGTTCCTTTATTGTATTGATAGAGAGAGGGATGTTGGGATATGGGCACATAAATGTAAAGTCGCATGAAAAAATAACAAAAGAATTTTATAACTTAGTATGCCCAGCATAGTTAATGCTAATACATATATGCAACTTGCAAGCAGAGTGAGAGAGCACCAAATATATATCAAGTTATTTTTCAATTGAGACAAATAAAAATGTGTAACTAGACCTTTGAGACAAATGCCAATGACTCTGGAGACTCTGAATTATTGTGCAAGGGGACCCAATAATATATATATATATATATATATATATATATATAGTCCCAATCTCTTGGACCACAGGAGTCTAAGAGATTGTGGTCACTCACCGTTGGATATTAATCCAATGGTTCAAAAAAGTTTATTAAAAAGAGTGCAATAGTGAGTGAACCGTTGAATTTACATCCAACGGTGAGTGACCACAAATCTCTTGGACTCCTGTAGTCCAAGAGATCAGGACTGATATAATCTTTTTTTATTAGTCTAAAATCCAACAAGAAAATCGCTAAAAACTATCAGTTTGGCTTTTTCTTATTAATGGTGATCTGAAGCTTCTGCAAAATGAAAAAGTATTTAGGTTTGACTTGCTCAATTAATAGAAGCATTATTATGAGCAAGAAAAGAGAATTGAAACCTTCAATTGCGTTGATGGAGAGTAGTGGTGGCTGACATGTTTGGGAGTGCTTTTGGAAGTGTTTAAAAGTGCTTTTTGATAATCAAAAACGCTTTTAACAGTGTTTGGCAGAAAAGTTTAGAAGCGCTTCTAAGCCATAGAAGCGTTTTCTGGAATCGCACTTGTTATGTGCTTCTTCAGGAAGCACTTTTAATTGCTTTTCCAGAAAGCACTTGGATTCTTATGAAAATTCAACATCTTTATAATAAAAGCGCTTTTACTATAAGCGTTTATAAGCAGTATTGGTTCTTAAAAAAGCAATCCTAAACTAGCCCCAAGACTCTAATAAGAGCTTGTGCTGAAGCTTTCTTACTTTGACCTCATCAGCAAGAAACTTAGAAGAAGAAAAAAAGGTGGTTTTCTTCTTTGGTTTACTCTCCAACACACGATCTCGACTTTTGGGGTCAAATGATGACCGAAGAAAAAAAGCCAACTTGCCTTTGCCCCCAGGTACATGACAGCTGCAGGAGAGAGCCCATGGAAGGGCCAAGATACAGTTGGGGTATGGCCCCGGTATCAGCAGGACCTACAAGAAATGGACATGGCTTCTTGGCAGGACCTGCTGCGTGTGACTGGTTGAATATTATGACAGATCATGATAGGCACAACACATAATTCATGGATCAAGATTCCTATTTGCTTCATAATTGCAACTTGTGATTTTGTTTTATGGATCAGGAAATCATGTTGTTTTGCTTCAATATAGTGTATATAGTATCTATCTCTAAGTACTAAAAACAATATTGAAGGAATATAACTCCTCTCTCTTCATATATTATCTTGCATTCGATCCGAAATGCATCTAAGTTATATTTAAATGCATAAGACCAGGATAATTATGTATACAACAGAATGTCTTTTTGCCTGGGAATGTCTACGTTGGAATTTGTTATCGTTTTAGATATCTAATTACAAGAACAATCAATTCTTATCGATGGACACAAGAATGAATGAGTTTTATGGATTACAAAGCAATTCCCTAATTAAATAAAGACAAGGCCCAAAAGGAATTACTGATCACAAGATCATGTGCTGCTAAAAGGAGAGTCAAAAGAAGTGCCAAAAAAAGAAGGAAAAGTTGAATAAATTAGTTACATAAATAGACGAGGACTGTGGTGCAAATGGCACCACGTAACATCTTGTATGGGCAGGACTTGGTATTCATCGCATCACAATTTTTTTTGTTTATATGGCCATAAAAAGGTATATGTAAATGGGGCATGATCATGTGATATCCATTAATTAATTATCATCTACAAAATTCCTTCTGTTAGTTTGTGGTCCTTTGTGGATATATATGCAAAATTCTTGAAATATAAAGAGATATTCCAGAACTGGTTTCATACTTTGACTATAGCCGGACCAGCACAAACCTTTACAGATAAATTATTAAAATATATTCGTAAAAGAACAATTAACGGGTCTAGTCCAGTAGAAAAGGGTTTTAACTTGCAGATCAGGTTTGAATCCCATGATATCATAGTTGTGGATGTGTGAAACCCCTTATAGTTTAGACTATCGGTTGTACAGTTTTATCTTTTTTCTTTTTTTTTAATCAATTCAATATTAAAGGACCAATACTTAATTGAACACAATCCCATCTCCAGATGTTCATACCATACTTCAATGGCAGTGTGGGTGCTATCGTGTTCAGGAAAGCTGAAACTAGCTTTTGTGGTAGAGGTTCATAATTGTGAACCTGGCCACGTGCTAATTAAATTCTAAAAACGACATGTTTTCTGTATGAATAAATCGAATGATTGATATGCTTATCAACATATTAAAACGTAAGTATGTGGATACTAATATTGGATACACGTATGTATGACAATGATATACAAATTTATTAATGTTCAATTATAAAAAGTACACTTGGTTTCTAGTTAATCATCTCAAAATTATTGCGTATAATTAATTAGCATGCCTCATATATCATCGTCTATTAGAATATGACGCAATGCACCAAACTAGTAAAAATAATCTGTTTCTTTTATCGAAAATCTGCTTCCTATTAATGTAATTGTGTGTGCGACTGTCGTACTAATAAATTACTCTTTTTCATGGCATGCAACCTTTTTTCTAATCATCGAGTTTTACCAAATTGTTGTTTTCTTCACCAATGGGTAACAAAAAAATTGAGGAAAAATGTTAAAATACGTAGCTTTTTTTTATATAACTAAAATGTAAGTATTTTTAACATGTAACAAACTTGATCATTCGTTATCATTTGTGCCATGTACCCCTAATCTCATTAATGCAATTGCATTCTTGGAATCTTGTTGTTGAAACTTTAAAATAAATTATAAGAAATTAGAAGGGGTGGAGAGAAAGAGATGCTTGAGCTATGATTTCCTCTTTGGCTACGTTTCCACTAACCCACCATAACATTTCTGAGGTTTAAAGGGGAGCTTAAAAAGGAAAGGAAGTCCTGAAACGAGAGATATAAAAAAAATGATGATTGATCTGAGTGGGACAGATGAAAGAGACAGGGAAGCACCTAGACCGTCCGATGAGGATGGAGCAACAAACGTGGACCATAGGATTAGGGGGCCAACGGTTCCGTGTGAACAAGGAGGAGGAAATTCTTTGGCGCTAAATCAGGGTAGATGTCACCATCCCATGATAAGGTGTTGACGTGGATTGGTTCAAATGGTCAAAAACAAAATGGACTTTATTCTTAATCTCTGTATAATAGACATAATAGACAGCTTATGGATTTAAGTAGAAGAAGAAATGGTACGAAGTTAGAATAGCGAACCTTTTTTCCTCCATTCATCACAAGTAGATATGTTTTGGCGTCTGATTTCTACCTGTGTTTCAGTGTTGGATCTTTATCACCATTATTTTGCGATTTCTTCATGTTTGGAATAAGTTGTAGAGACTCTTTGGGTTTTCTGTGTAGTTTTCACATATATTTTTGTGAGAGTTTTTCACCTCTCATTTGTGAGAGCTTTTCACCTCTCATGTGAGTTTTCTTTGTATTCTTATGGCTTAGTTTTTTCAAATTTTATATTTTTTTGATTGTTCTGAGTTTGCACTCTTTGTTGGGATGCCTATGCCAGAGTTTCTTTGATCCTGAGTGATCGTTAGTGCAGGAGCCCTATATTGTCTTAATTTTGATGTTATTTCGCTTCGTTATTGTAATAACCCTTTGTGGCTAGTTTGTGTTGGTCCTTTTGTGACTAGTGTCTTTTTTTGTCGAATTATGAATGTAATCCTAGAAAAAAAAAAAAAAAAAAAAAAAAAAAAAAACTACAAAATCTCACACAAAAATATTTCATTCATTTATTTATAAATTCTTTAAGCTCTCTCAACAATAAAAGCCTTTAATACAGGTCCAAGTGGCCTTTAAGACAAGTCCAAGTGATAAAACAAAGTGAGATAATGAGTTAGAATTAAATAAGTTTGGTTCTCAAACAAAGAAGTCGTAACAAGATACGTCAATTTGTATCCATATGTATATTTAAAATAATGTCCTAAATTAAAAGGGCTAAAATCAAACTTTATTGTACCACCAAACTCTTACTGATTTTTTATATATATAAAAAAAAATCTTAATTAAAATGACATTGTACTCGAAATCGATTTGGTTATTTTGATAATCCAATAACGATTATAAATGGCCCAATATAAAATTTAATTAATATTATATTTTATGAGTTTTCCTATTTAAACCCCACACTTCTCTTTGTTCACCTCATATTCTAAGTTCACCCCAACTTCTAATTCAAATTTTCACAATTTCTATAAATAAATAAAAACCCACTATCTTCCCAAACTACTCCTAAATACACACCGAACAGACAAAAATAAAAAATAAAAAACTCATCAACTTCACACCCCACACCCCACAATCCGTTATCTTGCCCCTCAGCACTCTAAGTTCACCTCAACCTCACATTACTTAACGAGATAAAAACACTGTTGTCAAATGTGTTTGTGAAGAGAAGATGAGAGTATAGGGTTTGTGAAGAGAAGATTAGAGTGTAGTAGATTTCTAGAATTGAAATAGAAGAGTAATATGACATTAGGGGTATAGAGGAGTTTGTGTTTTTCTAAAACTTAATATGAAGAGTTGTGGTGGGTGTGAGGTTGGTGTATAGATTTACTAGGGTTAAGTATTAAATTGGATAACTTTTTCGTCTTTTTACACAATAATAAAACTTAAAAGCTTAACGATTTAAGTATTGAGGTGAACAAAGAAAAGTGCGGGATTTAAATAAAAAAAACTGTATTTTATAGTCAACCATATGAAGGAATTCATGATTGCATGTTTCTAAATCGAAATTCAATTCTACAAGAGCACAATCAAGTTGTCTCTTTATAGCAACAACCATCATGATTTTCGAGCAATCAAATTAATTTCAAAAATCTAATGAGTAACAAACCCGCTATTTTGAACTTTGATACCACTAGAAAAATAAAGTTTATTGTAAATCCTAAATCAACTCATTCCAGAATTCCGATCACTGCCATTTGACTTGCAGTTTTGTGTGGGGAACCACCTTTCCTTCCCTAACGTATGGTAGTTGGTTGGCTACGAGTGGCTGCCGGGTTTCTAATTTCGTATCGAATGGAACGCAGCGTTTGACTTTTGTTCAAACTTCAAAGCCAGTAGTATTTCGAGCCCAACCAAATGATGTTGATATATAAAAGTGGTTTTGTTTTTTTCAAAGTTGAAATACATAACATGATGTCACAGGACTTGGAGCTAGTTGGATCAATGATTATACAGGAACAAAAATAATTTAACTAAAGGTTAAATTGTATCTCCGCAAGTATATAATTATTTCTTTTAGAGTGTCAATAACAGACAGTTCCTTTCACGACGACTGTAAATAGAGTTATTATTGTTAGTTATGAATTTCGTATTTTTACTATTACAATGTGATAAATAATTATCTCAACTACGTGAGTTTTGGTGCTCTTTCATAAAAATTCCCAAATTAAAATAAAAGAAACATAATAATATAAATAGAATTATATGGATAAGGTAGAAAAATGTGTAGTTGGTAAATTATGTGAGATCGAAGGGGTTATGGTATGCAATAATGCAAGAGAGGCATGAACGTAGTAAATGGCATTTGCCATGCAGACCCTGTGTTGTTCAGTCTCATTTATTGCCAGAGAAGAAGATTTTAGTTGTAGAGGGAGAGGAAGATGGAGAGGGAGAGGAAGATGGAAATCAATCACACTAGTACCACTTCTACCAACCTTGTCACGTGCGACAAGTATAAATGTATTTAAACCCTGAGATTACATGCATGATATTATTATTATTATTATTATTATTTTGATAAATGAGGAATTGAATTTATTTATCGATTAAGTTGCATATAAACATATATTGGTAATAAAAATATCACTGGACCAAGACATTATATAACTTACTTGTATTTATTTACAAATAGTTATGCCTTTCTTTCACAGTAACATATTTCATGTGTAATTTTATATGAAAGTCCAACATAAAGAGCTTAAAATATATTGGATCTCTTCAATCGTGTTAATCGGTTTTAAATGTTCACATTTTAACATATTATAAAAGATCATGTTATTTGTCAACAGAGTCTAACCCAGTAGAAAATAGTCTTAACTTAGTAATCTTATGACACCGTAATAGCGTGTATAACTTCTATTCTCTCGTAAAAAAAACCCACGGTATTCACTTGAGGGGCCCAAAAATCACACATCAGCAATCTCATATTGCATCCTGTGTTTATCGGGGTGTGCAAATCAACCTTTGCTTGTTTTTCTAATGGCTATGTAAAAGTGAAAGGGACCTAATTAATATGCCATGGTCAAACCATGAACGTTTCTCTTTCGTGTGTGTCATTATTCGGCTAGAAATAGTTAATGGATACAAAACTACTTAGCATCAACCTTAAAAAAAAGGTACACTATTTTTTACGGAATTTAAATATGCACACCAAGCGTTCATTATCATATGCTTAATTTCGACAAAGATCATTATTGTTGTCATTGCTTCACGTCACAGTCCAATTGTGCTTGATTTGTGCTTTCCCAAAACAAAAACAAAAAAACTTTATAGAGCTTATTTGGAAAGAAAAACCTCAAAATTAGCCACTTGTCATTTTCTAATTGGTTCTTACAAAAATTTTACACACCAAGAACCAATTAAAAAATGACCAGTGGCTAATTTTGGATTTTTCTCTCCAAATAAGTTATATATGGATTTTTATATCATATTTCATGCTAAAATTCATACTCGTATTTTTGTTGTATATAAAATCCATACTGTCAACTTGTACTCATGTGTTTTTCCATTTAAAAAAAGGTCTCCATTTCGTTTTTAGTTTCCAATTCGGTCGTAATTTTGTTGTTTTCAATGTCACTTTATTATATCTTTACATTTTTTTAAATTTACTCTAAAATGTTTTTCTTATCTTGTGAATCGTAATTTTTATAATTGGATGTTTCTTTTAATTGATATGAATTTAGATTTCTCTGTTTATTATGTAAATTGGTATTAGATAACATAAATTCAAGAAACTTTGTACCATATTTACTCTCACATTACTTCAATAATCTTTTGGCTATGAAGCATGTGATTAATAAATATCATACATGCTGGACTAATCTATATATTGTCTCATTACCCAGCATCAATTTGGTGAATCATATTTCACTACTTCATCAATACAATCTAAGTATAATAAAACAATGAATTTTGCTAATGTGCGCTTGAATCACCAATACTCGGGGCCAGCTTCCATGGAGCTCCCTTACCTCTCCCCTTCGCCCTTTTAATAGCTAATAATACTTAAGTAGTTTAGAAAATTTGGAAAATTATGTTCCCCCAAATATATGATTCTAGCTAGAGATGCTTTGCATAGGTGATTGACAATTGTTTGTTAATGTGGATGATATAGCAAAGCTCATATATCTTAATGCTTTCTTTGTATCAACATGTCCTCCTACCTCGATGAGTTTTCTACATGAATTTGTTGAGAGTATTTGTCCCATATTGGAAAATAAAAACCTTGAGTGCTTAAAAAGATCTTGGTCCCTAATCCCCACCCAATGCGAATTCATTTTGAATTGGATGATCAAATTTTAATATGGTAGATCAGAGCATACTATCCACGTGTTGGTAAGAATAGTCACATGCGCGTGGATGTGAAGATCTTAATATATAATAATTTAATGTTGTGTATCAGTTTCATGATCGCCATATAAATTATAATAATTGAATGGATTTTATCAAGTCACCCACGAGTGCGTGAATGATTGACAATCGTTTATTAACAAATTTCATGGTATGATCAACATTAATTTACAATAGACAATTACTACTTATACGTAGGCAACTCTTGCTAGCAAATCTCATATCTCAATACTTTTTACATATCAAAACACGTGCCAGGCACGTTGACAAACCAATTAACAACAATTACATTTTCATTACTTCATCAATCCAATCTAAAACTCAAGGAATTTAACATGTGCACGTCAATGACCCAAATGTGACTAGGTAACTGGCAACCATATATTGATATTGCATAATAAAAATTTGCATTAGCATACGGCTCACAATTGCCTACTCATATATGAGCAACTGATACTAGCATCTAATCAATACTTTCTTTCACCCTCATGTACCTCATGACTTTATGATTTAATACATGGGAAACCAAGCGTTATTGAGTAGTTCACAGCATGCAAAAACCAAAAACCAAGAGCACCAGCAACTTATAATTTCATACCAGTAAAATTGTATTCCCTTCTTCACCATGGGGCATATGATTTTATCCATAGGAAAAATCAGTACGGTTGAAAAAGATTCCAATACTTTAAAGTTGAAGAAATTAATGGGTAGTAAAAATTCAAATACTAGGCAGCAAATAGGTTGGGAAAAAAAAAATTAGAGTTTGGTAGCCGTCATCCATTGCACCATCTCCTCTCCTAGAGGAAAATTAAACACACCCCAAAATGCTCTCTCTATATCTATCTCTCTCTACATCTCTATCTCTCTCTCTATATATCTCTCTCGTTCTCTCTCATAGCAATTACACCTTTCTCTCCCACCATTAAATGCAATTGCACCCTCTCAATACGCTCTGCAATTACTCTTCGCTGCCATACTTTTCTCCCTCTGCCCCCCTTTCCCCTTCCTTGGCCTTCTCCCTTTCCTGAATCACTTCTCTTCATCTTCATCTTCTTCTCCTTCCTCTTCTTCACCTTCAACTTCCAAAACCTATTAGTACTACATACCCAATACAAACCTCTAATACACCAAACCCGTACGCCGGAAAACCACTTTTTGTGTCACCAAACAGTTTTTTCCCGGCACCAAGTTCAGCCCAAATCCGGATCTAAAGCCCCTCTCTTTCTAGGGCTTTTGATCAGGCGCACCCAACATCATATACATTCACTGGTACATATTTTTCCAGCTCAGATTTTGCATGTACTCTCATGTCTTTTAATTTGTCCGATAACCCTTCTGTGTTCTCAAATATTTGTAACGTATCTAACAATTTTTTCAAAATTTTATTTGGCAGCTTGTGTTAGTGCAGCTAGGTTACGACAGCACATAAGGAAACTTGGGTGTTACTGTTGAATACTCCGAGATATTCGTGGGCATTATTTGTGTTTTTTCATTTGGATTTAGACTGATTTTTGGTCCGTCAAAAGCCTTATAACAATCGTCAACTCTTATCTTAATTTCTTCACCTACGTACAAAAAAAAAAACCAGATAGATATGGCTGAAGAGTAAGTGTGAGAGTGTGCAAAGACAAAACCCCATTTTGTCAGCTCCTTGTCCCTTTGTTTTTCACATGAAAAGTTCGCATTAGCCCCTTGTCCAGATCAGCCTCACAGAACCTAAAACAAGCTCAAATAGAACACCCCCTGCATTGGTGTGTGAGAAATTATAACCTCTAAAAATTTTGCAAATTCAGGTTTATATTTGGGCATTTTCCAGGGTTTGAATTATGCCGGCCGGGCTTATGATTCCGGCACGAAATATGCCATCGATGATTGGTAGCAATGGGAATATTAGCGGCTTTGGATCATCTTCAGGACTCACTCTTGGTCAGGTCAGTGTGCTTAATTTGAGTTTGTTGTCTAATTGGAATATTAATTTATATATCCAATTCTTTGCTTTTCAAGGCTAATTTAGATCTAAATTTTCCCAATTATTTCGCTATTTTATCCAAAACAAGTTATTTCTGAACCAAGAAAATATTTCAATTAGATTTCAGATCCATTTTCCAAATTTTCGTTTCTTCTCCCTCTTCATCTCTCTAAACGGTACTTAATTTAACATTTTAATTTAATCGTGGTTCTCGGGTTTGACCTCAGGTAGTCCAAAATTTTCTTTTTGTGGCAAAATCCGTCTCGGTATTAGAAAAAAGTCGTAATGCTTTTCTCTACACAGACAGAGGCACAGAGATCTAAGTTCAACGCGTTTTTCTTGTACAATTTTTTTCTTTCTTTCAAATAGTATTTTAATATGGACCAACTCATGGGCTAGCTCCATATCCATTTTCTCGTACATTTTTGAGTGGTACATTTTGAGATGTCCATGTCCATATATAAATGTATGTGTATGCGTTTCTTCTTTCTTGTTTTTTTTAGATTGAGAAACCATAAGCTTGCTAAGCCTTGGGATCAAAATCAAAATCTTAAAGCTCTCTGGATATGTTCCAGCCAAACTTGATGGAAGCTGGCCATCTGCACCCGCTGGACATGGCCCCAAACACATCCGAGAGCGACATTGCCCGAATCCGAGAGGATGACTTCGACAGCGCTACCAAATCCGGCAGCGACAACCCGGAGGGCGGTTCCGGTGACGACCAAGATCCTCGCCCGAAAAAGAAGCGTTACCACCGCCACACTCAGCATCAGATCCAAGAAATGGAAGCGTGAGTAGTATTTAAGCTCACATCTCCCTAAACAAGCTCTTGTTAATGAGTTCATAATGGTCCTTTAAACCAAAAAAAACTATGAATTAATGTTCTGTTTTTTTTTTTGGTTTTAGTTTCTTCAAGGAGTGTCCCCACCCAGATGACAAGCAGAGGAAGGAACTGAGCCGGGAATTAGGTTTGGAACCATTACAAGTGAAATTTTGGTTTCAAAATAAGCGCACCCAAATGAAGGTATATAATGTTTTGTTCATGACATGTTCTTAATTCAAATGGGTTTTGGAATATACACAACTTTGTTTTATTTATTTTTCTTTGTTAAATTTATTAGTTGCTTAACTTTTTCTTGTTTGTTCTTTAATGTTTTTTGACAGACTCAGCACGAGCGTCATGAGAACACACAACTTCGTAACGAAAACGAAAAGCTTCGTGCCGATAACATGAGGTACAGAGAAGCCCTAGGCAGTGCCTCTTGCCCCAATTGCGGTGGCCCGACAGCTATCGGAGAGATGTCATTTGACGAACACCATCTGAGACTCGAAAATGCTCGATTACGAGAAGAGGTATAGAAATTAAAGAATTTAGATAATATCGATGACATTTATTATTCATGGATATTTTACCTATTATGTCATTATGAAGAAGGGTAGCATTCTCTTATCAGATACATGGCACCTTAGATGTCGCCAGACTGTTAATTTATTTCCTTTACTGTGCAGATTGACCGTATATCAGCAATAGCTGCGAAGTATGTAGGCAAACCAGTTGGGAATTACCCTCTTCTGTCTTCACCTGTTCCTTCTCGCAGTCCACTTGATCTTGGGGTTGGGAGCTTCGGGGGTCAGCCGGGCATGGCAGGAGAGATGTATGGAGGTGGAGACCTTCTGAGATCTATCAGTGGACCTAATGAGGCAGACAAACCACTGATAATCGAGATTGCAGTGGCAGCCATGGAAGAGCTAATCAGAATGGCTCAAATGGGTGAACCCTTGTGGATGACCAGCCTTGATGGCAACACCACCGTGTTCAATGAAGATGAGTACATCAGAACATTCCCTCGTGTTGCTCCAAAACCAAGCAATCATTTCAAATGCGAAGCTTCGCGCGAGAGCGCTGTTGTTATCATGAACCACATCAACCTTGTTGAGATTCTCATGGATGTGGTAAGCTTATTTACTTGTGTCATCAACATTGAACATTTAAATAGAGGAATAACATAAACCCTAATCATTTTTTGTTTTACCTCTTATCTTGTTTAGAATCAGTGGTCGACTGTGTTTTCTGGGATTGTGTCGAGAGCTATGACTCTGGAAGTCCTGTCAACTGGAGTGGCTGGAAATTACAATGGAGCCTTGCAAGTGGTATAATATATATCTACTTTCACAATTCTATTATCTTCTCCCTTGTCGTGGTTAATTATATGTTTGGATTGAATATATTATTTGTGATTTGGTAGATGACGGCAGAATTTCAAGTACCCTCACCACTTGTTCCAACTCGTGAGAGTTATTATGTGAGGTACTGCAAACAGCATGTTGATGGCACTTGGGCTGTGGTAGATGTCTCCTTGGACACTCTGCGCCCTAATCCTGCACCAAGGTCATGCCAAAGAAGGCCCTCTGGATGTCTCATCCAAGAAATGCCAAATGGATACTCAAAGGTAATGTAATTAATAATTAAACACACTATGTGTGTATATATATATATATATATATACCAGTCCTGATTCATATTTGACTTGCATCATGTAATTTAACTCATTAACTCATTACATTATTTGTCATTTAATTTGAAAACTTCTGGTGCTTTAGGTTACATGGGTTGAGCATGTCGATGTGGATGAACGTGGTGTTCACAATCTGTACAAGCAGCTGGTTAACTCCGGCAACGCATTTGGGGCAAAACGATGGGTTGCTACCTTGGACCGTCAATGTGAACGTCTTGCCAGTGCCCTGGCATCAAACATCCCTACTGGTGATGTTGGTGGTAAGAACAATATAATTTACAGTGTAACCAATTTTTTTTTTTTCTTCTATATATGGTGAGAAAATTTTGTGTGGGGCTATTCCTCTACGTTGTAGTATTGTCCAACACGAGAGACGTCCTCTTAAAAGATTGCATGTGTCTAATATAGCATGCCGTGCATGCACATGGATTCATTAATTAAGCCTTATTTTTTTAAATGCATGATTAATTAGTGATTACAAATCAAGAAGGCAGAAAAAGCATGTTAAAATTGGCTGAAAGGATGGTCATAAGCTTCTGTGCTGGAGTAAGCGCATCAACCACTCACACATGGACAACGCTGTCTGGGACCGGGGCTGATGATGTTCGGGTGATGACCCGAAAGAGTGTGGATGACCCTGGCAGGCCTCCCGGTATTGTGCTCAGCGCCGCCACATCTTTCTGGCTTCCAGTTCCTCCCAAAAGGGTATTTGAATTCCTCCGTGATGAGAACTCTCGTAATGAGGTATGTGAGTTAATTATCCTTCGATTCTTAGGATGATGTATCAGATCTCAGAATAATGTACCAAACCTAGTACATGAACCAGAACTATAACTTCTTAAATACAAAAACAACTTTCCAATCAAAGCTAGGTATATATATGGATGCCAGGATACGGTTGGTTTCATTCTTTACATGGCATATGCATACAAAGTTTTACCATTAATGGACAAGCATTAGCATATATGGAAATCACATGCACATTTCAAGTAATGTTTCTAAAAATGGAAAATGTGTATGATTTTCACATCACTCCTAATATGGAAACATGTTTTTTTCAGAAAAAGAAAAATGTGTGGTCTTGTTTTCTTTTCGGTCAATCCGAGAAAAACCAAGATGGAAGTTTAGTATTCTAAAATTATTCAAGAAATAGATATAGAAATTGGTTCGACTAATTACTTGTGCTTCATGATCACTTGTGGTTGCAGTGGGACATTCTTTCCAATGGTGGAATTGTTCAAGAAATGGCACACATTGCTAATGGTCGCGACACTGGAAACTGCGTCTCTCTACTGCGAGTAAATGTAGCTTGATCTTATTGTTATAATTATTTTAATTTTCTTAATTAATCCATATTCTGCTCTTAATCACAATTGATAAATTATTAACCTTGCCCTTTTAAAAATGAACTCAATTTTGTAGAGTGCGAATTCAAGCCAGAGCAACATGCTGATACTGCAAGAGAGCTGCACAGACCAAACAGCTTCTTTTGTGATTTATGCTCCAGTGGACATTGTTGCCATGAATGTGGTACTAAATGGGAGTGACCCTGACTATGTTGCTCTTCTTCCTTCTGGCTTTGCCATCCTTCCAGATGGAGGAGGCATGGGAGATTCTGGCTCTGGTGGTTCCCTTCTTACTGTTGCCTTTCAGATTCTGGTTGATTCTGTCCCCACCGCCAAGCTCTCTCTCGGATCGGTGGCAACAGTTAACAATCTGATTGCTTGCACTGTGGAGAGGATCAAAGCTGCATTGTCTTGCGACACTGCATGAATTTCATGACATAACTTTAGTTAATTTTTAGGTAAAGTAATTACATGTCACATATATTACATTTGTTACACATGTAACAACCAATTCTTAGTTTGGTCTGTTTAATAATTATTTATGTTTTTTTTTTGGCAGTGTTTTGAGGTGAAGGAAGGAAGGTGAAAGGAGAGAACACAGAGACACAGATGGTGGTAAGGGATTTGGGCTTATACACAGGAGGAGAGAGAGAAGTCAAGAGCGCACCTTACATGATCCTTAATTTGTAACTTAATTAAGAGATTAGGGGTTCGGGATTTGACTTCCTCGAACAATGTTAAAGGCAAATTAAGCGCTTAAGACCTTATTTTTAGGATATTGAACTTTCCTTTCACTTTTCTTCAACCTTGGACTCAGGATTAGGGTTTTGCAATGGATATTGCTTTTCTATGTCGGATTTTAAGATTTCTTTTTGGGAAATTTGAAAAAAAAAAAGGCTTTTGCTTAGGTAATTTTCTTTCTAACTGTTGTGTCTTTATTGAATTTAGACATTTGCTGGTTGTGTTATGAAGCTACTTTTAGTTTGAGCTATGCATTACGAATTCAATAGAGTTGTTATTGGCATTCTGAAAAAAATTATCTTTCTCTTATATTTTTATGTTCGAGTAGAGCCGAAGATTTTCTTGGGTGCCAATAACAACTCCCATTCAAAGATAAAAAAATTGTCTTTTATTTTTGTACTTGTAATACAAGGGGTTGATTAAAACAAACCAACAACGTCAAGACGTTTTTTTGGCCCTTTGCTGGCTAACATATGTTACAATACGCATAGAATCAATCTTGGTCCTTTCATTGTCGGGGGAGGAAATCAAAAGTCAACAAATTTTATCCCAATGATTGTTATGCCAGCATTCTTGATTTTATTTATTTATTTTAGGTCAAGCATTTTAGAAAATTTATCTAGATCATTAAGGTTAGTTTAGGGCTGTGCCCCCGAAATTATAGTAAAACCTTACTTTGCCCATTGAAAGGTAAAGTGACCAATTTTGCCCCCTTAATTAAGCTTTGATATTCCACGTTGCCTCATATCATCAACTCTATCCAAAAATCTATTAAAATTGATGATACGGCAGGAATGTTGTAATTTCATACCCATGAATTATTTACTCAATACTTTTGGTGATGTGACTAGGTGGAGCCCACTTTTAGCATGGACCAAAATGTAATTAACTTTTTTTACCTTCAAATAATTAAAAAATCAATTCTATAACATAATAAAGTAAAATAAAATTGCTGTCAAGGGATCTCACTGATTGCTAGCAAATTGGCTAGTACATGTCTTGTCGAGCTAAAATTATCCCAAACTCATAAAAAGGCTGTTTTGGGTGAGCACTTTGAGAACCCATGACAACTGGAAATGCGAATCTTTCTGAAACGCTCAATGAGTTTCTACTATTTGTGCTCTCCTAGTTGGTGCATGCAAATTAAAGAGTAGAAAAGTAGAAAAGTAGAAGTTGGAATAAATGGGAAAGATGGTGTTCCCACCCAACCAATCTTCATTTTTTTGGTTCTGATTGCATATCGAGATTTCATAAGATATTAATATATGCCATGGATGCACAGACAGGAAAGCAAGCTGCTGGGTTCTGGTACAGCAATACATAATGCCATCCATCTGTGCTTTTCTTTGCTTCATGGCAGTGAGTCCTTGGAGATGTGGTTGCAATTAATATTCTCATCAAATGATGTCCTTTCTGCACTTGCTATCTTGCAAGTAAAAGTGAAAGTTAGTCAAATTGAAAACTTTTAACCATGTTGGACATGAACTTTTCACCTGTTTTTAACAAGCACGTTAAAAACAGGTCCCCTTCAAGACATGGATACTTCAGGTCACCAAGAAAACTCTTACATAAAGCTCCTTCATAATCACAGCAGCAGGGCACGTCCACTACTGACAAAGAGTTCCTAAGTTAATCCTCCTTGGTATACAAGGATGAAATCAATCTGGATACGAGATTTAAGACGTCGTTAAGAGATAGTTATATGTTATATCTCTATTTTACCTCACCCCCAAAATTTGATAAATTACTAACAAGAGAGCAGCAGCAGCAAGCAGCCAGCTCAAACAAAAATATGCGCAGAACAGAGATATTCCCAACAAAAGGTGAAACCAGCAATGTCTAATAAACACTCTGACCTCTTTGTTGAAGTAAGAGATGAAGGGAGAAACTCACCAGAGTATTCACATACAATCTCTAAAGAGGTGAACATCAAGCATGCACTAAACTGAAACACAATTGTCAAAACCTTCCAATCATCCATTAGAAGAGTTTCACCGATACATTGTGGACTTGATGTCATAAATGACAAATATAACACACACTTACAAAATCTCAGTCAGTCAGTCAGTTGTATCTCAAGCCTTCTTTTTCCTACCCAATGTAGGTCTCTTGCCAATCCTCGAACTAGTCGTGCTGGATGGTGGCAGAAGCCCACGCAGTATGGCCAAAACACCTAACCCCAGAAAAGGGAAGTACATATACAACAGCTTATCAGAAGCCTTGCCGGACTGAACCAGTTCTGATAATATGGTAACCTGAAATTTTCACAAAACAAACAAGCGTTAAGAAAGAAAAAAAAAGTATGAAGAAAGGTGTAGACAATCCAATAAGAAACAGAATTTCAATATTACAGACTTTGTATGTGGTGCAGAAACCAGAAGAACTCCACCTCCCATAACCCAATTACAATTCTCAACACCATTAGTTCATAGTTAGGCAGCGTTTAGGGGTAATTATTAACAGTTCAACAATATTCATGTGGCCTTAAGATATTGCTCACCTGCACAACTGCGGCGGTGTTTCGTTTCTTATCCAATGCAAGCTTAAAATGAGCGTTTACCAGATAAAATCTGATAACATACTGGATGAGTTGAGGGGGTTTCCAACTATACAACCAGATTGGCCAAATGCCATCATCAGAGTAACAAGCTATTATTCCAGTTTGGTAGAACTTCATTGATTCTAACAGATAAACCAAGTAACACATTTTCAGAATTCACTTAGCTGGCTAATTCTGTCAGGCAATTTGTAATTTTTAAGTAATAAAGTCTCATTGCAGGATTTGAAACAAGCATCAGGACGAATGTGTCTCCTTCAACCACCCACTTATTCACTTCATTTGCTTCTTCTTATTTTTAGATGTATGAATTTAATCACCCTAAAACCAACAGCTTGACTTATTAAACCACCCTCTTATTTGATACTACAATTAACCTATCCAAAATCCTATAAAATTTACTGGTTTGGGAAGATATATAACAAGAAAATAAGAAATTAGCCCAATTGAAAACGAGAAAAAGAAAAGAGATCTAACAAACCCAAGTTATAAAACCAAACAAAAACAACAAATTGATTATAAGTTAACAATGTATTATAAGAAAGAAGCAAACTTTACCATGGAGGTGAACACAGAAACGCCATAGATCAAGCAGGTGGTGTTGAACCAAGACTTGGCAGCCAAAATTCCGTACAGGTTGGCAATTGAAAGAGGCCACTGAAAGAGCAGCTCTAGCCAAACGATCCCAACAAAGAAATGGGGCTTCTGGGCCACGAGATAATCGCCATATTGGCGCGCGTACCAGCTCTTGAGCTCAACCAACACGCTTGGGAAGAGGCTCTGAGGCAGGCATGTCTGCGCGTCGATTAAGGGCGCTGCAAGCGCAATTACGACGAAGAAGACGAAGAGTGTGGCGTCAACAAGCTTCACCAAAGCACCCATTTTGAATTCTTGAGGTTATATATATTTTTGCTTCCTACTTTACGATGTTTCTGTCTGTGCTTCAATGGAGCTTTCGGTTTGCTCTGTGAAACCTTGTGTGCGAGGAAGGAGACGTATGCAAAATGGGATCTTAAGTCAAATTTCCTAATCTGAACGACGTGTCGTTTCTTAATATGTTAGGTTGCTTTGCAGACGCCTAGTCGTTTTGTTGTTGTCGTTGTCGTTTTTTTTTGGGACTCGAGTCGTTTTGTGCAGTCAAATCTTCTCCTGACTTGAACAGGAAATTTTCGGTCAAAATAAAAAAAAGGAAATCAAAGTTGCGTGGTGGAAAGGTCAAAAAAACTGTGAAAAAGAAAGTTAAGAACGAATCCTAATAGGAAATAGAAGCAGATTTCCCATAAGAATCAGGCAAAAGACTAAACCTATAAGAACCCCAAACTATGCGTTCAACTTTGCCATCCTCTCTGCTCTTGTTGTGAAGCGTCAAAAAAACCTCAAAAAGCAGGCCAATGAAGCCCTACGCTGCCACAAAGCTTTCTGCTGATGCGAAGCCTTTTTCACCCCTCTCGCCTCACTGCCATCAACCACCGCCGCTACATCATCTGCCTCATGTTCCTGTTCAAGCTTCTCTGCATCACCCAGTATTTTACCAACCGCAATATTATGAGCCAAGTAATTTTTCTGGTGGTGGCCATTGGAGTTGGCAATCTCCTCAGTATCACCAATTAGGGTTTAACAACATTCCTGTGCATCATGGTGTTGGGTTTTGTTATGGTCCTCCTCCGGTACCATTCGTGTTCAATCAAGGTCTTCCGCAGTTCAACATGCAGACTTTGAGGAACAAAATTGTTCAACAAGTGGAATACTATTTCAGTGATGAAAATCTTTGCAAGGATTATTTCTTGAGATCGCTGATGGATAACAAAGGATGGGTTCCGATATCCAACGTTGCTGAATTTAACAAGCTCAAGAGAATGTGCACAAACATGCCATTTATCCTTGATGTTCTGATGCAGCGCTCAACTCGTGTAGAAGTGCATGGTCACATGATACGACGACGTAATGAGTGGCAAAGGTGGCTTCCGGTTTCTGCAGGCTCAACGACAAACCCGCAAAGTCAAGTTTCCTTGGAGGAGAAGGAATTCATGGAAAGCCTGCTAGTAAAGAACGTATATGGCGATGATGATGCTGTTGAGTTTGATGGTGGGTCGGTTGTGTATAATGCTTCTAATGGTGGTTTAAGTGGAAGACGAGCAGCCCCGGCCATGAAGACAGAGTGGAAGCCAAAGGCTTTCAAGTGTTGCTGATTATGGACGTAAACATTCTAAGGAAGACTGATTTGATCTACTGCTGGAACGAAATTTGAGCTACTTCTGTCTTCATGACAGAATACAAGAGGATGAGCCTTTTCTTTCTTTCTTTCTTTTTTTTTCTTTTGTTTTGCATCACAAAACGAAACGGAAACAGAAAAGAAAAAAAAACTAAACTACTCTTTCTTTTTTTTTTGGTTTACTTGGAAGATTTTAGGTTTTTTTTTGGGGTCTGAGTTAGAAGATTTTAGTTATGTTACTGCCATCGATGATAATCTCCTTCACCTGTACTTCAATATTCTTATGTTGAAAAGATAGACATGGGGATAGTTTTTTTTTTTATGTATTGTCATGTTGTGGTACTCTTTTTCCTTGACCGGATTTCCTCCGTTTGTGGTTTTTATGGCAAGGTTTTTAATGAGGCCACTTTATAGCAATAGAGGAGCTCTATTTGTATTACTGCTTAAGCTTAAGTTCTTACATTGATTTTTTTTTTTTTTTTTTTTTTTTTTTTTTTTTTTTTTTTTTTTACTATTATTTTTTTTTTTTTCTATCAACGATTGTCGTCTTTTCTAAGTAAACTATTCCTTTGCAATTGTCATACAATGATGATGAATCCAATTCCCAAAACCTTCCAATCATTCATGACAAGAGTTTCATCAATACTTATGCTACTCTCAATAAAAAAAAAACGTTTCATATAAATCCATCAACGTTTAAAACCTTTCACACAATGTTACAAGTTCACTAAGGTTGAACAAGAAGCAGGAGGAATGTGTCTCCCTCAAGGGAAAAAGAAGTGACAAAAGGAAAATTGATGGAAGATTTGAGTTCTAAATCATCTTCTTATTCTTTGGTGGGCCCACCCTTTTGGTTGTTCCTCTGCCACTGGTTGAAGAAGTGGTGGCGGACGGAGGAGGGAGCAGCCCCCGCAGGATGGCCAGGAGAGCAAACCCCATAGCAGGGTAGTACAACTTTAACATTTTATTAGATGCCTTGCCTGACCCTATGAGCTCTGCTAATATAGCGCCCTGCAATTTTTACCAAGCCATTAGCCAGAAAATATGTAACATTAATCAAAATAAATTTGATTAAAATCTCAACTAATTTGACATATCATAAAAAAAGAAGAAAGGCGAAAAAGTCATCTTTGATCAGTGTAATTTTCAGTTTTACCACTTTGGTTCTTATAATTTCAATTCTGTCAATTTTATCCTAAGAGTTTTAAATTCCTCCCAATTCAATGACATGTTATAAATTCTGTCAAATTCGGATGAAAATTCCAAAATTAAACTACATAGATCAAATTGCCCAAATTAAACTATAGGAATCAAATGTGAGTTTTTGCCATTAGAAAAAAAACACAAGTTTACCATGGTGGAGAAGAAAGAGGCGCCATAGGCCAAGCAGGTCGTGTTGTACCAGGGTTTAGCAGCCCAAATCCCATACAAGTTGGCGACCAGAAGAGGCCACTGGAATACGAGCTCAACCCAGATGAGGCCAACGAAGAAATGAGGCTTCTCTTTGCCAAGATAATCGTCGAACTCACGTACGTACCAGTTTTTGAGCTCCGCCAGCGAGCTTGGGAAGAAGCTAGCTGGCAGACACAACTGGACGTCTATCAGCACCGCGTTCACTGCCGTTATAGCAAACATCACAAAGAGTATGGCGTCGATTGTCTTCACAAAAGCACCCATTTTTGTTTTGACCTTTTGAGGCTCTGTTTTTGCTCTGTTTTGCTCTGTTTCTCTTTGTGATATTGCAAAACTAGATCTTGGAGATGTTGGGAGGCTAGTTGGGTGAAGTCTACTGCCATATTTAAATACGTGTTTGTACAGGTTGGTCTTTGTTTAATAATTCATCATTATCATGCATGTTAATTTCAGCAAATTTTTTATTATTGTTGGACAATTTGACACATATATAATATAGTCAAACTCTTCTCTAATAATGCATCTCATAAATTGTTCTTGGCAAACATACCATTCTACAAAAATCAGAACATTTTGTTCTCCAGATATGTTTCCTCCATACAATTATATAAGGGAGTTTCACTAAAACACCCAAAATAGGGGCTGAAATTATAAAAAAACCCAACACTCAAAACACTTTATAAACACACCCAAAACCCATCATTACACACACTCAAAACCCATTTATAAACACACCCAAAAAATATACAATTGTTGATTTTGGGATTGATTTTGGGTGTGTTTTTATATTTAAATAGTGCTTGGGTTTTTTTATAAATACATGTCTAGAATTGGGTTTATTTATAAATTTGTAATTATATAAATCTTCTGAACTAGACACAAGCTAGGCAAATATCAATCACAATGTTGATCTCACAATGAGATGGATCATCAAGATCACAGAACTTTTGAGTTGCAGAGTAAAAATTTAAACTTTCTTCTTCCTACCGGAAGCAGGTCTCTTGCCAATGGTTGCAGAAGACTTGGTTGATGAGGTTGGTAGCAGCCCACGCAGTATGGCCAGAACACCTAAACTCAAGAAAGAAAAGTACACAGTCAATAGCTTATCAGGTGCCCTTCCTGACCCCGTCAATTCTGCAAATATAGGCACCTGAAAATTCAAGACAATGGAGAGAAACAATAACAATTAGTGCGAGATTAATTAATTGACACGAATCTTGATTTATTATATACAACATGTCGAGAAACCGTTACATATATTATCTTAACTAACCACTATTTTGTGTATCATCTCTCTAATATGAATCTCACGTCTATCAAAAAGAATTTAAGAATTACCATAGAAGTAAAAAGAGAGATGCCATAGCTCAAGCACGTGATGTTGAACCAAGGTTTGCCAGTCAAGATTCCATAAAGGTTGATGAACACGAGAGGCCATTGAAAAACAAGCTCAAGCCACATGATCCCGACATAGAAATCGGGCATCTCCGTCATGAGATAGTCGCCCGACTCGCGGGCATACCAGTTCCTGAGGTCCACCAGAATGTTGGGGTAGAGGTCGCCGGGGAGACATGCTTGTGCTTCGATCAATGGCTTTTCGAAAGCAATCGCCAGGAGCAAGAGGAAGAGCAATGCATCAATGAGCTTGACGAGAACACCCATTTTTTTGTTGGTGAAGTTTGGAGGTTTGGCCTAGCTATGTTTGCGAGGAATGGAAAATAGCTAGCCAGGGAGAAATGAGAATGGTAGCAAAATGAGGATCTTGGGACGTTGAATATCAACATTAGGTGAAATTTATATGGGGACGTTTTGACTCACTCACACGCACAGACATCAACTCTTATTAGGTGACATGTTTGGGACATTCGAAATTTTTGGTTATGGAATGTACTTGGCAAAAACATTCTCATATTCTAAAATTAACGAAATGGAAAAAGGAAAATTAAAGATGAGTAGCGTCAATTTCATGCCAACAAACTCAAGTTTAGGAAACAATTTCGATCCTCGATTCCATACAGTTAATTAAAATAGTGTGTCTGCCTATTTTACCTAATTCTTGATTCCATATATTAGAGTAGTTAGCATATCAATTTATAAAATAAAAAAAATAAAAAGAAGTGAATTTATAAAATAAAATCACATAGAGTGTTACTGCACATATAAAATCACATGAAGAGGTCTCATATTGATGATATCAATAGAATATTTTTTTTTTTTTTTTTTTTTTTTTTTTTTTTTAATAGAAAATTTGCTAACGTATATAGTGTGTTATTTACTATTTGATACTTTTATTTGGAGAGCACATTCCCAAGAAAAGAGAAACACTCTCATACGTGCGACACGACGCCGTTTTATCAATGTCTATTATATAATTGGGACGAAAGAGAGCAAAGCCTGAAGCTTGAAGTTGAACTGCATTACCTTCACGATGAGCGAGACTCGACCAGTGCCAAGGAGAGAGAGCCCATGGGGGAGGCCAGAGGGAGATCATCGTGAACCTAAGGCCCATCGCTGCAATGACCGAGCCGAGGACGTCATCCAAGTAACACAAAACCCTCTGTGTGCTTTTCTTTTCTGAATTCACATCTCTGATGCTTATATGAGATATTCAACTATCTTTTATACACAAATGTTAGTGTTCTTGATTAAATTCTTTAACTTTCTGCCGTAAGAATGAGATTCAAGAATTGGGTTGGAATTTTTCAGTTTTTTCTTGACCAAATTCTTTGAAGAATTGGTTAAAATGTTTAGATGGGGTTTTGGGTTTGATTGGTTTGATGGTTTTGGGTATGAGGAAGTGAAGTTAACCAAGCACTTTCACCTGCTAGCGTTTTATGGATTTGAGTTCAATTGAATTTGGTCATCCGTCAAAGTTGAAATTAAACCTGCTATCTAATGCAAGCATAGCACTTATATTTGTAAGTTATATAGTATATGGTAAAATGGAACACCCTTTTTCACCTTATTTTCCCTAATAATTCACATTGTTTTTCCTCCTTAAGAATCAATCTAAAACAACACTCGCATAGCTCATAGTGATTAGGGAGTGGGCGTTGCAGATGTTGGTTTGTGAAGTGAGGAAAATAAGCTCAATGGGAAAAGGATTCATCTTCAATGTGAAGGTGCCATGATCAAGTCTTTAGATTTAAGCTTGATTTTGGTGATACTAAGGGATGATCAGATTGAGAAAGGACGTGGAGAGTTTGCATTGATTATTATTATTTTTAGTAGTGACTTTGAAAACTTTCCACTTTCGATGCCTTGTTTAGCTACTGCCCCAAAGTTGTGTTAAAAGGCTTGAATATTTTCTTATTTTGGTTATCTGCCAGAGAGGATTAAGTGGTTTGAATGTTTTGAACTCAACATTACTAGTGTTCCCTACCAATTTTATCAGTTGATCTTGCCTGTGTATTGTGTAGGCTTGTTTTGAGGGCAACCCATTTAAGACAGTTCCAGGGCCATTTAAGCTCTTCTGGCACTGCATGCGATCCAAGCCGGGGTATGATTGATCTTCGAAATGCTGTCCCAATTCATTCTATACATATAATTACATAGATATAGTTATATGTTATGTGATACTGTATCAGTTACATCATTCACTACCACTTATGCTGCCTTTCTAAAGTGTTTGTGCTGTCCTGCAGGGAGGAACCAACAGAGCCATATACATATTTGCAGCTGGATCCCCCAACTAGAGAGGTGAAACTGGAGTAAAACCACCTTGGCTTCGTAAACAATTTCGTTTTTAGGTTGGCTTGTCTCAAATTTCCAATTTTTGTTATCTATTGTCTAAATAATATAATGTTGGAGTGCCACTAAGATTACGGCTTCATATGCTCTAACTATACCGACAGTTGAACTCCGCAGCTTATTTGATTTCTATTTGAACCACCAACTTAATGTTATCTTCTATTACATGAGTGTCATGGTTGTTTTTCACTTCTCTATAACTGGATCTCCCATTCAAACGCGTTGAGAGCTTTATCTGCCATTGTTGTAGGTTAAAGAAAACTATGCATCACTACTGTCTCTGGACTTTGATTTGCATGATCATTAGATATGGACTGAAATTGTAGCAAAACTTATGATTTTTTTCTTTACTTTCATTTTCGAACTCCCTCCACAATTTTCATGAACAAAACTTTATTGATATATGGAGATGTGGGCTGTCCGCCTCTCCAGTTCTCCAAGTCATGAAACACAACCAGTAAAAGAAAACTCATGAAATGGAAAAAACGAAGCCCAAATTGTTATCAGACTGACGACGACTATGACAACTCCCAGCCTGCAGGAACCGACCTGTTTGACTGTTTGTATCTTCTTTTGGGGTTAGAGAGATAAGAGAGATCCTCCTATTTACGAAATATAACCCTAGAAATCAATAATAGGCTCTCCAACGGTGAGATTGCGCTCCACGGTCCATGGCAAGTCGAAGAGCTTGGCCGTTATGAATTTGAAGATTTTGTTCACGTTTATGTTGTAAGTTGCACTCGAAAAGAAAAGTGTTGCGTTGAGGGCCTTTGCATATGCTCTTGCCTGCACACAGAGTTAGACATAGATATCAAACTTCAGCTTCAATATAATTTTGCTTTCCCAATTGAAATCCTTAAACTGGAGTACAAATTGCTCAAATGATGTTATGCATTGGATGATGAAGTGGTAGATTCTAAAAGTTAAAGTGGTTTTGTGTTAAACAGAAAAGAAGAATGTTACTGTTAGTCGATGCATTATGAGTCTCATATCAACTGTCATAAATCATCCACGCGATCGCGGACGACCGACCATATCACAATTCAAACTCCGTACTCTCCTGAAAATGGGTGGGTATTGAATCCGTTGTTTTCGAATCAAAAGTAGGTGAAATCTTGATGAATTGTGAACAGGGGGACCAGGGGTGGAGCCTATATTTTACCAGAGTAGTTGTGAGGAGAGTAAACTCTTTCAAAGGATTTCTTGGCCCACCCGTGGTTCAATTTAAGTTTTGCATTGAAAATTTTCCGTAAAGTTTTGAATTGGTTGGTTAGTGTTCGTGCCCCACCCCAGACTGAATTTGAATAGAAGGCTCTTCTAGCTTCCATTTTCTGTTGAGCATTGACCTGGATGTCTCCAAATTCTCGTGATCTCTTTTTGTCAGTGTTTATTATTCTAGAAAGATTACTTCAAGCTCATCCTACTAGTTAGCTTAGGCCCCTAATAATTTGATGTTCTTTCACTAAATGCATATGTATAAACGATTAAGTGGATTGAGAATTCCTAAACATGAGTAGGGCTTTTCCCTCGTACTGTCGAGTTTCTCTCAAAAGAAAATATATATGAGTAGAACTGGAGATGAGTAAAATTATGCTATTGTATTGTATTTTGTTTATTAAAAGCATATAACCTTACCTGACTTGCAATTGTCCATTGCAAATCAATGGGGAGTTGGATGAAATCATCAAACTTGGTTCCAATTAATATTGGGATTGCCGCCTGCAAAACAACCATAAAACAAGATTAACACACGATGTAATCATTATAAAAACATAACTTTGAAGAAAATTCGATGCATTTTTGTGTGGAAAAGTTACCTGATTCCACTTCCTTGCTTGGTGATACCATGTTATGACACTGCAATCCCAGAAATTAAATTCCTCAGACTTTTGTTCATATGTAATTATCGAAAGGATTAAGAAAGCTAATCGAAACAACATTAGTCTAATGAAACATCAAACACACCTATTTAGCGTACACCGGCTTGTTAAATCAAACATGAACAAAATAGCTACAGAGTCCTTGCAAGCAACCGGAATATTATCCTGGGATTTTAAATCACCTGCACCAAAAATTAAAACATATTTATGTAAACTAACTCAAAAATTAAATCGTAAATAAAATCATGAGATTACAATTAATATTTGTATACCTCCAACTTCCCAAATACTATAGGAAATACGCGCACCGCTGACCATCAATGTCTTGTCCATCAAATTTAATCCTGTCGCCTCTGTCTCTCCTCCTTCTTCCTTCTCATCATCCCCTATATACTTTACCTGATCAACCAAATCTAATTAGCACATGAAAATTAAAAAGAAGAATGAGAATGTTACATGGTACGAAATCGTATAACGAGACACACGGACACATATATTTTATATGTATTCATATGATATACGAGTTCGTACCATGTACCAATACCAAGTTTGGTAAATTAATTACCAAAAAGCTAGTCTTTCCAATTTGGCTGTCCCCCAAGAGGCTAATCTTCAAGGCTACCAAATCGTCCTTGGATTCAGGGTTTTGACGACGGCTAGTACTCTTGTTTTGATGGTGAGGACGACAGAGGAGCTCCCTTGATTTCGGAGACGATGACGATGACGGCGCGAAAGTGGAAGAAGGGGTTTGATTCGGAGACATAACGGCGGAAACTGGCAACACCCGGTACCGGACCGGCTTTCCTAGGCAAGACATGAGCAGCCGATCCATGACACGTTTAATGCAGCGGCGGAGCAACGTAACGCGGCGTTTAACTCTTCGCCTGAGGGTGAAGTGGTGGTGCACCATTTTCTTAATCTCTCGACTATAGATTAATATATAAATGATCGATCGGCGAAGCTAGAAAGCTTGAACAACAGTCAATCAATCTTGAAGCTGAATTTTTGTTGGTTTCTTTAAACGGATGGTTATGGTTATGGTTATGGTGAAGGTAGGGGGGATGGCCTCAACAGCAAGTGAAAGGCTCTTGTTCTGTAAAGGCCATGGAAAATGAAAAGCTACTTCTGTTGCTCTCATATTTTCATGACTGGTGGGTATTTTTAGAATATGCTTTGCATTGTGTTTTCAATTTCTTTTTTCTTTTTTTCTCTTGCTTTTTTGCTTCTTTTTCAGTTACAACTACCTTTTGCTATCAATGTGACTACTTTAACGGGACAGTTGACCGGTGATAGTGTGGACCAAATACTCCTGATTGCCGTCTTTCATTGCTACACGTATTTTTCGGGCTTTATATAAGTGGTGTGCGATGATCTTGTGTGACAGTAACATCGCGTTATATGCTGACATAAATTTATCGTTACACAGATAAGTTTTCTTGTGAGTTTGTTTTAATTTCACTGAAAAAGTTCATATTAAGACATTGCATCATACTGAAAAATGAGTTGGGAAATTTCCTTTCTTGGTTACTAAAAACAACTTGAATCTCCATAACATCTTGTTTGTGTGTGTAAAAAATCTTTCTTCCTTTAATTTCGGCTATACTGAAGAAAAAAGAACACATATATCTAAAATGGGAAATATCTGAAGAGAAATTCAATTTCTTCAGGTTTTACTTCGGTTGGTTTGCGTGTGTGGGGTGATGTTTGATTAACACCAAACAGTTGTTGCTTTGCACCGAATTCTGTTTTTCTTTCTTGTAAATTACGCACCTAATCCGATTTTGGATAATTATGTAGTTTAGTAACCGACCATTCTAGAATATTTCCAAGGCATAGCTTCAATCATATGAATGACACATAGACGTGCTTGGACCAACTAATTTGAACTAAAGTTATAATCAATAAAGAAGCCAAATGCAAATCAGTTTGATCCACGTGTCTAATTAAGTAGTAATTAAAAAGGATTATAAGGATAATGAGCCTCCCCGCTCCCTCCCTCCAAGTCTAAATTAACGTGGGCGCCACACATACACGTTGTCCATCAATGGTTTCAGACATTGATATCATGTTTGTTTTGTCTTCACACGTCGACTTCAATTGGATTAAATAATTTTTTTCGTTTGGGTTGAGCTTTACCTAACGTAACTCTTATGATGTTTCTCAATAAATATCTTTTCCAACCGAAAAAATAAATTTAATTTACAACTCAACCTAACTGCATAAATTGTTCTGTGAATATGTAATTATATAAAATAAAAAAGGTCGAATTGGGTATAGCTCAGTTGAATGAGTTTTTTTATTTTTATTTATATAGGTAGAGGTTTGAAATCCCGAAACACCAATGAATATTTGTGTAAACTCCATCCCTAATGAATTATGCTAAAAAAAAAAAAAATGTTGGTTGGCTTTGCATTGATAAAATATGTGATCCATAGAGTATTCCATATTTGTTATTTGAAATATACTATTTGTCACACTGTTTGGTAGTAACGAGATGGAATAAAACTATCAATTGTGGCTTGTCCCATGCATAAGGCAGGTCGTCGTAGCATTTAAGATAATAATATTATATACAACTAATATAATCATGCAACACATTTCAACCTCAAATGAATAAGGTAGACTTCGACTCATTCTCAATGTTTTAGGTGAGACATCCTCAAACTCACTTGTAAGGCCCACCACGCATTGTATTTTACTAATTCAAATTATTTAGTTTTTAGATATTCCCTCAAAGATTACATCTGCAAAAAAATCACTTGAATCCAAAATCAACTGACCACTCAATTGGATAGTTGTTATAATAATCCTTTTTTGAAATACCGTGTTCGTCTATTTTGTTGGTCCCAACTGTTGAAAATCTCATATAATGAATGGTTCCATTCCTATTAACAAGCTTTTTGTATAAAACACCACATCACTTGAACAAGTAGTTAACTTGGGGTCAAGGGCTGTTAATTTCACTTGAATATGGTGGAAAGGAATCATCTACAATTGGTGGAACTCTGTCATTCATCAGTTAAAATAAGGAGTAGGAGCATTATTGTTCAATACAAAATGGTCTACAACTAGCAAAAGGATCTTCTCATAATTTTCTTTTTTCCTTCTGTTTTTCTAAACCATGTAATGTTATTCTATATACCTAATTAACTTTTGGCACAAGGATATTAGATACATAATTTTTTTTATTAACAGTGTGATTACCAGCTGAATGCAGAGAGCAAATCTTCCTTAAGAGGGTGAATGGAGCGGCCCATCAGAGCTAGGACTAGCTTCATCATGTTTGCTGTCACTTCCTTTTCGCTTAAGCATGTGCTTGATCTTTTCTTCTTTCGTATCTACGAAGTCCATGAGGTTCTTGAAACTAGCTGATCGGATCGAGGGTCTAGATCTCGTGGAGCCAGATCCAATCTCCTCCACATCCCCTTCCACGTCCGCCGGGATAAATCTGCGGTATTGACAAAGGATTCTGCAGAAGAACACCGTAAGAGAAAGGAAGCATGCAACGCCACAGATAAGAAACAGGCCCCAAAAGCTTGTCAGAGATAGCCGGTCTGAATCAACTTCATTCATTTGAATAGAACATTCGTTATGCGTAAGCCATTTATTATGGATCTTTTGGAGATCGCCGTTCTCTGAGAGTTGAAGAATGGCGGTTGACAAGTCAACAGCAAGAGGAGAATCTCTTTGGAATGCCTGAGACAAGGAAACTGAATATGAGAAGTAATGTTTTCATTCACATGACTACATTTAAGCATAATGCCACCTTTCCTGTCTCTGAGGTATCCATGAGGAAAATAAGGAATGCAGTGTGATTTAAGATCAAAATCAACAATGGTACTTACAAATCCCCATCCGCTTTTTGTAAACTCCTGCCCCACCGTCCTGAATTTACATTTGGTGTTGGACATAAACAGCTCAATGTAAGGAAGCTCATCAACAATGGCAGCTACCCCACCACGTTTCGGTCCATACTGAAGGGCTTCAATGTAGTTTTCCATGGTTTTTAACTTGACGAGTCTAGATTCCGCAATGTTGAGCTCATCAACCAAGTACTTCCATGCAAATGACCCATCTTGAACTCCAATTGGATCGTTACTTGCTATCAAGCTGTCAATCCCTTCAATTCGTGATGTCAACTGCTGCACCGTGAGGATTGATGTCAAACTAGCTGTGTAGCTCGAATTGATAATTAAGACCACAAACAACCATATAATCAGCACCAGCCGTCCCAGGGTGCTCACAGTGTTCTCTCCTGCGCCAAGTCCAAGTAGCAAAGGATGTTTGGAGTTAATAATGCGAATTACCTTCATTATACCAAAGGAAGATTAAGCATGAAAAACATACTGTGTGAGAAAAACATTGTTGAGAAACTAAACCTGCAAAGCAAAAGCAAAAGCAGTTTCAGTAAAAGTACTCTTCCATTTATGAAACAATGCCAGTAAGTGAATTCCTAGGCAACAGATTAGGGGCCTTAACGATGTAAAACATACTAACCAAAAAATAGTCATGAGTTGCTTCCTCGGTGGACCACGGAATTCTTGATTCATCCGGTGCTCAAGAATCCAAACAACAGCTCCCACAAACAGGAAGAAGGCACCAGTGACCAACCACATCTGATAAGTAAATGGCTTCAGGAAAGCCCAAGGGCTTGTTTTTTGCTCTTTGACAGGAACAACAACAACAAGCCCTGATTCCATGTAAGGCTGTGTAAAATCAACTATTCTTGTCCTATTAGTAGTAATCGTAACATCCCCAACAGCTGCATCAAAGTTCTGCAAAAGAAAAAAGGAAAGGACCCAATAAAAAAATTGGCCATAATTTAAACACCAAGACAGCAATACAGAAGCCCCAAGCCAAGCCCATCATATTGTTTGATAATGTACTTCAGACAGCCCCTCAAGAGGAAATGAATAACAACTGTGATACACATGCACAAGTTAAAAATCATTTAGCATCTAAATTTAATCCTAATCAGACAAACCATATATAAAGGTGAGTTTGTTCACCTCTAATTAAAGAGATAAAACTTACACCTAGATACTCACATTTTGCGCAACATCAAATACAAGATTGCTGTACTCAGGATTCCTCTTTCCATTTCCATACAACACGTAATTGCGTGGCACGGCATAAGGCAACAAGTTTACAGCAGCTTCAAAGACATCAATACAGTATCCTCTAACCCCTGGAGGGCTCTTGTCCTTAGCCACAAAATCTTGGTAACTTACTCGGTAAGGCACAGCAATTCTGAGAGGCGTCCCATTGTTGGGAAATACCCATCCCCGAGGTATAGCTGTAGTTTCACCGGGCCATATAACGCTATAAAGTTGAGCGGAGGTATTAGCACTGAATGGCTTTTTATATAAGATCTCTGGAGCAATTACTGAGAGACCAGTAGAATTTGACCAAAAACCAATCCTACGGGACCCAGTTCCGCCAATATTCAGAATTTCATATGCTGGATGAACTAAATATTTATCCTGATCAAACTGAATCTGACCACTTACACCTGTGAAGTTCATCTTAAGAATTGTCTGTAGATATTGTTGGCCTCCATCAAATATACGGAGTGATGTTAAGTGCAATGTGCTTCTATTTGTGTCTTTCAACTTTGGGTCATTAGAGAAAGATATCTTCCCACCTTCGTTGAAAAAAACTTCAAGAGCACGAGCTGCTAACCAAATAGAATCATATGCATAGAGCGCATAAGAATTGAAGCCCGAACTCCCTTCATGTTTTAGTTTCTTCCATCTCGACATAAAACTCTTTTTGAGATCTGTATCTGGGGTATGATGACGAAGAGCAACAACCCCTTGTACAAGATTCATTGTATCAAGGCCAGGTGGTTCTAATGAATCTAGATGAGAAGGAAGCCAATCTGTTGCAATCCAAACATAGCCAGCGGTC